ATACCATAGAGTGGAAACAAAACAAAAGCAGATTTAGGAACAAATATTAACCTAACTGACTTAAAAGTTGGAGTGAAACAATTAAAGATGGGAAAGAATGGTTCCGTTATACTTTCCTGTCAAACAAAAAAAGAAGTTGAAATTCTGGATAAACCTGTTCAAGATAAATTAAAAGATTCATATGATGTAGATCTGACAAAAATGAGAAGACCCAGAATGAAAATCTGCAATTATACAGAGAATATGACCAAGGAAGAAATTGACAAGTCCATTTTGAAACAGAATGACATAACAGGTGAAATAAAAACGTTAATGTTAAGGAACTGCACTTAAACAATTGATACAAAGGAAACAAATATGTATATGATGGGAAAGACTTCCGGTTTATGAAGATTTGGAGATACTCAGATGTTTTAAATGTCAAGGTTTCTACCATAAAAAATAAAACTGTAAGAATGCAATCATGTGCCACAGCTGTAGTGAAGAACATGAAGCTAGCTTGTGTCCAAAGAATAAAATACACTGTAAGAACTGTAAAACTTCTAACGAAAAATATAAAACTGAGTACAACTACAACCATTCTGCACTGGATTTGGCTTGTCCCTCTTTGAAATATCATCAAATGGCATTGCAAAATAAAACCAAGTATACAGATCAATAACATAACGTAACTTATATTTGTACACACATTCAAATAGTTTCAATTAATGAAGTCATTGATAATGCTACTAATATAACAAATAAAATTAATTTAAATGAAAAACTCCTAAATGTCTTACATTTCAATATTAGGAGTATTAAAAAGAATTTTGATGCATTGTTAGTATTTCTAGAAAGTTATAAATTAATTATTGTTATATAATAGTTTTGACTGAATGTTTCCAATTATAATCTATTTCTCAATTTAACCTAGATGGCTTCACCACACACTATAACAATGGTAACATTAACAGAAATGATGGTGTTGTAATTTTGCTCAGGTCAAATCTAAATGCAGAATTAAATATAGTTAAACTGGAATATTCTGATATTTGTGTCACTAAAATAAATCTAAAAGTCAATCATCGGACCATTGGCATTACAGGTGTATTATACAGGTCTCCTCAAACCTCTGCACAAGCATTTATAAGGGATTTAGAAAATTTCATACCAAATCACCTAAATAAAAATATTGAAATATTCATAGGGGACATTAATATTGATCTCCTAAATGTAACCAATCAAGTAACTACTGATTACCAAGCAACTTTTTACTCCCATGGTTTCATGTCTTACATAAACACTATTATGAGGCCACAAAGTAAAACATGCTTGTATCATATATTCTTAAAAAACAATATTGACTGAAAATCTATTGGTGAACTCTTATGTAATCAGCTATGATATGACTGATCATGATCCTATTATGATAAATATCTCACAATCTGCCAAAAACTACACAAGTTCCTACAATACATATAAAACTATAACTAAAATCGATACTGAAAAATTAGAACAAAAATTCGAAACTGTAAACTGAGAAAGTGTTTGCAATGAAAATAATCCAGAAATTGCAACACAACTTTTTTATGACACCTATCTTAATATCATTGAAACATGTCAAACCACTCAAAATATTAAAATAAAAATCCATAAAAAAATAAAGCCATAGATAACAAATGGTTTAATTAATTCTATTAAAACTAGGGATAAACTTAAAAAAGATCTACAAAAAACTATACTATTAACAAACAAACTCACTATAAAACATTTAGAAATAATTTAAACAAACTAATATCAAAAACTAAAAATGACTATTATAACAATAAAATAAACCAAAACAAAAATGATCTGAAAAAAACTTATCAATTAATCTCTGAAGTAACTAATGAAAATCATTAAAAAAATAATACCAATTTACAGATTGTTAACCAACATAATGAGGAATTTGAAAATGATAATGAAATGGCGAATTACTGCAATAACTACTTTTCGACTATTGGCACTAATATGTTCACAAATATCCCTGAATGTAATGTGGATTTCCTATAAGTGTCACTGAAAAATCAATGTTTCTGAAACCAATATGCAAAAAAGATATTATAAAACACATAAATAGTTTAAAAAATAATACGTCCCCAGGATTTGATTGTATAACAGTAAAACATCTGAAACTACTACATCCGTATTTACTGGAACCTTTAATGCATATAATTAATTGTATTTTTAATACAGGAATCGTACCTAAACAATTTAATACTTCAATTATAACACCTATTTATAAAGCTGGTAATCCAAAATTAATAACTAACTATAGACCTATTAGTTTAATTAGTAATGTGGCCAAAATATTTGAGAAATGTGTGAAAGATAGACTGACAGATTTTTTAAAAACCACTGACTTACTTCCCAAGCACCAATATGGCTTTACTGAGGGTCTTAACTCAGGAGATGCTATGCATGAATTGATTTCATATGTTACTGATGAAATGAATACTGGTAACAAGTGTATAGCTATATTTCTAGATCTAGCAAAAGCATTTGACATGGTGTCACATCAGAAGCTCTTAAATGTTCTTGAACAGAATGGAATGAGGGGCATCGTGTTGAAGGTTTTTGAAAATTATTTGACACACAGACAACAGAAGGTAAAGGTTAGAGACAATGTGAGTAACCCTGAAAATATACAAATTGGAGTGCCCCAAGGGACTGTTGAGGGACCTATACTATTTAATTTATACATTAAGAGCTTAACTCAGATTGATATTCAAGGTAAAGTTGTATCATATGCTGATGTTACAGTGCTAGTCTTCAGTGATAAAGATTGGGAAGCTGTCAAGACACTTGCTATAGCTGGAATGGAACATGTCAAAAACTGGCTGGATGTTTTTAAATTGTCTGATCAACCTCAATTTAGAAGCTTAACATGTCAAAATTTAGACATACAGGAAACAGAAACATCCAAATATTTAGGTATAATTATTATAGACCAGCACTTAAAATGGGTCTGTCTGCCATATAATATACAGTGTGTCCATGGATGGGGTCCCCAAGGGGGAAAAAATCTTTATTATTCATTTTACGACTAAAAGTGATTCTTTATAAAAAGTTCTGCTTGTTGAGAAAATGGAGTTGCCTTATAAAAATTTTAGATTAAATGTACAGGGTCTTAATAAATTAGGAAAATATGAAAATGCTTCAAGAGGGAAGTACCATTATTTATTATTTTTAACAAAAATTTTATAAAACAAAGTTGTTTATAAACTAGCATAGAGACTAAATACAAATTTTTAAATAAAAATTCCAATATTTTAAAATAGAATAATAATGAATAATAAAGATTTTTTCCCCCTTGGGGACCCCATCCATGGACACACTGTATATAGCAAAAAACTTAGATTTCTGATTTATAAATTTTTATCTTCTAAAACAATTTCTCAACCAGGATCTACTAATAACATTATACTACAGTCTAGTAGAATCTATACTACGGTATGGAATCTTAGTATGGGGAGGCCTGTATGGAACTACATTAAATCAGTTAAATGTTATTCAAAACAAAATCTTGAAGTTAATATATAAAAGAGATAGATTGTGTCCCACCATAACTTTATATAATGAAAAAATTAGCAATGTTAGATGTTTATATATTCATGCAGTGTGTTATATACAAAAAAAATTAATTTTTAAAAAACCCTTTAGAACATAGACATAACACTAGAACTGCATCGAACATGTGCATTAAAGTACCAAAACCAAATAGTGAGTTTTTTAAAAACAGTGTATATTATCTAGGGACAAAGTCCTATAACGCTCTACCTCTTCATATAAAATTATTAAAGAAATATAAAAAATTCTGTAAAGTTAGCAAAATATACATTTTCCAAAATAATGCAGTTTATCAGAATATTCCAAGAATAAACGGACTTAATACATGGATTTTTTTTCTGTTTCTTGCATAAATTGTTTAAGTTTTATTTTTTATTTAAAAAAAAAATTGTTTTTTTATTTCCTTTATAATTCATTAAATATAATTAAAATAAAATTTTAATTTTTGTCAGCACACACAGGTGTTCTTACCTAGGTGCTTGTTATTATATAATTGGTTTCCATTATTCTACTTTATTGTAACTTATTTATTATTGTAACTCATTGTAACTTATAACTATTAACAAGTTTAGAAATGCGCGTATTCACACCACTCTGCACTGACGTCTAGAATTTGAATTTGACACCAATTTGAATTTTGTAATTATCACTATTAAAAGGTATTGACATTAAAACTAACGATCGCATTACTTGAAAATCTTCAGAACATTTTTTATTTTTATGGGATTTTTAATCGATGTAAAAATTGGTAAATAGATGATTAAAAGTAAAATAGTTATTTCAATATGCTTATTCCCTGGTCCCAATTTTATGTAAGGATTCCAACTGTCAGAACTAACCAGACCCAACTACAAGATTACCCAATATTAATATTTTACTTGTAATAATATTGGGGTTAGTAATAAATTTGGGATTTGGCGGTTTAAGAACATGCTTATTCAATTTTTCACTTTTTCAAAATTTATAATTTTTCTGATATTGGTCACTTTGGTTTTTACTCTTTTTTAAATAAAACAACATGAAAATATCTTTAAAACCTAAGTACCTAGTTAAAAGTTGAACTAGGACTTCAACTAAGATTAAGAAGTATAATTTTCTTTAGCTGCTGTATTATTATTTATACTGGGATTCAATTGACAATAGTATTACACTCTTGATAAAAATAATTTAGTGCTTGCCAACTTAATATTTTTAAAAACAATTTTAAAACTCTTATACAAAAAAATCTTTTTCAATTATCATTTAATAAAATAACTGTAAGGTAATTAACTAGGCAAATAGCCTTTGCCATTAATTTATAATTAATTAAAATTTTAATTGAGTAGAACTAGTTATATTTGGCACAGTTAAAACTTAAGAGCTTGTGTATTCGAAATGAAGTACTTATTTTATAAAAAAAAAATTAGACCTACCCCATATTCCAGGATCGTCAAAACATGAATGGTGGTTTGATACTGTAATTAAAGGAACTTGTTTAGGCCTATTCTCTAATACATTGTTTATTATATTCTTATTATGCACTTTAGTTCTATTTAATAAATCTAAAAAAGAATAAGTTAAATCAAAAGTCATAAAGTTAGATAATTATGTACTATTACGGATTAAAATTTTGCTAAAAAGACCAACTGCGACGACGGTAAGGGTACTGGCGATTTTCCACAAACTCGTAGGGCTCCTTAACTTCGGAATGATCCAGTCAATGTTGTAAGTCATTTTTTTTCTGTCTGTTAAACAAAGTACTTCCTAAATTTTGGTAGTTCAACTACCAAGAGAGATTTTCCAAAATCTTATATATTTTGAAAAGTGGACTGCAACATGTTGCGAGCATTTGAAATTGACTAATTACATAACTGTTTCGAATATAGGCCACTGATTTCCATGAAAATTTATTAAAATACCACGCACCACACTCTTACTATAAAATAAAAATAGTATTAAAATTCGTACGCACTTTACAACCAATAATTCAAAACAGAAATGATATTTTTATTGAAATTATCAGTGGTGACATTTATCACGTCATTACACACTGACGTGACGTAACTGACCTTGATAATTTTGCATTGGCATATGTCAACAAACAGGCGCAGTGCAAGATTAACACTCTTAAACAGGATAGCCTATTTTCTCAAATCTGTTTGTGAAGTACGATTTCAAAGTTTGATTTCTGACGACACCGTAGAACCTCGCACACATTTAAATGCGCTTTATATAAAACAGAAGAGAATTTCTATTGATTTTAGTTCAAATTAAAGGTTGTTGGACTCCTAACAATTATCTTTGGTATATAAGAGCCTAACAAAATGATTTCAAATAAAAATAAGCAGAATTCAGCGGAGTTTTCATTGTATTTTAAATTATATCATCTTTATGAAACAAAAAGAAAATCGTTAAAGCAGTACTATGAAAAGTAATATATGTAATACGTATTATTACTAGAAATTATTTACAAAATTCAATAAAAAATACTTCTTACACAGGGTGTCCCAATAAAGTTCTAGTTTAGTAGAAGAATATGTTTCATAGTTAGGGCCGATTACACCGTTGCGTGTTAAACGATGTTTAAATTACTAAACGAAGATTAAAATGACAATTTTACTTTAACAATGTCATTTTAATCTTCGTATGGTAATTTACCCAGACAGCACACCAAATCCTTTGGATATCTACTGAACATCCCAATATCCACTGAATGTCCAGTCCATGGTGGATATCTATTTTATATCCATGAAATGTAATTTATAGACATGCAAATGTCCATAAATAATTGTAATTATATAGCAAATTATTAAAAAATTACGCCATTGTACTCGCCATTGTGGCTAATAGTACCGTTGAGATATTTAAAATTAATTTTTTTTAAGGTGTATTCAATATCCCATGGACATCCACTATAAATATAAATATATCAAAGTCTAAGCGCGGACGCAAACCATCGTGGATATCTACTAGATGTAATTTTTGATTTTGCTTCCTAAGTATAGATGGCGATACCACTTTCGTATCTACTCATGCTTAACCCGCCGTAATTGAGTTTGATCGACATTGTTTCGCAAACAGACTTCATTAGAGAGTGAAGTCGAGAAGTTCCATTTATTGCTGAAGATTCCTAATAAGGATGATTTTCTCCATAGTAGGCAAAATCAAAGGCAGATTGTTGGGAATATTTTTTACCTCTATTTTCTTTCGACGTTATTCAATAACAATTGGTTACTTATGAACCTCTACTAAAAATAATTATAAAATATTTATCTGAATTTCTATATCCTGGGATATAGACGGACATTTGGTTGGATATCCACAAAATATATTCTATGGATATATCTGGGATTTCTTGTATTGTCTGGAGATACTCATTAGATATTTTGCTGAATATCCATAGGATATCTTCTATATTCTGGATATAGACGGACATTTGGATATCCATATTAGTTCCACGGAATATTTCTGATATCCTGTGGATATATTGGATATCCACAAAATATATTCTGTGGATATCTCTGGGATTTGGTGTGTTGTCTGGGTAAACTTCGTTAAACGCAAATCGGTGGAATCGGCCCTAAGAACGAAGTTTAAAATGACATTTTTACATTAACAATGTTATTTTAATCTCTGTTTAACACAACAGCTAGTGGAATCGGCCCTTATGGCAATAACTTTTTAATCCAAGAAATCTATTTTTTATTGTTTTATTCATCAGATATAGGCTTGATTTTAAAAATATGAGTTTTTATTTTTAAATTAACATAGAAGGAAAATTACAGTTTCAACTTAAACCATGAGTTATTATATTAAAAAGGTCTCTATATTTACAGGGTGTTTTATATAAATGCGAAAAATTTACCATAAATATATTTATTACATAAAATGATTCGCTGGATAAAATTATCTTTATTATTTCTTGGAAACCAGTCATCGAGTATACAATTTGAAAAATAATAGGTTGTTTACCGATAGGAAAATAAAAAATAATGATTTACTTTTAATAGAGAGAGAGAGAGAGAGAGAGAGAGAGAGAGAGAGAGAGAGAGAGAGAGAGAGAGAAAGTACTTGTAAATTTCAATATAAAATCAATTATTAATAGAAATTAAAAAAATATGCTCAAGTTTGTCAATAAATAAATAAATAATTAGTCAAATGTGTATTAATTGGTAAAAGGTGAACTTTTCCATATGTATAACACTTTTTGGGACACTCTGTACAATAAACACATCTTTAGAGCATTCTGTGCGCCTAAGCCAAAAAGCTGTATCCTAGTTAAGAGTTTCGAAGAAAAAAACACATTTTCTAGAAGTTCTTAACGCGTTTCCTTGAGTCGAAAAAAATAATGTATGTACCGCTGGATTACTTAAAATTATTTTGTATTTGAATATTATTTTTCTTGTGCCGTATATGGATATGCAGCCATTTAACTTAGTAATAATGGCATACCCCTAGGTTTTTTAGTAAATACAAGTGAAGTTATAACATATGAAAACTTGCCTTCGGCTGTTTTTAATGTTCTGACTGAGATTTTGCTGTTTTTCTTAGATTATCTGATACGGAATTTTTCAAGCTATCTGATGCGTTAAAAAATAAGAAAGTTTTCCTTTCGACCAGTGAAGATATCAAATCATTGCCTTTTGATAACTTATGAAATTAGTATTTGTTGTATACCGACTTTAAAGCTGTTAAATAACTTAAAATTATGTTTCTGGCAAGGTATAAATCGAATTCATCTTGGATATAATAAAAAATCCAGTTATTCGACATAAAACAGGAAATGAAATAAATTCTCAAATACACAAAAAAACTTAACTGACAACAAACATGTTTTAAGGTTCTACGGTGATGCGTAATTGCGAGTTTGTCGTTATCTAAATGCATGGCAAATGAAAATAATCTTTCCTGTAGTATACAATTCCTTGAGTGTTACATCATAGAACATAAACTTGTAGACTTAAAATGGCAACACTTGATTTCATTTCGGAAGGTTGGTAGCTTGCCAGTTTTTGAATTTGTCAATATTTTTTTAGTTCAATATGATTTTTTAAATTTGTTTCATTTAGGTCATAATATATAAAAAATTTACAACTATTCGCTACTCAAGAATTTTCTATAATTTCATATAATTACCATGGGTATGTAATATCTTTCAATATGTACACGTTATGGCGCAACTACATCAAAGATTTGTTTTTAAAATCTCGCGCCTTGCATGTACAATACAAACATTTTAAATAATTCCAATTTCACACTTTCACTTACATTGCGTGTAGATTTAGTTTTAAATATAAGTGTAATATTTTTGTACTTTTTTAAATTTAAAATATGACTCTTTCTAGTCGCGATATTGATATATTTTTTCACATGAGAAACCATTATGTAAAACTCAAGAATGCTAAAAGTACTTTTATTTTTTCTCCCAATAAAGCTCAGATTAAATCCAGTTCCAGTTTGTCTGAGAAACATCAGAAGATGATGGAATTCGAAGAAAAGTGAGTAATTTTTTATTGCAAGAATTTTATTTTTAGAAACTGTATTGCAATATTTTAGTTTAAACTTTAAAAAATATCTATTTTGTTATAATTGTGTATTTGCGATAGGTGTATATTATATATTATGTCTAGTGTCACCAATATTCTCTTTTTTTGTTATATTAAACGAAAATTAGATCAATAAACTACAGTATAAGAGGTTTATATTGATTTTTATGCCCTTCATAAGTCACGCATAAACACTATTTATTTTGGCTACTTTTATTTTTATTATCATTTTTTCCTCAGACGGGAAGTGGTTTTTAGTACCTAAAACAAAATATGTTCACCTATCTTCCCACTCCAATTAAAAGGTTATATTATTGCATTCATTGATAGTAAAACCGCAGAAACATCTGCGTATGCAACGCACATACACTCTAAATTTTTATATTTTTGGTTTACATCATATACTTAGGAAATAATTCAAACCACACCGGTGTTACTATTGTAACAACATAAGCGTATCGGATTGATTTAGAACAGAGGGTATAAAAGGCTCAAAATTATTTCTATATATTTAAAATTACTACAGCTCTGCGGTTATCACTGTTTCACCCAGCCCTATTACTCAGGAGAATGCCATGAATACGACTAACATGGAAATGGCATTGGTCTTATCCGGTAGGATTACTGCTTTGAAGGCATGGCTATAAATATAGCTTGTGGGAAGGCGGCTTTATAGGTGGTCACATGGCTATAAGATGAGAAATAAATAGTTCAGAGTGTATATGGTTGGAACTTAGTTGTTATGCAGAAAAATAGACTAAAAACCTTTAATTAGCAGATACACTACTTATGCCTCATGAATTTCAGTAAGTGATACCATCCTAAGCCGTGCGAAAAACACTTGTAAGGTGCTATAGAAGCTACCTCATCAAGGACAGGTGATAGTAGGGTGACCATACATACAGCATTTCAATGTATTGTAATGCAGAACTAGTGCTCGCCTCTCCAAAGTACATCATTGTTTGATGTTCACCGTCCAGCACTGGGTTAAAAGAGATATGGTGACCCAAGATGATGGTAATGCTGAAGTTCAGCATTAAGAAATAATAATAATAGAATGTATTATGATTAAAAGTGTAGTCTGACAGGAAAGATTGAAGAGTTGGCCAAGTTAGTCAAAAGGCGGACTTGAAAAACAGAAATTCCTTCAGCAAAAATGCTCATCGAATCCATGCTAATATAGCTGTAAGAAGAACTAGTGGTCCCATATTATCACATTCAGATATAAAATAGGAAATTATACGTTGAATACCAATTATATACCCTGATAATTATTGAGCCTTTCGCTAGACATAATAAATATTTCTCATTTTGTTATGAATGTTAAAATTGAACTAATTTGATGTTTAGCCACTACTATGAGTTGTATGGACACTAAAATATGAATATATACTTATTTTCGTGTATGAGTAATATTAGTAAAAATATATAGTCGAAGTTTCAAAGAATCTGATACTGATACTAAAAATTATCCACAAAAAATTAGGCCGTGACCGACAAAGACGGATACGAGTCTAACACTTAAAAAGAAGAATTTACGCTCCGACATATGTGAATTTTTCCAAGGCTTACTTTAAAACATTTTTTGTGGATCACTCCATATATGTTATTAATAACTATTTGCATACCCAGATAGCACAAAGTCGTCTGAAAGACGTCACCATAAGACATTAGAGACGTCTTTAAGACGACTTATTAATAGCTTATAATGGTCTTGTAAAGCCTTAAATAAGCCATAAATAGATGTTTTTAAGACGTCTTATTAATGGTGTTGTGAAGCTTTAAATAAACCATAATAAAACATCTTTAACACGACTTATTAATAGCTTATAATGGTCTTGTGAAGCCTTAAATAAGACGTCTTATTAATGGCTTATAATGGTCTTCTGAAGCTTTAAATAAGCCATAAATAAGAATACTTATTAATAGCTTATAATGGTCTTGTGAAGCCATAAATAAGACGTCTTTAAGATGTCTTATGAACGGAGGACATCGGAGATCTTGGTTATTTAAAAAGTAGAACAACCTTGCAGGTTATAAAGAATGCAAAAAATAGAATTAAAATATATATTGATAAAATATCTATTAATTACAGGTCACTAAGAGTTATTTTATTTGTATCGTATTCGATCACTCCTCTTTAGCCATAACTGGATTGATTTTTCTTTCTCTTTGATTTGTAGTTGCCTTTGTATAGCTCCTAAAAAGAAATTTAGTTAAGAGCATCTAGTCACAGAAAATTATATTTTGCAAAAGTTACTAAAAACCGTAAGAACAGTTATCTATAAAACAAAACAAAAAATTAATTTCTTAGAATTTTAAAAGAATTTTTTTAATCATTTAATGCAATATGAGCTATTATGCTTAATCGCCTACTTTAACAATTTTACTTTAACTTCACTCAAAATGGCTATCTAATAGGGAGTTTTTGATATTAATATTCTCTTAATCTCCATAAAAACCAAACAAAAATGATAATTGACGAATATCTGAATTAAATCTTATATTAAAGATGTTTACTTTTAAATTAATTTAATTATTCTTACTTAGAAGAAACAGGATATTAATGTTCTATGTATATAAACAAATATTCATTTATTCCCTGTATTCCAGGAACGTGCTACATCGGTAACAGAAACTTTTCTTCCCTCTCTGGTTTTTGTCCCATATTTTTTAAGTGGAAAGACCAAAAGCCACCAAAGACGCTTTTGGTGGCTATAATCGCGTGCGCAATAAAATAATCAATAATCCACAAAGAGCTTGGGCCATACAAATTTTTGGCTTGGGCTTGAATGTACTTTTTCTTCTCTTCGTTTTATATGGGCTCAATCTTTTCACTTTTCCACTGCACTTGATATTTGATTTCAATATTCTTCTCCAAATATTACACTGAATATTTTGTTTAATTTTGTATACTTTTTAAAGTCGGATTGTCACTTTTATACTAGATATTTTGTCATTTTTATGGGACTTCTGGGCTCTCGATTCGGAGACCGCCATTTCAATGTTGCCACGACGGTGTCCGAATCGGAAGTCCGACTTGAATGTTAAACTAAACGTCAAATTTCACTTCATTTGATTCTTCTTGTTAAATTTGAATTATGTAAACCGTGCAAGTTTCCGTCCGACTGAAAGGCGTTTGTAAAACGTCTTAAAGACGTCTTTTGATCTTTCACATTAATATATGGATTTGGCAAGACATCTTTAAGACGTCTTAAGAACGTCTTTGAGCTCTCATATTAATACGTTTGAATTATGACTTTTACAAGACGTCTTATAAAACGCCTTAATAACGTCCTAGGACATTGAGACCAAACCAAGATACAAAAAAGACGTCTTTCAGACGTTCAGACGTGTTGTGCTATCTGGGTAGGAGGTACTATTTGCAAAAATGTGTAGGTACCTTAATTGTATTGCCCATAAAACATTGAGATGGATTATAAAGTTATTTTTTCAGGCATTACCAAAATCAACACCACCTTCCTTATTACAATGATGACATGACAACCTGCCTTTATCATTCTGAATTGAACGGAGATCCTTCACTGGTTAGAGTTAAAAGGCCCACAACAAGAAGAAATCCTAGTGAAGTACCTCCACCCTCAAATAATATTGTAAGAACATATTTATTCTCTATTCACATGACCTGACTCGATTAAAAAAATCTTTGAAAGAAAATTAATTGTATACCAAGTACCTACAATTTTTTAAAGACCACATTCTCTCATACTTTACTATATGCTGCGTTTGAGAATCCACATCGGATGCATTTTTTACATCTCGAGCGTTTTTTTATCCACATCGGACACATCTGTCCCATTACATTTACGTATACTGAACCACGTGATCAAAGATTTTTTACATCTCAGATGCATCCGATGTGGATTCTCAAACGCAGCAAATATTGCAACGTTTTGCCTTTGGGCTAGTGACGTCATCAGTATTGTTGTGACATGTCATTCCATAATTTTAACAGTAAGGGATCATGTGATAACTCAAATTAATAAGATTTCTTTTTATTTTGGATTAACCCTTTTGAGACGAGTTTTTGTTTTAAGTCTTAGGGGTTAGATTTTTAGTGGTTTGATCATAGAAATAATATAGAAGACCAATATAACCATAACATTTAAGCAGAAATTGAAACCTACTGTGCATAAAAACGCGTCTCTGCGCCTGACATCGCAAAATAGTGTGTCTAGAAGCTTGCGCAATATGCATGACTTGTCCCTGTAGTGTTGCCAAATATATTAAACATACCTAACAGAAAAGAATTTTAAATTAATTAATTTTTAAATTATATGATTTAAACAGTTTATATCTACGAAATATCACCACAAAATAACTTATACACATTTAAATAATCAACTAATAATATTTATGTGTAATTACATTCCCAAAAATATATACAAATACCGTATTAATGTCATTAATACGGTATTTTTAATGTTCAATAAGCGATTCACCTACAAATTCAATATTGACCTGGCAATAGCACTAAAATCCGGTGTTTCAAAGCTATATGACGCTGCCCTTACAGGACCGTTTGTAGTTTATTATTTATGCCGCGTTTGAGAATCCACATCGGATGCATCTGAGATGTAGTAAGTAGTAAATCTTTGATCACGTGATTCAGTATACGTAAATGTAATGGGACAGATGTGTCCGATGTGGATAAAAAACGCTCGAGATGTAAAAAATGCATCCGATGTGGATTCTCAAACGCGGCATTAATTATTACACGATGAAAGTGGCATTTTATTTTTAGTTTTGTGTAGTGTTTAGTCAAATCCTAGGTACAATAAAAGACATTTTTACATTGGCTAATGAAAATGTAATCAATGTATTAGGCAGCTGTTATATTTATTACAAGATTTATGTCTGCAAATCTAAACCTACCTAAGAATTATAATTATGTAAATAGAGAGCTGTATATTTACGCGACAGGGAGACATTATCGATATCGGTTTTAAGGCATTTTAAAACATAAACCCGATCTCAACAATCTTAGGAACTCTTCTGTCACTCGATATTTTAATCGGTACTTCCTCTTCGCTTTTTGGCTGGCACAACAATTATTTACATTTCTTCATTCCTTACCGCGTTCGAACCAGTAAGGTTTAAAGAAATTAAAAAAAAAACCTACTTTAAAAATAAAGATGTTAATTATTTTCTTATGGATCCCATCTTCAGATCTTAACTTAATGTATATAAAACTGTTTCCTTTTCTAACAAAAAGAATCCAAGAAATCGGGCAACGTGGTAAAGAATAATTATCGCTCAACATACATAAAAAAATATTTCAACGAATTGAGAATATCCTACCATTTTGAAGTATGTTAAAAAAAAATTGTTAATAAAGTGAAAAGTAGGGCATGAACATATATTATAAAGTATATAAAATGATAGATAAATCCAGTTTAGAAGGTATTATAAATAAACTGTGGAAATATCGAGAATCTTGATTTTGAATCGGAAAAATATTCTACGCAATTTAGTATGAAAGCTGATCAAAATGAAACACATGAACGACAAACTGTTATTGACAACTTTCTTCAAACGTTTTCTATTTTTCCGAAAACTAACTAGATAGTTCGAAAATCATTTCCTTCGTTAAAACGCCTCTTGTTCCGAAAAAGGTACACGCCTGTCAACATTCATCGTTCATTAAAAAAGTGGTAGATACAAAACGCTTCGTATTGTAAGGCCAAAATATATTTAGAAATCGAAATAGTCATATAAACAAAAAAATCATATGAGTGAGATAACTACCAAATTAATGATTTACAAGTTTATTCCTATTATTTATAAAATAGGTTTGCAATGTGCTGGTGTGGAATGTTATCATCGACTAAAAACTTTAAATCTTTGTATTAAATTGATCGAAAACAAACTATAAATTGGTTTAGGCTATATAGAATGTTACTAGTAAGCAGCAACTAATTTTTATTATGGAACCGAAAGACCCTTTTAAAAGGGTTCAAAATTAAAATAAAATATGTACCAAGTAAATGTAGTAATATTTTTTAATTTATATTGAAAATGGTAACATGAAAGGTTTTCTGTCTAACGACTCATAGTCTCGGCTGACAAAATGTAAAAAAATATCGAACATAATATTCCTGGGCCCTATTTTGCACTCCCCAGATTAAATTTAGTTGTAGCAAATGATATTATCAAATAAGATGTCAAATCACAAGCAAATTCTCGTGACTACAGTACTAATGATTGCCTGTTTGGAAAAGTATCTTTGTTTGTAAATATTTATATGCATAGTTATATTTAAATGCGCGAGTGTAATGTTAAGTATAAACAAAATCCGCCCATTATGTATATACGTTTAGTTACCGACCCTAGTAGATAGGCAATTTGTTATTGTTTTAAGTTTTACCGTAGGGAGAGAGAAAATCAATATTAGGATAAATGGTCCAGCTCCTTTCTGGTTACGTAGGTACCTAAAAAGTATTTTAGTTTTTGGTTAAGTAATTAAATAATTATTGTAACAGTGATTTTTTTGTGATAGTACCTAATTTAGATTGTGGATTAAAGTTTTTGTATATAATTTCGCTGTTTAATAATAAACGTAGTCAAAACCGGAGCACGTGGTTTTTCTGGAAAGTATTTTTAAAATCACAAGCAAAATCTCATGACTACTGTACTAATGATTGCCGAAAATTAACTAATTCATATTTTATGCCATATCTTTCTTAATAAGGACTGTCAGAACCATATTTACCTTCACTTGAAATTTTTTTAATCGTTTTTTGTATAGAATCATCTCTAAAAATGTATGATTGAAATATCGTGTGAACTATTTGTTCGATCAATAAAAAACTTGCACCGGTCCTGTTCGCGCCAGCACCGTTATATGCATGAGCTCCGACACACTATTTTCTCCTTACGGTTTCATTTTTGATATATGGAATCGGCTTTCTATACTATTTCTATGGGTTTGATGTTAGTGGCGATCAAATGAAACCTCTGCATCGAAATTTAAATGAATTTTTATTTATAAGAAGTGGTGGGGGGATGGCACATATATGTATAGCACAAGTAGAAGTTGGAAAGGCTTTTGTCAGTTCTCCCACTTTATACACATAAATTGACAGGTTTGCGGAGGATCGCATCGAAGTGGACGCGATACATTGGCGTACAAAATTATTTTATAGATCTTAATAACAATTTCGAGCAAATAATTTAATAAATTATGAATAGCTGTTGAAATTTTGTAAAATTTGATTTGTCCAGTTCCGCCGGTAACAATTTAAAATTACTTATTCTATGAAACGACACTGGCAGGTAAACATTACTGCGATATTCTCGAAACTATCCGACGTGGTTTGACGTTTACCCCCTCTCTACCTACCAAAAGCCTTCCCAACTTCTACTTGCGCTATACCACCAGTCTTTCAGGGTGGTACCAGAGACAACAGTGGTACATAATACATAAGTGTACCAAACAGGGCCGATTAGAGGGTGGGGGGATAGCCGGGACTAATTCCCGGGGCCCGGACTGAAATGGGGGCCAGGCAGCGGTATAAGGGGGGGCTCGTCAACTGGATTTTTTTGTTTTGTATGAGAAATTCGATACAAGACGAGAGTGAAAAGTTTTAGGTTTTTTTTAGAAAAAGCAATTCACGCAGAGTAGAAGTTTTTGCTTGATGACTTTTTTTTTCAATTCAAGTAGAAGAGGAGCTTTTTTTGTCACGGGGCCCGATCTAGAGAATTGTCCTGGGGCCCGGCCTGGCTCTTGGCGGCCCTGACCAAACATTTACAAAACATTAATTTTATAAATTTTACTCAAACATAAAAAGTGTGGTATGCAGTAAAACAATTCTTGCATAATATGGTATCCTACACTGACTGCAAACTGTCTTGTTTCTCTTCTGAATCTTAGTTTCAGCACAGCGAGCACATCTCCTACGAGTTTTACCTTCAGTAGGCACCCATACAGCACAAACATTTCAGAAATATGTTAAAAATATTACATTGCAACATTTGTAATGTTGTATTAATATTACGAAACATCCCAGAAACATTTCTGAAATGTGCCTGAAACGTAAAAATGTCCTCTAAATATATTTCACAATAATATTTCTGAAATAAAAATTTGAAATCTTTTAGAAATATTAAATAGTAATATTTCAGAAATCTATTCTAGCTTTTTTTTTTCTAAAATATATTATTATTCTAGGTTAAACCAAGACCACCATTTAACAGACAAACACCATATCCCAAAACGGCAAATACGGCCAATGCCAAAAAGTCAAATAATAACATTGACCAAAAAAGTCACTCATCATCACGCAACAGCAGTTGCTGTTCGGTGGATAAAAAACGAATCATCCCTACCAGGACGCCGAGTGGTTCTGTAAGTGCCCGAAGCGAAAGCAAAAAGAACACGCCTACTAAAAATTCCAGACGAAGCGCATCTCTGAGTTCCAGAAGTGACATTCAAGTAGAAACGAACGTAATGGATACCAATACTGCTTCTTCGCCAACGTCGTCTCCAAAAAAGAACGGGAGAGATAATCGTAGAAATAATAAGTAAATACCAAATATATTATTATTTTTTTTTATTTATAATTTACCCAATAACAATGATAATTGAAGGGGTTAGAAGCAAAAGGGTTCAAGTAATATATTTTATTAAATGAGTTAAGTGCATTTAAACTGTTTTATCTAAAACAAACTACACGTTTTTAATAACATGCTTTTTCTACCAGCTGACAAATCTTGTTAAGACATCAAAAATCACTTGTATCGTTTTAGCACCAAAAAAATAATAGTTTTAAATAACAAAAGATGCACTTAACTCATTTAAAAAGAAATATCACTTGAACCCTTTTGCTTCTAACCCCTTCAATTACAATTCTATAGGTTATTTTGTTGACCAGTAGGAAAATCCTATGAATGTCATAATGATTCTTCTCCAATGAAAGATAAAGTCTGTTGGCCAATTTCGTTTTCATCGACTGTTGTTTTCTTCTATCAGAAGTGGTTACAGCAATGGGTTGGTGCGTGACTCCAATCTTTGGTGATGCATTTCGCTTCTAAGCTTGATTGTCTCTTGGACTGTTTCTATACGAAAACGGAAGGGAAATAACTGGGAAATACCACAGAACGAAATGAGAAATAAGTAAAGTTTTGTGAAAAACTTCAAAACTACAAGAATGGAGCCAAGAACCAATCGTCTTTGCCACCGAAAACCATAAAATTCTGATTAATCCACCGAAGGAACTGGAGCAAGAATGTATGTGCCTAGAACCAATAACTCTTTAAGTTTGGATAAATACCCAAGCACTTACCCGGAGGAAATTCACTTTTTGATGTATGTATCCAGTTCAACGTCGATTAAAACTAGCAAACAAGAGATTATCATGTCCGATAGCCAAGCAGCCATCAAGACGCTGAACTCTTACGTTATCAGCTCAAAAATTGTCCAGGAATACCTAAAAAAATACAGTTACTCTTACTTGGATACCGGGACACAGCAGGGTGAAGCATAATCTCGCAAGGAATGGGGTTCAAACACCCTTTGTGGCTCCTGAGCCGTTCTGCGGTATCAGCAGTAACACAATATAGGAGAAATTAAAAAATATTTTGGGGCTAAGGCAGATTAAGACGACTACAATCAGGAAAAATCGAAATCATGTATGTCTGAGCAAGAATAGGATCCTTATCGGACATTGCCGACTCAAAGGAAACCTTACAAAACTTGAATTAATAGAAGATAGTAAGTGCAGATTTTATGTGGAGGAAGAGGATGAAATCTCCATTCGCATTCTGATCGAATATGTGTGGCATTACAAAATAAGGGCACTATACTCGGGAGCATACTAAATAGAAGATCTAACAAGACACTCCAAATCCTAAACTTCTTTAGGCAATTTCTTTACTGCCTTAGCGACAGAAGTTATTTTAGATCACAGTGTATCTGATACCCCATTACATAACATACGAAGATCTTGATGGATCCTTTGATTTGTGACAAACAATGAAGCGTCCACTATTTGTAAAATCTTCGAATGTGCTCGTTGTATTGTGACTAGACTGAATTTTCTGGTATAAGGCCATGTGTCCATATAGGAATAATATAGCAGTTTTGTATACCAAAATTTTGTTTTCTAATGACATTTTTTTATTTTCTGCTTGGAAGCCATTATAAATCTTTCATTTATTTGAGATCAATTGATTATTTTTTGTTTATACGACCAGACCGCGTTGTAACGTTGTCTGGGCCATATAAACTGGCATCGCTGATATTATTCGTCTCTTGTTCCCTTCTGCTGCTAACTTTCTGTAGTTTTAACACGCACTTCTGCAAGGCTTATTGGAAGATAGATAATGTACAGGTAGGTCTCTCAACAAAAAAAAAACAGAAATCGTTCACCTTAATTATTTTCTTGAAGTCTTCGGAAAATGCATAAGGACGTTAATCAGGATAACTTCTAATAAAAGCAGCTTCCAGGAAAACTAATCTCCAGGAAAAGCAACCTTTAGGAAAATTCAAACTTTCTGAGAAAGCCAAATTCTCACAAGGCATTTAATTATATTTTAAATGTAATAAATATTGAACTTTCAGCAATAAAGGCAATATGATATTTAATAGAAACGAACCGTCTCAAACGGGCCCGGCATTCATTACCAAAAGACTCGCGCCATCCGAAAAATCGCAGTTGCCATAGTATTATACAGGTCGAATCAATACAATGCCATAAAATTATACGAGACATTGGCGTCGCATGCGGAGTAGAATGTGGTTAATTAATCCGATATAATGTAACAACAATAATTATTGTTACACTGGGTGATGTTGGTTGTCTTATTGATATTGTAAAATAAATGAAATCGAAGATTGTAGGTTCAAATAGCAATTTATTTTATCACAAAACAAGAGAATGGCCGCAAAAAATTGTCATTTTACATATTTGATTAATAATGGTTAATCTCAGAAAATATTGTATTTAAAACCTTCCAAACAGATCTCTTAACTCGTCTTTTGGAGATAAGATTCTAGGTGTATCGTATCGAAGATTCAATTATTAAGGAATGAATGTGAAATGCTTCTTTTCAGTTATTGTTTTAAATTTAAACACGCCTTCTCGTCCAGTCGTAGGGTTGTTTAACGCCCGCGTGAAGTGTTGCATCCGAATTCAATAATGTAACTAACAAATTAAACTTGCCAGAGTGAGCTCTATAGTACGTGTTACTTGTTTTTTTTTTAACAGTTTTTTGCGTTTCCCACCTAGCACATAACGTTGCCAAGCCTTTCGGCGATGTTGTTTTAAGGGAACGTAATAACATTACCATTCAACTGTTACAGGCTCCTGGTTCACCTACAGTGAATCAGCGAGTCTGTGTGGCGCTATGTAGGTGATTCCAGAATAGGGGTTGCTCAGGCGCCAGTTTTGGTATCGCAGTTTGCTCTGCGACCCTGTGGTACACCAGAATGTACTTAAGGTAAACTCAGTGGAGGTAAAAAAATAATTCCAGGCGGTCACTGCTAGGTAGACACTATACTAGAATAAATAAAAATAAAACACTTATCTCCTTTACACCTCGTACCCTACGGTACCCTGAAAGAGAACGGTTAAGAACCAGCAGTAAGAGAAACACAGGAATAGGTAATAAAATATATATTTACAAAAAAAAATACAACGGTAATTAAATATTAACGGCCCCTGTATTCGGAAAATTTATTAAAAATAAATTATTACACTTGAAAACTAATTAAATATTAATGGATCCCTGTAGTCGGAAAATTTATTAAAAATAAATTATTACAATTGAAAACTATTTAAATATTGAGAAATAATTACGGTTCGCTAGCACAGGAGGCCAAGCGGTCCGAGAATTATGAAACTCCCTGTATGCGGAAAATTTATTAAAAATAAATTTATACACTTGAAAACAATTTAAATATTGAGAAATAATTACGGTTCGCTAGCACAGGAGGCCAAGCGGTCCGGGAATTATGAAACTTCCTGTATACGGAAAATTTATTAAAAATAAATTACTACAATTGAAAACTAATTAAATCTTAATAGATTCCTGCATTCGGAAAATTTATTGAAGATAAATTATTATAATCGAAAACTATTTAAATCGGAAATTATGTACAACCCGGTATATGGAAGGTATGTTTTTCCAAAATCACGAAATAGTAAAACGGAAAAAAACGGTAATTAAAACGGAGTAATTAATTTTTTTAACAAACTGTTACCAACTGGGAAGTTCATAAAAAATGAAAGAAAACGGGTAGTTACGACACTCCCTGTATACGGAAAATAAAGTTTGCTAATACCACCATTAACCCACCTACAATGTACGTTCAGAAAAGGAAAACCTACTATATAATGAGACAAAGTTTTCGGAACCCCCTTGTATCTTATCCTCGAGCGATGGGCCGCGGCAATTTTCGTCGAGTGAGAATCATGGGAATTTATGCGGTGTTTTGGACAGCGTAGGCGACGATCGTAGAAAATAATATTTTGAAATTTGCTCAGAGTCGATCGAGACGGTGTGTGAATTAATTTTACAGAAGTCGTCTGGCTTCGTTCAATAACTTATTGTGGACGGGGAACGGAATGATTCAAATACAGCTGAATAAAAAAAAAAAGAAAAGAAATTTACATGAAGAAGCGCGAAAATTAAATTAGACGTCTTTTTGGGAAATTAGATAACGTCGTCAGGAGAGAGCACTCTAACTCGGGAACGGATCGAACCTCCGAAAAAAGAAAATAAAATAATAAAAAAAAAAATTGAAAACCGGTTGAACCTCTCACTTAACTGGGCGGTTCCTAAGAGAAATTGGATATAGTCGTTGACAATGAGAGCACTCAGAGCCTAGCCTATGTCCAGCCTCAAATAAAAATTGCCAACGGTTTCCCACTGAGGGATGAAATGAAATATCCTGGATATGAATCAAAATTTTTCACTTGTCGCACGGGTGTCCCAACTAATTATATAAAAGTCAATAAAAAATAATATGCGGTTTCCTACCTTAAAAAAAAGAACAAGGGGGTTGTTCAATGATCTTTCGAAATCACGGCACACGGAGTATTTCACTAGACACTGTAGAAGGGCGAATAGTTTTCGGCTGTCGGCAATCAAGAGGAAGAGCTTACGGCGGCCGGCAATCAAGAGAGAAGAGCTTACGGCGGCCGAAAATCAAGAGAGCGTAATTCTCAGATGTGATTGAATTTATGCTTTTCGGTAAACCTGAGTGGGGGATACCACTACTACAGCCGACTGTTTACAATTTAAAAATAAAAAAAAATGCCCATTCGGATTTCGGAAAATATAGGAATATTTTAACCTACGAGGGTACTCGCAATTGTTGAAAACGGTTATTCCTGGGAAACGTGCTCAGGCGGGAATTAATTGAAATATACATTTTAAATAAATAAATTTAAATTAAATAAACATGAAATTAGTGACTTCGTCACACAACGTAATTGCAACGTTCATGAGAAGTTGTTGAGGGAAATCAAAACCTCGCGAAACATCTATTTGTTACTTACGTATTTAACCTGCCTGTTATGATAACACAACGTAATAAAGTAATTTGCTAAAAAAGTACCCACGAGAAGTACTATGAACATCATCTTGTTTTCGAACGTAGCCATTCGTTTGTCATAAGTCAACAAAACATAAAAAAATGTCACTTGTCATTTTTTCTTGTGGGTATCTATTTGAGAATTTAAAGAAATTGTAATTTGTAAACTATTTATTTTTTTATAAACTTACTACAACATACTTGGTTACAGTATTGTGGTAATAATTGTTCTGTGAATATGGTTACTGTGGTGACGTCACTCATACAATGGTAGCCCTATTATTGAATGTCATATGTCAAATTTAATTTAAGTTTGGGGATTTCTAAACAGAATTTAAATTATAGAAATTTTAGGATGTTCTGATTTTGCTATTTTTTATTATAGTATGGTCTAGTAAGCTTATAAAGAAATGCCTCGTTAGATGTAGCTACATATGCTTTGGTAACATATAACGTCATCAGAGTAACCAAACCTTATAAAGAATTGCTCTGGTTACATAAGTATTGTTGTGGTGAGACGAATTATTTTATGGAGTTTTATTAAATAAAACTCAATATTTACTCACTTTAAATACCTTCTCGCTTCATTTCTTATAAATAAATGCCTAAAATATTTTGTGGTTTGAAAGAGATGGGTTCCAATATAGCGCTGGTTATGTGTCTGGATATTAAATTTTATTTTTATTAACCGACTTCAAAAAAGGAGGAGGTTCTCAATTCGTCGCGATATTTTTTTTATGTATGTTCAGCGATAATTCTTCAACACGGTGTCCGATTTCAATGATTCTTTTTTTGTTGGAAAGGGGGTACTTCAGGGGTGGTTCCATATAAATTTGGTCAAAATCTAATAATTTGGTCCATGAGAAAATCCTCAAACTCTTCATTTTTTAGGTATGTTTAGCGATAATGCTTTACCACCTTGTCCGAGTTATATGATTCTTTTTTTGTTAGTAAGGGGGTACCTCAAGGGTGGTCCCATATTAATTTGGTTAAGATGTGGTGATGGCATCTGCACGTTTTTGAAGTCGGTTTTTTTAATTTCTAATACTTGTAAATAACGTGGTTACTTTCGCACGAGAACGTTGCAATAGATTTTAGAACTGTTTGTTGTCGTACTTAAATTATTTATTTTTATTGTAAAAAATGCTTTGTATTTTTAACAGAATCCATGTTTCTAACTCAAAACGATTTTAAGGATACAATAGTTGGATTTTCGTGGGTTGCCAAAATGACTGTATCGCCTTAAAATGTGCCTGTTATTGTATAACCAGAGGTTGAGAGATCTGATATATTCATGAAGGCACAGCGATTGACTAAATCCTGCGAATGTATACTTGTTAACCCAATATAAATGCAATATATGACTTACGAATTCTGTAATGTATTTTTTCTTTTTAAGGGTGGAAGAACACGAATATTTACTATTTCTTCTAAGAGTAACTGAAGATATAATAATGAATAATTATTATGCAAATGAAGATATAGATCGCGTTTTCAGGGAACATATGGATATCAACAAAGACAGGCTCATGAAAGTAATTACATTTTGAATGCTTAACTTCAAAATAGTTTGTATAAACGAAAGAAATATTTTTTATTTTGAGCATATTTTATACTTTCAATGAAAAAACTTGATATGCTTTTACATTTTTAGCTATTTCTGTTTTTATTTGACTTTAAAAAAGCAGGAGGTTCTGAATAGCTTTTATGTATGTCCAACGATAAGTCTTTAACCCGGTGTCCGATTTCTATGATTCTTTTTTTATTAGTATACCTCAGGGGTGGTTCCATATAAATTTGGTCAAGATGTGGTGATACCATCTACACAATTGAAGTCAGTCGGTTTTTTAAAAATTACTGTTAATACTTAATACTTTAACTATGATTAGTTTCGTTTGTAGTATACATATTTCTAAATTATAAACTTAGGGTTTCCATCATCTACGTTTAAAAACCACTTTTATACTCATCCACAATACCCATCACATTTTTATTGGCCTGTTTCTCTTCTATCGCCAACATGCATTCTTACCCTTTACTGTAACAAATACGTAATGTACAGAATTGCACTTGTACATTTACAGATTTGACACAGTCCATCTCCAAATTTCAATGCAATGCTGGAACCACCTAAAACTAAATATTTTTAGGAGAATCTAAATAATTTATTTTAATATCTACACATTTCAATACTACCCCACCTTTGTTCTGCTGCTCCACCCATACAGCGTTTTTATGTTTAAGATCTTATTGAACAATACAACAGAAGCTAATCAATGCCATTATCTTATTGTATTCTGCTCTCTTCAATTATGCCATTATCTTAGTGTCTTCTGCTCTCTTCAATTGGGTATTAGATAAGATCAATCCGTGACTTTTTGGGCCTTTAAAGAGATATTTTCTGTTTAGGTTAGCAAGAAATCACTTGTCTATATTTTCTCTTTAGGTTAGTGATAAAGCACTTGTCTATGCTGTCTTTCCTAATTCTCTAACAATGATTTAGCCATGTATTTTGGTATTCCTCTATTGTACATCGTTCTCAAAATGAACTCTCAGCTTCCACATAGTCATTATTTTCTATGTACAATCTTGGATACATCGGAATCTACCAGAGCTTTTTTTACTTATTCCTATAACTGATATATCATGACGACAACTGTTTTCCAAAAATTCCTTACAACTGCAGATTATTCTGTATAAATATTCGGGTTTCTATCTGTATTTTCAATTTTTTTATTTAGGAGAAGATGGAGCAACATCTAGCGAGACTGGCAGACGAGTTGCATATAAACGATGTACAAACGATGAATTTCGAAACTGAAAAGTGTACACCTCTGTCAAAACCCGCTTATACAAATATCCAAACACTCAAAACGTGCCAATGCGAATGCGCGCCCGACGTACCTCTAGACATGTATCTGTATCCTACAGAGGAGTATAACTACTACAATCAATCCTACAAGAACAATTTGGATGAAATCATTTATTACAGGCACAGTTTAGGTACTTTTGTTTTAAACATACCTTTCTACATGGCTCTGAAAATTACTTTTACTTTTTCAGGTAGATTAACGGAATATACTGAACCAACAAATTCGTCTACGACAGTGACCAAAGCGATTTCTTCCTGTCCCACGAAATCGAACAATATGCTTTTGGAAAATGCTGAGTTGGACGATTCCAAACTTAAAATTTACGATACCAGATCCGAAGTTTTCAACATAAAGCGAAATGAAAGTGAAGGTAATATCTAATTTAACACAGTCATTTTAGACTTTATGTATATTCCGCCGTTACCAATCTTTCTTGTTCTGACGACGAATCCTACTGATTGCGCCAAATGTTATTATATATTTATTTATTTTCTTATTTAAACAAGCCGAAACTAATTATATGAATAAACATATATAATTACAAAAATACAAAGTATTTACATCTAAGGTAAGAGGTAAAGCTATCAAAAACTACAGAGGTATGTTTACTTCACTTCAATTAATTATATTTACGTTAACCGCATAAGATTAATATATGATTTAGTATGGTATTGCGAAAACTATTTTGTGAAACATTCCAGTCAAGTTCAATAAGAGAATTAAAATTGTTGGCCAAAGGAAACATGTTCACTAGAGGAATTCTGTTCATTAAATGTATTGTCGGAATATTAAACATAGCTGACATCCTAGTTCTGTGTGGTGGAACATTGAATCTAATTAGAGAAAGAATATCAGGGGAATTGATTTTATAATTAATTATCTTATATAAAAATATAACTAAATTCAGTGTACGTCTGCTGTCTAAAGATACAATTTTAAATTCGTCTCGAAGTTGACTAGACCTAATCAAGTTATAATCAACTCTGATATGATACTTTTTGTAATAAAGATCTAAGAAATTTATTTTGGATCTTTTTAGTTTCATTCAAATGAGTTTGATACTCACTTGACCAAATCAGAGGGCCAAATTCTAATTTAGATCTGACTAAACTAAAGTAGAGGCTTTTTATTGTATTGATATTGGAAAAAGTAGAAATTTGTCTTATTATAAATGCCAATAAGCGATTTGCAGCTTTAATTACATTTTTTATGTGAAGGGCAAAAGATAACTGATTAGTATAACACCTAAATCTTTGATCTCTTCATTTCTCTTTAATATTTCATTGTTCATCATATAATTAAAAACAACTGGTTCCTTTAAACGCATTAATGGCATTACATAACATTTGGTAATATTAAAATAAAGTTTATTTCTTTGACTCCACTCATACAAATTATGAATGTCCTTTTTGTATCGTTACACAATCCCTCACAGTTTGTACCTGTTTGTATATTTTATGCAAAAAGTAAACAGTCTGAATATTTTAAAACCATAGGCAGATCATTTATAAAAAGTACAAACAGTAGGGGGCTAATATTAGATCCTTGTGGAACACCAGAATTAGCTGAAAACTTACCTGACATACTACGTTATGCTTTACAATAAATGATCTATTTTCCAGATAATTTTTTATCAGATTTATCAACTTGTCAGATAATCCAAAGGTATTCAATTTTTGAAGCAATATATCATCGATATCCATATTAGATCCACGGGATATTTCTGATATCCTGTGGATATATTGGATATCCACAAAAGATATTCTGTGGATATCTCTGGGATTTGGAGTGTTGTCTGGGTTGTCGTTTGTCCACGATTTTAAATCTAAAACCATGTGATCTTAAAAATCTCCACAAAGTAGTTTTGTGGCAATTTTCAAGTATCATTTTGTTTTTTAAAGTTTTCATTAGTTTGCTTAAATTTTGGAAGTTGTTTGCATCATACATATGTCATATTGTTTTACTGATAGGTTCCAATAAATGTTTTGGTATACAACGAGAAGAACCGGAATCGTTTCACGAATGCCGAGGTTCTGCTCCACTTTATATAATTTTAGCTATTAAGCAGAAATATTAGTTTAAAATATTGTCCGCTCCACAGCGGCAGATTTTGGTAACTCCAATTGAATCGGTGAGTTCAAAAACCGTACATGTCCAAAATCATCTTTCCGAGAAAAACAATATATAAACCTTTCAACGAATCACGAATATGTTTTCGCCTAATTTCACGGGTATAATCAATTATACTACGTTAACGGATAGGTATCTAGTACGGTTTTTAAGCTCAATTGATGAAAATGAACAAAATGTAAAATTTTGGTTACGGTTGTCGAACTCACCGACTTACACATGCAAGTATCAAGATTTCGTATTCCAAATGTGGGTTTAGTGTTGTTGGGGGTAATAAACCACAATAAATATTGCGAATTTGCAGATATTTTTTGGAATACTTGTATTTGTAAGTCCGCCATATTTGCAGATCAGCAAAGTTGCAGATCTGCAAAGTTGCAGACGTTCTGTAATCTCACCCTAACTCCATTATTTTAACAACACAAACAATATTGACAAACTGTAAAACAGAAATAAATCAGGTTTGTTAACGATGGTCGATGGTCAGTTCAACCCTGTCCTTTCAACTGCGCAGAGCATTACAACAGTGCCTCTGTACAGACAAGAGAATTTAATTGTGACACTTAAGGCCATTTGCACCGCTAGTCTTTAAAAACTAAGCGGAGCTTAAAGTGATATTGTTAATGCAAAAATGTTAGTTTAAGCTTGGCTTATTTCTTAAAGATGTTTAATTTGGCAACAGTGTCGACTACTCAGAATATTTCCTTACACTTTTTGATGTTATTTCACTTTTCCAGACAAATTTGATTTTTCTCGAAAAAATTAAATATTCTATTATTTGTTTTTGTCAAAAACTAACTACAATAAACATAAATTCTTACCTAGCCTTAGATAGGACATCCCAAACTATTTCCTTCTTCATCTATCATTCGTTGTTTTCAACTGAGTCTGTCAGTCTTATATCTCCACCTCATCATACTTTCTCTAACCTTGACTCCAGCTCTAAATGAATCTAGCAACATGATCCGTCAATCGCCTTTTTGTAAATATGTATAAATAATATTACTATTTTTTTATTTGAAATTAATCTGTCTTTATATTTTCAGATAGTCTCTGCCCTTCCAAATTCTTACGAACTGCCATAAGCGAGAACATTGTATATCAAAATGATATCAATGAAAATGCAGGAAGCCATTTAAACAAAGACAGGCTTTCAAACAAGGTTACGATCAGAGAAAAATTATTACGATTAAATAAGGATCAAAATATAGGCGTTATTGAAGAAGATAGAAATGTCTGCGACGAAGACAAAGATGGTGAACAAGAAAAGGTTTCGAACGTCGATGAAATCACTCAAAATATGGACAAATTCAAATGTTTCAAGTCTACGTCGGAAATCTCGAAGAAAACCGATTCCATTACAGATATAAGCATTATATGCGACGATAGCATAGAAAAAATCAATGAAGGAATTAATAAAAGTAACGTGAATACCGATAAAGAAGAGAGCAACCTATGTCTCAGTGAAAGCAACTCTAAAACGTACAAAAGCGATTTCAGCAGTGAAAGTGCGGAAAAATACGACTTGATAGGAAAGTTCAGGACGAAAAGAAGTAAATCTTACCAAGAAAAGATCACTATTACCAATTCGGTAACCAGACAAGAATCTACTACGACGGAATACAGCGGGTTCGCCACCGAAGTGAATGCAGAGAGCAGCGACATAAATTCGGACAAATTCGACGAGCCTACTGAAAAAAACACTCCGCTGACGCCAAGCAGACATCACAATAGAAGCAAATTCATCCTCGAACAAGGTAACGAAGAAATCAGCGACAAAGAAATCGGCGATTTCGATACGGGATGCAAAAACTCTGATTCGGATAAAAATATAGCGGAAAGGGGCGATTTTAAATCGGAAAAATCCGATGTATTCACAGAAAAGTACGAAAATAAAGTAATCAACGATTGTACAACGCAAAAAGTTGACAAGTGTTCAATCACGGATTTCCGTTTGGAACAACTCAACGTATCCACAGACGTGCGCAATTGCGAAATGCGATTGAATCTCGATTTCGCTAAAGATTCGATCGAAAGCATGATCCCCAGTCCGTACTTAGAGACTTCGAAGTCCAAAGAAACTAAACTACCTCTAGAGATGGATTTCACCATACACGATTCCAAAGAATTCAAAAGTTACACTGTGATTCCCTCGCAACCGAGAGAAATCGATAAGTCTGTACAAACTTCCTGTTCGAAATTGTGCGCAACAGAGAAACCGGAAACCCAAAATAAAAGCGTTCAAATGTCGTGTACGTATTCGTCGATAGCGTGTTGTACCGAAGACGACAACGATGTCCATGCCAGCAATAGTGATTACATTTTAATTACAAGTCCAGTGTATATATTAAAAAGCGCGCTAAACTCCCATACCAAAATAATCATCAAAAAAGATAAGTTTATAGAGTCTGAACAAGAGATCGATCACCTAGAAGATATAGAAAAACGGTCAGATATCGATAGCGACGCGAAATCAATCGATTTGAAACTTCTAGGCTCCGACTACGATCTATTGCCGGAACGCGACACCACAAATAAGCCTCACCACCTAACGGTAGACACTAGTTTGTCTCACGTGCGCATACCATCACTCTCTTCGATACAGGAGGACAGATTGCTTTTGGGCAATCTTTACGAATTGCACGACGATTCGAGCCGAGACAATTTAGAACTCGGATCCGCTACGTACAGGTGCATAGATACTGCCAAAGCGTTGAGCTGTGATGACGATATTTTTTTACGGAATTCCGAAGTTAAAGTGAATCAAAATTGGTTGTCCGATAAGGGCGAAATGCCGAGACCCTCTCAGAAGAAACGAGTTAATAAATTGAAACATGTTCGAGCAAGTGTAAATGTTAGTAACAGTACGTCGTCCGCATCGTTGACTTGTTAAATTAATAAAAAGTACAAACTAGCAACTGTAGTTTTATTTGAATGTTCGGCCAGAACAACGTCGTAACCGATTGAGTAATGGTATGAGTATTTCTTATTTACCTGCTTGTATATTGTTTGCTATTGTATTATCTTTTTATTTATTTATAGTATTGTTTTAGTTTTTATAGGTAACTCTGTATGTTGTAGATATTAATTTTCTTTCGGAATATGTATACTGTAATAGGGTTTTTATAATTACAAGGTAAGTTCGGATAGCCCAGTTCAATTAACTCTTTTAAGTGTAAATGACCCTTTTAGCGTTCGTTTATTCAGATTCGTGACAGTTCAACGCGCTTAAATGTCAGAAACACCCTAAAAACTCCACTCATGTCCCGTTCCAGCCCCTGACTCTCCGAACTCGTCTAGAACAGATTCAAACAACCAACCTGTATACAGATTAAAAAAAAAGTATTCGAGCAATACTGTGGAGTTACGCCCACCTCTATTATAGCGTTGTCTGAAGACATGTAGACTGCTATGCTAATAATCATTTTTTTTTTTTTTTCATTAGTGTCTTCGACTTTAACTTAGGCAATTAGCCTCGTGTTCTATGTAGATTATAGAGTACCAATAGTCTAATACTCCATAGTGCTCCATTTGCTAGTACTTCTGTCATACATATGGGAGTTCAGTGACTCCTGTACGGCGACAGACAGGCCTTGTTACTGTTTCGCCACTTTAGGAACAGCACTATTAGGATCCAACCGTGAATGGTCGGAGTAAAAAACTCTCAGCCTAGTCATGTGCTCAACTTTTTACGGCCAAATCGTATTTGTTTAATAAAAATATGCATTGATTAAGCGAATCAAAAACACTTTTTTTTTAACTTTGTAAGTTACAAGAATGCCTGTGGAATATGAAAAACTGCCTATAGTGCAGCTGAAGCTTCTAAATATGTTTTCTTTCTGCTCTTCTAATTCGTAAATTAATTCGTCGCTTGCAACTTCGCTTAAAATATTTACAGCATCGTTAACAACGTAAGAAACGTGTGTACGACTCTCGGTCCAGTAGTTAATCAACTCGACGTATGGTCTGTGAACTCGACTGCGTGCACTAAAGTCTATTCAGATTTCATTTACGCCGCGTCAAAACAATTTCTCCCATCCAGCAACAGCTCACGTGACATTTTTTTTGCGCTTCTATTGGTTAATCGGTCGTTTGTCATTTAGACGTCGCGCAAATATTTTTTGTCAGAGTCGAATTCAGTTCAATTTGGATAAATATAAACGGCGTTTTGGTAGCATTCACCGTGTTGGTTAGTTTGGACATGTTGTATGTTTGATTGATTATAATTCATTATATTATAGTTTAGATATACATATATTGTGTTATTTATTTTGTTTGTTTTTGTGGTTGTTGTTAGTTTGAACATGTTTTACTCTATTTTATGAACATTTAATTGACTATATTTTGTAATTGCTGCGTGACACTATGTCCTCCACAGATACAGCAGATAAAGTCCAGAAAAATGTTTTTACTCCTTCTAAAAAGCGACTGAAAAAGGGACATTTGGTCATCCGTACTAAAGAAATGGTTCTTAATATTTATAAGCATTAAATTTTATAGAACCCTGATATGTTGGTACATGATGTTGAAAGGAGAGTTGTTGATAAAACAGGGATGTGCGCTAAAACCGTTTTTAATGTTATGAAGGAGTATAGGCAGATTCATAAATTTTCTGAACCAAAAAGAAAGCTACGTTATAAACAAATTAGTGGCTCTGTGGATGATTTTGATAAAAATGCAATAAGGCGCAAAGTACATTAATTCTTCTTTAGAAATTAACTTCCAACAATTGATAAGGTTTTATAAGAAGTCAACGATGATCCATATTTGTCTACTTTTAAGCGAGCTACATTTTACAAGCTTTTCAAAACCCTTAATTTTAAATTTAAAACTCGAGGAAAAAATAGTTTGCCTTTAGACAAAAATGAAATTGTTTCGTCCTACGCCACAAAAAATAAAACGGTACAGAGAAGAAAAGCAAAAAATATATTATCTTGATGAGACTTGGATTAACGCAGGCCACACCAAATCAAAAGTATGTTGCGATATGTCGGTTTTTTCATCCAGACAAGCCTTTTTGGATGAACTTTTAACTGGTTTTAAAAACCCATCAGGTATGTGCGTAAAAACAACTCATTATATGCCATATTGGAAGTGAAGAAGGCTTTGTCTCTAATGCACATTATGTATTTGAGTTGAAAAATCCGGTGACTACCATGAAGAAATGTGTGGAGAATCGTTCAAAGAGTGGTTTTCAAACACTCTACCAAAATTAGAAGATAACTGCATTATTATACGAGAAAGCTGGAAAAAATATCTACGACGTCTAAAAAAGGTGATATTTAAAAATGGCTATAAGGGAAAAAAATTGAATTCGATTACCAAATGCTTGAGATCCAACTTCTAAAACTTGGTAAGCAACATAAACATTATGATAGGTATGTAATAGATGAAATGGCTAAGCAGCAAAACAACATAATAATTAATCTAGGATGACGTTAAACAATACGTAGCAGATAAAAACTCAACTAAATTCTTTTTGAACAAGTAATATTATTAATTTCTCCAGAAAAATGGAAAAAGTGTATGGACTATGTTCGCCAAAAAGTTGAAGTAAAAATGTGGGAGTTGGATAATATTATAGAGGTTCAGGTAGAACCACTTGTAATTTTGATTAATGAAGATAGCCTTTCTAGTCTAACTAATTTATCCGATTCAGAATAGTGCTAAGTCAAGTAAGGAAGATTGCTATAATACAGGGTACAAGTTGTCTAATCTAAATACTAGTAGAACAAGAACAATAAAGAACAAAAGTTATCAAACATACAAAAGGTTTCTTTTTAAGATGCACAATTTTAAATCAAATACCAAATACCTCTTATATTTAAAGTTTTTTTAATGCTTTTAGTAGATATATATATTAGCTATTAAAGAATTTGCAATTATTTGGACACCCTGTACAATATAATTTTATATGATAATATAATGCTCTGTATCACAGTAGACATATGTAATGAACTAAATATAATGCAACCATCTCTTTTAAAGTCAAATACATTTATTAATTTGTATTGCAGGTTAACGCAGTTTATGTCGCTAACCTATCTTCGTCCAGAAATGTCACTAAAGTCTGGGAGACCGTGTATGGCATTTATTTTATAGTTTTACTTTACAAAATATGTTTTTATCGTAATAAAAAAATAATTTCACAATTACACTCTTTTATTTTACATTTTTGCAAGACGGAAAAGTAAAATACGGCCCTGCTCAATTTTAGCGTCCACCTGCTTCTGTTTACAGCAGGCGTAAGTTAAATTTGAATAGACTTTAGTATGTATAAAGGGGCCTTTAGTCAGTCATTTACTGCTCACCGAGCTCGGCTCTCGCAGGAGAATAACCTATGTTGCTGCATAGCCAATTCCATACCGTATTATCATGGAGGTACCTCCATGCGTTTGACAAAGAAATTATTGAGTTTTGTCTGCCTGATTGCTGAAACCGGCCAACCTTGCTCTTGTAGGCAAATATCTGAACAAGTTAAAATTGGGCCCGGAAATGTATGGAATGTACTGAAAAGAAATGGGCACCAATGCTTTAAAGTCCAGCAAAGCCAAGAATTTTTTTCCGATGACAATTTCAGACAAATGGAGTTTTACATTAAATTCGTTAAAATCATGTGTCTACTACGTTAGGTTCTATAAAGTGGAAAATCTCACACATTTTAATCCTCGTTTAATAGTGAGAAACGTTGATTTACAGAAAGAAGATATCAACCAGGATCTTTTAAGTGGCATTTTTTTAATAAACGAGATAGATCTGAACGGATTTAATATCAACGAAATGAAAATTGTGACTAATAAATTTTAACAATAAATAAAACTTAATTATCGAATTATCACCCGCGTTGTAGGAATGAATAACCACAGGCTAAATCTCGCCCAGTACTTGTATTTTTTTCTTTTAGTACAAATAAAGTCCTTTTATTATTATTATTAACTTATGAAGAATCATCAGAATCACAATTAAAAATTTTTAAAACACATTTTATTTGTCGATTGCACAATCCATACGTTCTGAGCTATTGGTCGTGGGAAAATAAACCTTTTGGTATTCCAACACGCACACAGTACCTCGAAAATTAGAATTTTACTATTGTTTTTAGCATTTTGAATGAATACCTATTTTACTTTCAAAGCCATAATGGCTAATAAATTAGTTACACAACAGTTATTTGAAGAATTATAAATTGTCACATGCAAATAATTCTTAGTTCTACAATCAGAGGAATCTTCGTAAATATTGTCTTTATTTAATTAGACGAAACAACATCCCAACCCAGTGCATGCATTACTAAGCTTATGACCATATATACTGGGTTATGACTTTGACTAAACTTTAACTTGAAAGTTGCCGATTGATAAAAGTACGTAATATCAAACGCAGGATAGGTAGTAGGTTTGTAGACGGTGGTATATAGTATAGAGATGGCCATTCGCTCGTAGTGCCTATACCCTAAGGCTCGTATACTTTTTTCCTAACCTATATGTACATAGAACCTTATAATTAGGAAATATGAGAAAACAAGGCCAAAATGGTGAATACTCTGATAGCCAAGCAGCTCTAAAGGCAATTCCCTCACCAGAAATCAAATCATCACAGGCAAAACTCCTAGAAGATCTGACAAAGCTAAGTAACCAAAACAAACTGACCTCAGCCTGGGTACCAGATCAAACAATGGATATAGGATTGAGACAATTAATTAAGGAACCGTCGGCCAATTTTATGAAAAATCTACTGGATCAAAAACAACAAATCGTTAGGATAATAGTAGGTTTTCTTACCGCCTAAAAGGGCACATTAGTATCATCAATTCAGTAGAAGAAGCAACATTATGTTCTGTGAAAAGGAAACAACAATCAACGTCCTGTGCCCGTGTGGAGGCCTGGCAGGATTAAGGTTTCTAACACTAGATGAAGAAAAGCCAGAAGCATGTAAGCCACTGTCAAAGCTACTAAGTCTAATAAAAAAGCCAAGTTAGACATACTCTAAATAACGGAGTCCCACAATAGATCTCAAAAGATTGTGGTGGACAAGAACAAATAATGTCAAACTTTATTCAAATCTAATATTGACTAAACTTTAGCTTAAAGGTTTCCGATTGATAAATGTAATTACGAAGGTAGGAGAGGTGCTAAATTTGTAGATATTGGCATTGTACACACAGTATAGAGATGGCCGTTTGCTCACACTGCCTATAACTGTGGTTGTTACTCTATACTCTATAGTTCGTATACTTATTTCCTAATCTGTATGTACATGGAACCTAATAATTAGGAAATGTGTGAAAACAAGGCAAAAGGAATGGTGAAAAAGTAATATATTTTAAATGAACAAGGAAATATTTTAGTTTTTTTGAAGACGTAACAATGCATAATAAAAAAATGTGATGTGTCCACAAGACTTTCCTGTCTTACCTAAGTTATTATAGGCCTTTTTTACAACTACAAAAATTTTAAAATATATTAACAGTAAATTTTAATTGATACTACCCTTTTTATTTTGTTGCAACAGCACTTCATGCATTGTCCGGAATTGTTAAAATAAAGAACAGACAAATAATTATTTTTCTATAATACACACAAAGATGGAATTGATACGAAAATAAAAGTAGACATTTGACAACAAAATTTAAATTGTGTGAATTTATTGGTGCACATCACAAGACATAACATTTTCAACTTTAATGATTAGTTCTGCGGCCTTCAAAATGTTGCTAAAGTACTTTGTAAATGTTGAAGTTTAAAATAGACTAATAAAAATATGTGACTGTTATAACTAAGTAAGAGACACGACAGAAGTCGAAGAAAAGAAATTCGTTAGGCTCTGATTATGAACAAAATAAGGCAATTAATTTTATTACAGAAAGGGGAATAAAAATTGTAGGTATTTCAACTAAAAGTCATTTTTAAAACAATTCGAACATACTCCTTTATTCAATAACAGCTTTCTACTTAAAAATATGGTAAAAAAAGAACATATTTGATAGAAAATAAATTACAAAATAAATATAATACAATGCAATTAATCAAAATTTAATTTTCTAGGTGTCATAAACTTTTTTAAAACTTCATCCGATATTTCTGATCTCCTTTTTTGATGATCTACAATTATTGGTGTCAATATATCAATAAGTATCTTCTTCAATTCTCCTGTTAATAAAGCACCACTTGTATAATCCTTTTTGATTTGTTCTAACTTTTCATCATCTTCCAGGAAAAACCTTAAATACTGATATGCAATGTCTATTTCTGCATTTCCACCAATCCTTCTGTGGTCCTCAACCGTGGCTTGTCCTCCAGAAAATGCATGTTTGTTAATTTTGTTCTTCAATTGCTTAGGAGTGTCATTGCAAAAGATTGTGCTGTTTGCTTCAGAAGCAGACATTTTAGTTTGGGCACCTTGTAAGGCAGGGAAAAACTTAGAATGCAGCAAAGCTGGTTTTGAAAAACCTAATCTTGGACAAACATCTCGAGTCATTCTAAAGTAAGGATCTTGATCTATCGCACAAGGAATCAAACACGGAATTTTCTTGTTGTTAAAAATGTGCGGGAATGAAGTTGAAAGTGCTGGAGTAGCTTGGACGGCTGGAAATGCAATTTTTCCTATAACTGTGCTGTCATCAAATCCAAATATACCTTTGACTTGATTGAAGGTTACACATTTTTGGATACGGATCATGTTCATATAGAATTCAGAACATTGACTGCAATAGAGATTTTATTACAAATTAAATATATATACAAACGGGGGTGTATAGAGAATATACAATATAGTGCAAAATTCTAAAACCAGAGATATTTTTTATATGTGATGCCATTGGTGTGAGAGTGATGTCATCGATTTTTTTTTAAATAAAAATGTGGCCATTCTATATTAATTTTATATCCAACAATATCAGTAAAATTGAATTTTATGCCTTCCTTTAATTTTTTATTATAATCAATAATTTATAAAATTTATAGCAAATGTTCAAATTGACGTCCTTCAATTACAATACAGTAAAAAAGATGAGCAGTAAACTATTATTGAACTGTATCATCTCCAGTTGAATGCGCTCTTTTAGTTTATCTAGAACGTGTGGCCTATTTTGCTACTTTTAAAATATTCCCAGTAATATAAAGAGGGAGTTAAATCTGGAAACATATGTGGCCATTCAATTGAATAATTGATTATTAACATGTTACCCATATGTTATAGAGACAAACGTTTTATTAAAATAAAAAAAGTATCAATGAATAATATAAGCTTATAAGCAATAATATAACTTGGTTTACAAAGTAGGTATATTTATTTATTTGAATGATCGAGTATAGGTCCTCAAAAATCAAATCAAGTGTAGTTTCCAGACCATGTATATATGTACATTAATGTAAATAACTTTACCTAATTTATGTCAAATGTATAAAATGTTATAATTATGAATATCCCTAATTCACTATATTGTACATTTAATGAATATCAATACTGTTGTAAATAATATAACATATGCACAGACTTTAGTCCATAGTGCACATTCTGGTTTTGAGATGTATTGTATTTTTACTACTAGTAATGAATAAATTTGAATTTGCTATCTACACAAATTGAAAGACATCCCAATAGTTTTTTACCAATATGACATTGTGTAAAAACGTACCATCTCTCTGAAACCACAAATCATTTTTGTTTGGAAACAACTGTTTTAGTTTGGAGAACAAGTAGTCTCATAAAAATTGTAATAAAGAAGACCTGTAAAAGTTTCATAAAAAAAGTATGAACATATCTATTATTTAGACCCAAACATTAATTTTTGTGATATATGATACTCCTGAATCCGAATGTGGATATTCAGTTGCATCTTTCTGACAAGTTTAACTGTACATGACCATTTAGAAGAAATGTAGCTTCATCAGAAAAAAATCCTTTTTTTTTAAACACTGGATCTTTATTTTTCCATCAGTTAAATTCATCTATCAAATTTTTGTATTTTTTTATTGTAAAGGGAATTTCCCATTTATAAATAAACAAATAAACTTTAAAGTTGTCAAATACATTTGATAAATTTAACCCATACATGCAACTTTTCTTCCTCCAGGTTTAAATTAGATCAAAGATTTAATTAAATGCTGGAAGTATAAATATTTACAGCCGATTCAGTCACAATTTGATTGGCTGTTGTTTTTTTAATTATACATTTATTACAATATTTTAATTTTGTACAAGTTTAAAGCACTTGGAATACCTTTAATGTTTGCTATGAAAGACAAGTAATAGGTAATAGTTCAAATTAATTATACTATCTTTCTTTGTACTTTCCCTACTTCATTTATACTTTCCAAGTGTTCTCTCAAGTAAATAAATAACATTTTCTAAAAATCAAGCAAGGAGTTAAGTGAGGGTCATTTCAAAGTAACTAAAAATAGTCTAATATAAATATGTGAGAAATAAACAATATTTGTATTTTTTTAAATTTATATTTACTTATATAGAGAAATGTTTTGACTGTAAACAAAACTCAGTTACTTATTAATATGATTAAATAATTAATTTAAAAACATTTCAAAAGCGATATCACATGACTTACATTTCTATTCAAAAAATAATCAATGACATCAGGTATAAAACCTATATCTCATCAGTAGGTTTCAGGGGTTTCCGATTTACAAAATAATGAATTTATACTGAAATAATGAATTATTCTTTTGATTTGCACTATATTGTATTATAGTTGTAAAAATGGAAACAGAAACAGCTTTATTGAGATTGTTGTAAAACTTGTTATTAATTCTGTCATAATAGGCAAAGTAACCACAACTAATGATTTGGGAGTTAGTTAACATTGAAAATTTAGCTAAGGTGAGAAATGTGTGATAATACTAATAAATCCACCAGTTAGAAAACCAACAATAAAAAGCAGCTAGTCTTTCTTTTAAATAGACATAATTGTTAGTTTTTATCTTTTATGACTGCACTGCAGTTAAATACTAGAAATATTAAACTATAACTAAAACTGTAGCAACATTTTTATTGAAAATTAAAATATATATATTTCGTTAAACTATTATACAAGATCAAGAATGTGGTATATTAAAGGCATTAAAGCTTACCCTATATAGTCCAAATCAGAAAATATAAAGGTCTTTTCCATATCAAATCCAATTGCAATAATATCTTTGGCATTTTCATAAGCCATCCTATGAGCCTCCTCTAAAGAAATATCTTTCCACAGAGTTTTCTCATCATCAGTCATCTGAATGACTAAAGGAACATTGAATACATCTTGTAACCATTTACAGAGTTGAAATGGAATCAGATGCCCTAAATGCATGGATGAGGAAGATGGGCCTCGTCCTGTGTAAAGGTAGAAAGGTTTCCCTGATTCATAATTTGTCAAAATGGTATGCATGTCGCGATGTGAAAAAAAGATACCTCTTCTTAATAAATGGTGTACCTTCTTTCCTGTTACTTTTTCAAAGCGGTCTAGAAGTTCTTGGTCTATTTTTGAGCTACCAAATTTTTCTAAAATTAGATAAATAATGTTTCTAAAATATTGGAATTTGCTGTTAAATGTGTTTTACAGAATTTCATTGATAATTAATAAGGGTTATTTAATATACTCCAGCTGACTGCTTCTGCCAAAGAGACCCAAATAGGGCAAAATCAGTCATAGGTGAGCTATTTAAATGCTAAATCAAAGGGTTTGTTAAATAGAGTCAGTAACACACACTAACACAGTACTGTAATTCAAAGTCCAATTGTGCATATAGCCCTGGAAATTTTATTTTATTCCTAGCTAAAAATTGGATCTACAGGTAGGTGTTAATCACCCTAATATATACTGAAGGATACACTTACTAATTAATTTATCATAATCAACTCCTGTCTCCGATTTACTAGCAACTGTCCATGGATCTACTATATCATCATCTTCATTTTTTACATTAATGGACAGGGCTTCTACATTATTTACAATTTCTCCAGACATTTTTATAGTAATCTGAAAATACTTGGTACTAAAAAGTAAAAATATTGAATTAGCGAATTATATTGGTTCAATATTGACACTAAGTAAATATTGATGACTCAATATGCAATAAAAAAATTTAATCTATACTGATACGACTTAATGTATTATAATAATGTTGTGCAACCTATCTAAAAACTTACAAATTGCTTTTATTCAAAAAATTTGTAACGTCACAAGTTCCTAGGCATATGGTTTAATATTAAAAGAAAATTATCTGTTACTTACATCGAGACCTTGATTCGTAAATGTTTTACCTAAATAATACTGTATAGGAGTATTTAAATTCAAAATTAAGGGGTAAATTCATTGATCTGGTATCAATGGGTAAATTACATCAGTTTAATGGAATTCCCGTTCAAAGTAAACTTGTAACCTATAATTTAAACGTCAAGTTAACAAGTTAGGTTAAGATTTTCTTCTTTTTTTATCTTTTACGATCACTTCGATCACATATAACTAGACTAGAGATTCACCTGATTTTATATGAGATGAGAAATGATATGTCGTTTATTATAAAATGCGCAAAAATAATCAGCCTTAAAATCAGTTAACCATGGATGTGCGTTTTTAAGATAAAGCGAACATAATTATGTACTTTTATCGCAAAACATTCTTAAGAATTTATATAATAATAATAATTGTGAAGTTGGTAATAATAAGCGCATCATTTTCCTTTCTTTACTGACTACTCTACTTCTAGTCTAGCTGTGGTCAATTAGGCATTCCAACGACCTGTCAAACAGTGCCAGTGGGAAATTCTAAGGGGGGTAGCGACATAGTCTTGCAACTTGGACGCTATTTTTATTCGAAGTAGTAGTCGCCAAGCCTGCCAATTTATGAAGAAATGTATAGGTAGGTTTTTTAAATATTATTTTTATTGTGTGTGACATAAAATATTTAAATGTAATCCATTATTCATGATTTTACGTAAAGTAGATAGAATACACCGTATGTCGCCACCCTCAGATATACCAAACCTTCCCACTGGCCTCTTCTCTGTGTTAGGTTTCTATTTGAAGCAGTGTTGCCAACGCCTTGATAATTGTCCGATTATCGTATAATTTCAACTACCATAAGATAAATTTCGGATTGAGTAATTTTTCGGATAATTCATAGTTTTGTAGTATTTATATTTTATTTTATTTACTTATTGATATATATTTTATGATCACCTCAAATTAAATAAACATATTTTCTATATAAAAAAATGTTTTATTTACAGGAGAGTTATACAACCATTATAACAGTTGTGTGTGTATAGAATTGCCTAACAATACAGGGATTTTCCATGATATGGAATTTTCAATTATGTGTATTTTTCTACTTCCTACTGGCGTGGATTTCCCCGGCAGTAGGAAGTATATGAACGTTCTGTACGTTCTTTGTGATTTGCACCTTACAGCGGTCCTTTTTCTTTCTCAAATCTATCTGTATGAAAACGAAAGTAATACAAAATTGTACCTATATTTAAATTTGAAATTAATATTACCTCAGGAGGTGTATATTATTCAGCCACATGGAGAAATATATTCAGAAAGCAAACAAGGTGTGTTTTAACTTTTAACGTATTCTAATGAATAAAAATTTAAATTAAAAACTAAATTAAAAATATTACTTGGAATTAAAAGTGATAAAAATAATTATGAAACACCCTACTATTTACTATTTAGAACATAATTAAAATTTGAAATTTGTATTATGTTTTGAAGCAATATAAAACAGAAAAAACATGATCATAGCTTAATTTCGGGTTCGGGTAATTTCGGATAATTTAGTTGTGATATTCGGATAATTTGAGTTCGACATTGGGACATAGCCCTCAGAAAGTCTGAGGGCTATGCATTGGGATAATTTAAATTTTTGCATCGGCAACACTGCTTTGAAGACTAGTCTTCTTGAGGTTTCTCTCCTTGCGCATGAACGGAACAGCTGTTAATGTTTTGATAGTTTTGTCAATGTCAAAATATTTGCACGTCGTATTATGTCAATGAAACAAAGAGTACAAATGCGAAATAACTTTTCCATGAGGTTTTCTTGAGTAAAATGTCGTGGTATCAAAATATTTTACCAGAAGGCATAAAGAAAAATGTTTGTGCATATTTACTGCAGCGTTACCTCGGACAATTCTTTGAAGAAAAGTTAACCAGAGAACAGCTCAACATTGACTTGTACAATGGTACTGGCACAGTGGAAAAAATCAGCCTTGATGTTCAGGTAGGATTTAATAAATACGCAGTAATACTTTTTAATTTTATATTTTTAAATGTATCTACAAGAGTAATATGAACATCTGGTAATTATTGGTTAATACTGTTACATTAAAGATTAAACTCATATTGTTTACATTTCGAGATTTATATAAACAAATTATAGCACGTTTATCCATTTATCCTTATTTCTAACCTAATTTTGTTAACAGTTGTTTATTCTTAAATGTATATCATTAAACAAGCCATACCTAAATGCTTACTTAATTATTTGTGTTCTAAATGAGATATTGTATTTTAATTTACTTGGAATACCTAATTGGATTTTTTTGTATTGTTATCAACACCTTATAGTATTTTAACAAAAGAAATTTACATACTTTAAAATTTAGTAATTTTATAAATGAAGTTCAACTGATTTGAAGGAATATTTTTACAAATTTGTCAACCAAGGAAAATTGTCAACAATTGTTAGGAAATTAAATGATTTATTTTAACCTATCCTGCCAGAAGCATTTGAATTAAATCTTCAGTCTTGTTTAGCAATTGTCTTCTTTTTCATTTCTTTAATAGTCCCCATATCCTTAGTGCTGTTTGTACAGAGTATGCACCACATCCCTGACTGGCCACTGACAAGTAGGTACATGTTTCAAAATTCCTTATTCCAAAAACAAAAATGTATGGTAGAGTACTTACTGTTTATTTATTTCATTATGACATCATAACTAGTATATTTAAGATTAAGATATTCTGGCCTGAAGGACTTCATCAGTTAGGTTTAAAAATTCTTATCGATCTATTAATATAATTATTAGGTACTCTCATTCATTTTAAAATTGTTTAGGTACCATCCTAATTATTTTACTTTACGTATTATATTCTGGAAACATGATTAGATTTTAATAATACTAAACTGTGGTGTTATTGTAGAGCTTTAATTGTTAATTCAAATAAAAACAAATTAACATAAACAATATTATTGTATGTACAAAATTAATTTCATGGTCACACAATGTGCATAGTATTATTTTGTTATTTAGCTATCCATTCTTTCTTGAATGTTTGCTTCCTTGCCTTTTAATTAGCAAATGTAATGATGTTCAAAATAAAAGTAATCACATAAAAACAAATATACTTATTTTTTTAAGTTATAAAACATTAATAGGTCATTTTAAATTGTGTATGCAATATTCAACAAAAAACAAAATATTGTTGTCAATATAATGCTCTTACCAAAAATTTTGTCTGTGATAGGTAGTGAACTATTTTTATCTTAACAAAAATTACAGGAGATAAAAATATTTATTTAAATGAACTTCTCAAAAATATGTGTTGTCTACAAAGATACAGTATAAAGATGTCATATGTTTTTTTTTTTTTTTTTTCATACATAATAGAGCTTATTTTAGTAAATTACAATTTTTTTCCTCTCTTTATAGATAATTAACAGTCATTTTTGATTGAATAAATTCATAATTTGAACTTCTATTTTTTGCACCATCTTTAAATACCAAGTTATTAAAATATTCAAATTAGGAAAATCCAACTATCTTTAAAAATTATTTCTCCAGAATTTTACTAGACAAAAATATGAAATTTTGACTAATATATTTCAATGTGGAATCTATGAACAACGCTCATTTTTATAATTCACATTCAAAACAAATACTGGACAACTGGAACTTAAAGGCGTTTTGTTAATATTGAAAAACATGAATCATTGAAATATAGATAGTTTTTGTTTTTAATAAAAAATATTGTAACCTATTTCTTTTTCCAATAAAATACAGCAACCCATAAAATGTTTAAAGCTTTATTCCAACAGCTAATAAGACTGGTTTACACGTTTAGCCTTTGCAATATTACTGTATAAAACAAATGAATTCTATTTTAATGAAATCTTTGATAAAAAATAATTTATTGTTTTAACAAATTATTGTATTCTTGTTCACATTTCAAACCTCTTAAAAAACAAGAAGTTAATTTGTTGTTTTACTAAAGATTCCTTGTAGTAAAATAAAGTTGTGTAGTCCTGGCTCAAATAGAGAGGAATACGTATACAGGGTGTACCAATAAAAACTCCCAGGCCAGATATTTTGGTAAGAAATAGAGAAATTTTAATTTTGTAAAAGACAGTTCACAGAGCATTAAGAGAGCTTCAGTTTTAGATATAAATTGATTTTAAATAGGTCAATATGTAGATGGCGCTGCGCTCAATATTTTTTTTTTTTTTGATGGGAGGATCTTTCTTGTGTAGCGTATCTTGTAAAATATGCCTTTTTAAGCAGATTTTTTTCTATAAACAGTTTCATCCTGTTTTTCGGCATTAATCATTGAATTTTAAGAAAATGCTAACACAGGACAATTTTTATTTCAAATTGAACACATTTTTACAATATAGACATCTGTCATGTGTCAATCCCCTCCCTTGCACTTTTCCAACACCCTTAATTTTAAATAGGTAATGTATGTATGGCACATCATTAAAAAGGTAATTTAATGGGGGATTCAGAAATACGTCTGTACATTGCGTTAGTTAAATTTTAGCGTCTTTTAGCGGGATAAAAAACTATTATAAAGTGTGACACTACCATGTGTAGTACATCATTAAAAAGGTAATTTTATGGGGAATTCAAAAAAATTGTTTTACTTTTAATTGTACCGCCCTCTATCGGGATAAAATCTGTAACGTATTATAAAGTGTGACACCTTATTTGAAAGCAAATTTTATTATAATTCAATGCACCACGTAACATTAATACAAATATCCTTAATATTGCACTTTCAATAGTTTGAAAATTAGTTGTGCATTATTTTAAACATTATTGCGCTAACTTTATTTTGTTGGAAGTACAATAAAGAAATATTTATATTAATTTTATGTGGTGCATTTAATTAGTAATTAAATTAGCTTTCAAATGAAGTGTCACACTTTATAATACGTTTCAGTTTTTTATCCCGATAGAGGGCACTAAAATTCAATGATGTGTCTTACATAGTATATTCCTTATTTAAAATTATGGGGTTGGAGGTGGAAGGGAGGAGGTTGACACATGACAGATATCTATATTGTGAAAACTTTGGGATAAAAGTTGACCTGTTTTACCATTTTCTTAAAATGTAATGAATAATGCCAAATAACAGGATGAAACTGTTTTGAGTGGCCCACTCTATATATCCAAAATGGCTAGATTTATCGAATTAGTTCATAGAACAAAATCTGCTTAAAAATTTATTTTTTAAAAGATGCGCTAGATAAGAAAAATCCTCCCATCGAAAAAAATAATTTAGCGCAGCGCCATCTATATATTGACCTATTTAAAATTAATTTATATCTAAAACTGAAGCTTTTTTAGCTCTCTATGAACTGGTTTTTACAGAATTAAAATATCTCTATTACTCACCAAAATATCCAGCCTGGGAGTTTTTACTGATATATGAAGCAGAACCTTCTGGCAAGTATAAGTTAATTGATTATTATTTTATTAATATTAAGATTAATATCTTTTGACATTAAAATTCTACATTTGTCTCCTTATTCATCCCATAAATCTCCAATGTAAAAATATATTATTTCAATGAAAATATTTAAAATGTATGATTGCTGATGTTCCCCTATTATGTGTACTGCACATATGAAATAAGTCAAGGAATTTTAGTCAAAACAATAACTGTCTTTAATTTAAAATGGCAAAGCTGCTGTTCTTTCCAAAGTCTATATATATATTCTCACTTAGATAACAGTTATTTTCTATTTTCAAATACCAAAATATTGAGTTCTTCAAATATAGTATATTAAAATACAAGTTTCAGAAGGCCACATCTCAATAAAAATGTGTTATTAACTTGCCAAAAGTAATAGTTTCACATTTTGTTTTATTTATCAATCGTAAAATTGAAAAAATATGAATTTATTCAATTATTTGTACAATGTAAACCTGGCTTTGGATAACAAAACCCAAATCTCGTTAATGCTCGAGTCGACTCGATAAACGAAACCCGAATCACAGTTTATAGCTAAAGAATCAGTTCGCTCACTCTGCGTCGGCACCTTTGATCTCAATGTTCCAGTTTATACATTGCGCAACTCGGATTTGTATCCCTGGCGCATACGGAATCAAATCATAATAGCCCAAGAGCCCACTGTAAATTTTTACTGCCATCTGATAATGAAATAAAATATACCCCAAAACATTTTACTTTACTGAATGGCACCTGTGACAATCCCAATCCTGAGCAAAGTGTTTAAAAAAAAATATTTTATATTAAAAAAATCACATAAGGCATGACAGCGCTAATTTTGTTTGCCCTTAAAGTTTTCCAGATAATAACATATTCAAATATATCTTGATATATATCGTTAACGGGAAACATTTTCTTCCTCTTAGCATCACACAAAAACATCTACACACGATTAGTAGGTAAAAATCATTAAAAATATGAATCAATTTTTGCTGATTTAAGAATTTATTTGTATGCCTATTGTTTGTGATTCATTTTTACAGGTTGTCATAGAAAGTACAAAAAAACTACTATGATTATAGTTTAAAAGAATTGTCTAACAAGAGTTTATAATTATTATTGACTATCTCTGCCAAAGTTAGGTAAAAATATTAATAATTCAGGTTTAAAAGCTAGGTTCACAATAAATTAGGATTGTAATTTTCAGAGAAAACACAATTATCGCTGTCATGTCTTATGTAAATTTTTAATATAAAATAATGTTTTTAACCACTTTGCTCTGGATTACAGAATGGCACAGGAGCAATTTGGTAAAGTACAATGTTGTTACATGTCTTCGGAGCATATTTCATTTTGTTATCAGATGGCGGTCGTAATTTGCAGTGGGGCTCTCTTACTATTTCCAATTAAGCATTCCAACGACCTGTCAAACAATAGCTGTCAGTGAGAAGGTCTGGTATATCTAAGGGGGTAGAGACATAGTCTTGCATCTTGAACGTTTTTTTTATTCGAAATAATAGTCACAAAGCCTACCAATTTATGAAAAAATGTATCTTATTTTTATTATGTTTGACATAAAATATTTAAATGTAATCCATTATTCATGATTTTACGTATTGTAAACAAAAAAACATTGTATGTCGCAACCCTTGGATATATCAAATCTTCCCACTGACAGTTCATTTGTTTGGAATGCCTAATACAATATATGACAACCGCTTATATTCAAACAGCACTCTTCTGCGCATCCTGAATTTGTATCCCTGGAGCGGATGTTATTTTGGAACATCCAATTGGTCCGAGTGAGCGAACTGAGTGAGCGAACTGATTCTTTTAAGCTATAAACTGTCAAACTGTGCCCGAATGATACAAAATACAATATGGCTGTCGATGTAAACAATTCTAAGTGAGTTTTACTTTTATTTAATACAGTTTTAGGCATAAATTTAGTAATAATTTACTGTAAGTGAACTTATTTTGATACTTTTGCATGTCTATGTCACATAAATGCATATATTTAATTGTAATAGTAAATTGTTCTGGCCCATTTACACTGTTTTAGAAAAAACATTTTCATTTTATTGTCAACTGAAAAAAGGATTATTATTCGTATTCGTAATTGAGTTATCCCCAAATATTGAAATCCTTAACAAAGTTTTAATTCTGATATTCATTTTGATAATTATCCTAGATATGCCAATTTAATTGTATGTATTATAACCAAACTTTTTAATCTTTATAAATCTAAAGTATTTTCATTACATAAAGCAAGAAAATCTTAATTAGACGTTATAGAAATTAGAAGTAGTAAATTAAAAATTAGTTAAATCGCTGCAAATGCAAAAGTAATTAGTCACATACAATCAAAATCATGTGCTTTAGGAAGTTTTTCGCTTTCAACAATTGTTTTTTTTTTCTTTTCGTTTCAGGATTTATGGATGGAACTCTTGTTTTATTTCGCACGATTAAAGAAAAATTTTGTTCGTTTTGTGTTATTTAAAATAGTTGTTTATTCAGAAAATATATATTATGTTTATTGTTGTAACCAATAAAGATTCAACAAATAATATTTAGTTATAATACAATTTTGTATTATTTATTTTATACCTCTAAAATTATTTAACATAAAATTTTACATTTTTATTAGCATTTTTTAACACGCATGAGATGCGTGTTAAAAAAATGCTATTAAAAATGTAAAATTCTTATATTTTGTCGAAGTAAATTCAAAAGCCCGCCAATTTTCAAATTAAAATAGCATTACAGCTTTTTATATTACCGACTGAGTATTAGTTGCACAAAACTATCCCACATGTCGCTGAAGGCAAACATGTTGCCATATTTATACAAAGAAACGACAACTCTTAATTATCCTTCCTCCATGGCGCAAGCGTAGCCGCCATGTTAAAATAGCGCCAATTCAAAAGTTTCGTACTGTTTTGATCAACAATGGCTGGAAAATCAATATTATCTGTACATACAAATCAATCATTAGAAAAAATCGTTGATGGTGATTTACATTTTTATAACTCTGTGGAAGCACATAGTTGTGAGCAATTAAAAAGGTTCTTGAAGTGACATGGACGTTCGGAACAAGGAAAAAAGTATGGTGATTAAGAGGTTAGGTTTCAATACATATTAACTTTGTAAAAAATTAATGGTAAACAAATAATAAACATAACTCTATTCTAATTAATTATGCCAACCAATATTAGTATTTGCAATAACACTTTAACATGAAAGTTAATCACGAGTATAATTAATAAGATAAATTATTTAAAATTTTAAGGATCGACATGACATTTTTAATAATATTACTGTGTATACCGAAGTAGTATTTAATATTAAAAATATTGTGTAATACCAGACAAGGATTTTCTTCTGTTGAACCACTTTCTCCATGAAAATGTAGTGAACAAATATAAGTATCTTTAGTAACATCATCCATCAATCGATCGAAAACCTTTGTCACTTCGACCATATTTTCTTACTCATACTGCTCATTTTGAACATGTTTTAATATGTATTTTGCCTAATGATTTGATTGTTTTTTTACGATATTGCAGGCAAGTCTTTTTATAAAATAATAATAATTTATACAGTGTGTCACTTTTACATACTCATAACAATACCGTTTAGTCTTCCTTTCCGTAAAGATAACATAATTAATTGATTGCAAAAATTGATTTTTCAATTAAGACACTTATTACTTTACTTTTTTTATCCCATTTTTTAAACGAATACACTTAAAATTAATATTTATCGATTATAATTTTTTTCACGTAAACATTTTAACATGCTTGTTTACAAAAAACAGTACGAAAAAGATGGCTGATACTAACGCATGCGCACAAAAAAAAAATGTGATGAAAAGGCCTATTACTAACCATAACCAACTGACAGGTGGAATTCGTATGTTTTATTACTCATATTTTTGTTCGATTGTGTCACTAAATGCCACCAAAAATCGTTTGAGAATGAGCTTCATTCTTCAACAACTTTGTGTGCGAGCATATGACATTCTAACACCAAAATCGAGAAAAACTACTTCCATTTCTAATAGCTAGTAAGGGGAACAGTAGCCATAGTAAGTCTGGAACAATAAAATATCAGAATATGAGTTTAGGCATTGTAAATAAACATGTTTATTTATTTATTCCAAAAAATATTTGCATAATTACACGTAACAAGAGAATTATACAAGGTTGCATGAAGGGGCTCGAGCCTCTGCTGCCTTAATCCTTCTAAATAAATTAAATGTAATAAAAAAATTAACGCCTGAATCGATTTCAAATCGTCCAACTTCCCCCCTACCCACCCCTACTACACCCCATATATACGGTGTGTATATATAGGGCGTCCCATAATGTTTTGCTGTTTTTCAACTGAAATAAAACGCTTTTGCCTAAAATATATTAAATTTATTGTGAAAATGTTAATAATAAACGCGGATCTTAAAAATAATGTTCTCCATATGTCTTCCTTCCCGTGTCACGCATTCTTGAAGTCTGGACGTTAAATTGTAATAAACAGCTCGTATTATTTCCTCTGGAATAGCGTTTTAACCTGAATTCGCAATTTGAAGGCCCCCAGAGTGGTGTTTCGTACACCTTGGACTTCAGATAGCCCTATAAAAAAATCCAGGGGAGTCAGATCAGGACTTCTTGGAGGCCAACGTTTGTCACCACACTTTGAAAAAATATCTGATAGCGTTGCCGAAGATCTTCTGGCGGTGTGGGCTGTGGCACCATCTTGCTGAAAACAGGTATTGTTACTAAATAACCCGCAACCTTCCTCGACCTGGTAAATACAGAGTTGTGGCGCTTATATTTAACGTTGCCAAACTCTCTAAAAACAACAAAACATTATGGGACACCCTATATAATTAAAAAAATAGAGCGTTATAAGTAAAGGTACGAGAAAATGAAGAAGATAGAATAGTCCAGAAATGTCTCGAAATGTCATTCCTTGTCAAAGAAAAATCCGGATTGTTCGAGAAGGTTCTAGAAGGTTAAGGCAAGCTATATAAGTCGACTTAAAAATCAGGTTTTCTAGCAACCTAGATGTAACCAAAGTTTGTGTTTTTATACACATTATTTAGATATTTTTTTGTAATGTATTTTTATATTCAACTGTGTTCATAATTAAATATTTTTGTTTCAGGCTCTGAATGAGCTGAGCGAAAAACAGAACTGGCCGATTGAGTTTGTTGATGGATTCATTGACAAATTATTTGTTAGTGTCCCTTTTATGTCTATTCTCAAAGACCCTAGTTATGTGGAAGTTCAAGGTCTTAAAATCACAGTTCAACCCAAACAGAGACATGAATCGGGTAAGGAATTTTCACAAAGAAATATTACTGAACATTTTTTATATAAAAAAAGAAAAATATTTTCTAATTGGATAACATCCAGTATTTAAAACTCATAAATCTGAAAAACTTTTTAGCAACTTCAATGTTTGAATCCATGTGGAATTCGATGACAAGTTCTATGCAGTTGGCTGAAGAATGTGCAAAACAAGACGGTGTTAATACGTCAAATTCATTGGAAGCATATGAAGGAATTAAACTTTTTGCACAAACTATTGACTCGGGTAAGATTTAATTTTGAATTTACTGTCGAAATTGAGTAACATACTCTTTAATTGTTAGTAAATTTTATTATTAATTTGTTTTCAGTTCTTAGCAGAGTCAAGGTTAAATTCATTGATACTGTTTTCCAAGTGGAACATGTACCCAAACATAGTTGTACTGGTGTAGGAGTAACTATTAATATTGATTTGTAAGTATCATCAGCAATAGATCATGCAAGTTATAATTAAATTAGAATATCAATGTCAGGAGTCGATATCTCTTACAATAATATTACACTTGTTTATTTTTAAATGAAGTCGTTGTATTTCAAATTAATATTTATTTAATTTTTTACACAGTTCTGTCTATGACAGTCCAAACTAGCTTCAGTATTTTTTTGCTTAATTGTATATTAGTTTTAGTTTAACAATGAATATAATTTTTGTTATACAGTGTGTTAACTGTTATCTCGCTCCCATCGTCAACTTCATTATTTAAAGCAGGGACCTGTCAATTTGTATTATTTTTATCTAGGAACTTTATAATGTAAAAATTCAGCCTCCCCTTTCATCCACTCCACATGACAACCACCAGTGGCGGCTCGTGCCTTAGCACATAGGTGGAGCCACGGATTAACATTTTCGGGTGCCTAACCCAGATTTTGACTCGAAGTCGTTAAAAAGCATATCTTGGGTAATATTTTAAAGTATATTAACGTGCGCATTTATCATTTTTACAAAATAATAAATAACAAAAAACTTACCAGAATTTAGCTTTGAATAGTAATTTATTGCACTCCAAACCTATACAGTAAAATAAAGAATATTTTACATTGAACGATATTTGAAGTCTAGTCTTCGTTCTGTTTTATTAGCGAAAAGTTCAATCACTCGTCTATTAAAGTCGTCAATGTTATTTAGAAACTCTTTTTCAGCTGATAACATTCCTAGCGCACTTAGTCTTTCTTCTTTCATTGAGTTGCGTAAAAAAGTTTTTATCCTCTTTAAAATAGAGAAACATCTTTCAGCTTTGGATGTTGACATGTCACTAAAACTTCCAGTAATTTAATATTTTCTTGAAAAATGTACTTCATATCTTCCTGCGAAACTAATGATAACAGAGGAATGACTCCCGAAATGGTCTGCAACTCTTCTCTTTCGTAAAATACTAGCAGTTTTGTTTTTAGACAATTTTTTTTCTAGAAATTGATATGCGTTAACTGTATCAGAGAGCAATTGATCAGGATAGTTTTTTTGGTATTCGATAAAATGTTCTTTCATGAATAATGTGGTACAGTAAGTGCCACATCTGAAGAACCAGCGCAAATGTTCAAATTCGTTTACTTAATAATCGCCACGCCCATTCACAATTTGAACCTTGTCCTTGCTTACGTCAGTAGCGTAACGACTAGATCATTGTTTCTTGTTTCTGTATTTTGGTTAAGGTGACTGGTTTTATTTTTTATAATGTCTTTTATTGTGGGTGAAAAAAAGCGCAGATCTGTTATAAACGGACAAAGTCGTGAAGTAATATACAATGTTTTTAAATATTTTGACGCAACAAAAAAAGGAAGGAGTTACTTTAGATGATATCAACTTCTTCAAATGTGACTCATTTACATTTCTAATATATATACAAAATAAACTAATTAGTTAAAGTAGGTACTTAAGAGAAATATATTAATAAAATTCCAATAATATATTATTACCGGGATTATCTCAGAAAACTAAGAACAGGTAAAGAGATTTAATTAAGCTCAGTTATTAATATCTAATTGATCACTTAAGAGGATATTTGAATTTTTAAATCTATTTATTTCAAGTGTTTCTAAATGGTTTAATTTAATGCCTTTATTCTCAAAATGTGAAACAATTTTTGCATAAACGATTGATTTTCAGATAAAAATATGTTTTGTAGAATTATTTTTGTTTTTAGTATAACTATTGTAATGTTTTAAATAGCTTTTTTTTAAAGTACGGCCCGTTTGACCAATATACAATTTTACCACAATTTAATTTATTTGAATAAGGATAATTTCTTGACCGTAACAGAATTTTATATAAATACCGAACGGAAAACGGTAGAACAGCCTTAACCTAAAGTCGGCTTACTTAAAAATAATGATTTTTTAATTAACTATAGAATTATGTACTAATAATAACACTAAGCAATATGTATGAACAAGTATCATTCACTATTTTCCATTTATTTTATGTCTTAAAATATACGCGCCCCTGGTTTACAACTTTCTAGGTAAGCTACCAATTCTATTCATCGGTAGGCGTGTTCGTAGCATTATAAATGCGCGTCCTTGGTTCTTTAGATCTGGCGATTACTGTAGCTGATATACTGTGAAAGTGAATCGTGTCCTAATCTATTGTATAATGGAATCGCAAACCTCCAAGGCTTCTATTTTTCTATTTGTTGAAACAGATAGATCGGAACGAGGCTAACGTCGCCTTTTCTGAGGAACAAGTTCATTTTAGGTTTCTAATAGCTCCGAGTTAATTTTGTCAATAATTTTATCCATTTCATTACGAATTTTTTGCATTGCATTTTCAAAGTTTTTTAGATCTTGTTTAGCCTTCATAGGGTCGGTATTAATCGTCTGCAGTTGCTTAAAAATTATTTCGACATGTGGCATGACTTTATGAAAAACTGTTAACCAAAATATGAATTATCTGTCCTGTAATCTAAGTTTATAAGCACCGGCTTGCTCAATCGTAGAATTTAATTTAATATCTTTGTCGTTCTCTAAAATATCCATAACGTGTATCAGTTCATTTCGGTATTCATAAACTGTATTAACTCCCCGTGATTGGAAATTCCATCTCGTTTGTAATGAGCGTGGCAATCGTCTATGAACTATATCATTTAATACTTTTGTTCTTTGAGGTATATACAAAAAAAAAACACAAATTCCAGTTAAATGAGCGAAAAAAAATCCGAACAGACGCATTAATTGAACCTGCACTGCTCATTATAAGGTTAATCTGATGTGCATAGCAATGAGCATAATATGCTAAAGAATATTTATCTTTAATTATTTTTTGTATCCCATTCATACCTCCGCTCATGACTGACGCTCCGTCCTAACTCTGCGCGATCAACTTATTTGGCGTGTCATTAATTAATGGATTAATTTTATTAAAAATGCAATTTGCTATTGAAATGGCATTGTGTCCGGGAGGATTTACAAATTTCCAAAATCTTTCTACTGGCTTACTGGAGGCAATGTATCGTAGAATAATGACCAATTGAAATTTGTTAGCAACATCGGTTGTTTCGTCAGCAATTACAGCTACATTATTAGTTTTTTTTTATTTCTTTACCCACTTCTTCATGGTAAACGCCAAGCATGCAGTCCAATAGTTCGTTCTGTATGGTCTTAGAGGTCCCTTTAAATACTGTTGCTTTGTTGAAATGTTCCTTTAAATCTGCATCTAATTCAGGACTAAAATCTATCAATTCTTGAAACACTCCTTTATTTTTGGATTCTTCGGTTTCATCATGTCCGCGCAATGCTAATTCTAATGCACCACAAAATCTAATACAGTTAATAATGACGTTTAAAATATATCTGTTTTTATCAACTTGTTTATTGTGGGTAATAATATTTTGTCTATAAGCCGAATTTAATTGAGTCAGTATATTTGATTTTCCAAGCAAAGAATAACTAAAAATAATATTTATATGGGCATTACTGTTTTCATTTATTTTAATTTTCTCAAATGTGTACCAAATCAGTTACACCATGCAGCGTCCACGAAGAATCGCTCCCGAACAAAACACACACAAAACAAAAAAAATGCGTTTTTTTCATCACATCCACAAATTTTTAATTACAAATTCCGGTTATATTTTCTTATCCGGCCTTTGAAGTTTGACGAACTTGAGGTGGAAGCCTTCTGCGTTTTTGTTATTTCCAAATTCCTTTATTTGGATTGTTCCTCGAGCAAGTGCGTAGAAAAAGGTTTCAGTAACAGATTGCTTATTTTAATCATTTTGCTTCGGACTCTCAGACGATTTTTAATTTATTATACTTTAAAAACTGAACTATTCTAACTACCTAACAAACAAAAATTCAGCATGCATAAAATGTCAAAAGCAATACGCCGAACTCGCCGAACACACGATTGAAACAATACTTTTCTAACTATTCATTCTGAGCCGCTTGAAAAGTGGCCCCGTTTGAATGTATAAGAAGCGCTTTCTGCAGGCGAATGGCGTGACCTTTAGTAAACTTTTACTATGGATTGATATGTAAGCAGCCGTGCCACTGGTCGATGTGCTCGGATAGACGGCGGACAGTCAATTGCTTGAATTATTAAATTTGTTGTGTCTAGGAATAATACGACGCAAGTTTTTTCAACGGGATCAAATTAAATAATGATAGATAATTTATATAATATATCGTTTAGCCATAATTTGATCCGACAATTGTAATAATTATTGTAATTAATATAAAAAGAAATATTTTTGCGCCAGTGCCAAGGCCCTTTGGCCCCTTAGGACAAGCCGCCACTGACAATCACCATCTCATTTTTTTTTAATTGCGAAATGGGTGTACAGTTTGTTGGAAAGAGTTCGAAAAACGAATTCAAAAATGTTTCACACTAAATAATTTAACCTAATCATCTGTCTATTACATATTCAAAATTATAACTATAATGAACTAAAAAAACTAAACGTGACAACTTGATATTTAAAAAAATACATGTTGTAATAAACTTGGCTGAGGGTTGATAATAAAGTCCCACAGATTAAATATCCACTCAGGATTATTTAAATAAATCAGGATTTACTTTAGAATTAGTTTTATTGAATTAGAAACACAGTGGGCTTCACGCAGAACAATGAATAATAAATATGTCAACTGTCATATATCATTGTACAGTACCAACTTAAAATATTAAATATTAGTTATGCATTTTATAAAGGTTCTAACAATGTGAATCTGATGAAAATAACTTATTATATCAGGAGAATCTCTTAGTTTTTAGAAAATTTAATAAAAGTTTTTCTAAAACTGCCACTTTCTTCATTAACAAATAATTATAAAATGTATATTTGAATTTAATTTTCCATAAAGAAAAAATCTAATTCATTCTCTAGTCAATTTGGTCGATTATATCAGTAATTGGCATGTTGTAACACTTCCAGACTTATTTTTATTTTAGGATTGAATACTCGGACGAGGCTGGCAATGACCCAACCTCAGACGAAGCCACAGACTTGACGAATCAAGAATCAAAGAAAGCGTTCGTAGTCCATTCGTTTACAACAAAGAATTTCGTAATAAGTGGTGTAACTTTTTCAACAGTAGAATTTTCGAGTAAAGCTCGCACATTTTCTAGATCTGTTTTGATACAATCGCAACAAGAAACGGAGAACGATTCTTTGGTTACTGTGATAGAAAATTCTAGCATTAACAAAGATGACAGCTCTCCAAAATCGGAGGATGACAGTGAGGGTGAAAAGATGGAAGAACAAGAATCGAAAGAGGACGGAGATAATCAAAATTTGGGTGGACACAGGCACGTTATTAAATTTGGATATCTTTCCAGTACACAGGAGGTAAATTAATTTTGGTTGTACAGTTTTGATAATTCAGATTAAAATATCAATTTCAGGTTAGGGTGAAACTTAAGCAATCGGAAAATGTGACAGGACCAAAAGTATCGATAGACGTCATGTTAGGTTCCTTCATAATGTTTTTATCTCCGAGACAGTTTCATCTCCTGTTGGAACTTGCCGATGGGTTGTCAAAACCTGACACTGTTGATAACAGGTATACAATTTAATTCAATATACAGTGTGTGTCTTAAAGTCCCTTTTAAGCGTAACGAATAATTTTTTATCATCTGAATGTTCACATTACTAATTTGACCAGTTCTATGCATTTGATTTCGTACAATTCCTTGTCATTACAAAGAGATATACACGAGTTGGAACGCTTTTTGAAACTGTTACGTATATATACTGCTTTCAATGATCATTATTTGTTTTATATTTTATTTTTTCTTCCCCTTTAATTCGACATCTGGCACAATAATTAACAAAAATCAACTATTAGCCGTATTTTAGATTGAAATATGTGCTGTCAGTCAAAAATAAGAAAAATAATATATTTGACATAGGTATAATATTTAGTAGATTTGTTACCGACATAAGTTATAATTTATAAACAAATAATACATATTACAAAATTAAAAATAAAATCCAGTTATTTTTTTAACCCAGGGTTAATTTTAACTAAATATTTACAGAATATACCCTTTAATCTGACAAACAACTTTCCTATTGGTAACTTTAATATCCATCAAATATGACATCGAAATAAACTTTTGATAACTAATTTTAAATGAAGATTATAATGTGAAACTAGTTACAACAAAAACAAAATAAATATGCTTGAACAGGTCATTTAAATGCCTTGCAAACGAGGTGTTACTTGACATATGTTCCTATTTGAAATTAATAGTAGATAATAGGAAAGTTGTTTATATCTTTAAGTACACCAAATTTCAATAGTTATGTATAACTGTTCAAAGGAGTACTTAGGGACACGGTACCTTTAGAAGAGCACCACATACAAAAATATAATGAAGTTAATTATTTGCAGCAATGTAGCTCCAAGAACACACTGTTCTAGTAAACCAATGACAGTTCTAGACTATCAACGAGTAGAACAGGAACTTCAAAATCAGATACAGTCCTTGTCAAATTTTCAAATAGCAGGTCTGCAGGCAGCCCAGGGATGGTCTTCACCTGGTTTGGGTAAGCAGTTAATTAGCGTTTTTCGAAATTATTTCGTTTTCGAAGGATATTATCAGAGATGTTAGTTCGGACTCAAAAAATAACTTTTAGGATCATTTAGGAATATAGAGGACACCAAACTAGGAAAATAACGTATTTATATAACTGAGAATTAGCAGACCTTTGAAAAATTGTTATCTTAACATTTAGGGCGCGTTGTACAAAGAATGCTGTAAACTCAGTTTAGCTAACAGGAGTTTAATTGTAAACTGGTTATATTCAAATTACAAATGTCATTTTTAAACCGATGGTTATACAAGGAGGTTGACAGTTTAAACTAAGTTTACATTTTAACTGCCTATTGTATAACCCACCCTTGAAGGCATTGAGGGAAAACTCAGTTCAGCGTACTTCCAAAATCAATAATAACAAATTAGTTTTGGACAGAACTTCTATTACTAAATGTGTGGTATCCTTGTTTTGCTCTCCTATACCTAGCAGCATCGAAAACAAAATTTTAGTTAACTCTGAACACAAAATATAAATGTCGAAAACCTAATTAGTGAATTATATCCTATTTCAGACGATAGTGGTACAGAAGAAACTTTCTTGCCTTTAAAGAATACTGTAAGCGGCATGTATGACAGTACTCTATCGGGAATTGCTAGCAGTATGGATTCTAGCGTCAGTTCTAGCATGGTTAGTTCAGTTACTGATCAAAGTCAAAGATCTAGAAGGAAAAGTAAGTTAATATCTTAAAAAATTGTTATTCTTGAGTGGATTTTGATTTGATCTTGTTTTTAGTAAACACAGTTGATTCTGACCCCACAGCAGAAATATCCTATTTCCAAATACGGGTTGCCTCATTAGCTGTCATACTATTATTGGAAGACGTACTATTTCAACCAGTCGAGAAGAATCAAATTTTGGCCCCATCTAGCGTTCAAAAGATGCAACAAGTCGTAGACGATTTCTTCGGTAAATTAGGACATTTTTCTTTTGCTGCTTACGGAAATAAAGACTTTGAAGAAGCAGGGGAAGTTTTTAATAAAGCCTGCTGTCGCAGCCATTTAAAGTGAGTTTACAAACTAGTTTTACCTTTATAAATTGTTATTTCATTTTTTAGATTGTTAGCTGCTCCTGTGCAAATCGAGGGAGACGAAAAAACAACCAGTTCGGCGTTCTCCATTACAAGTCAATTATCTGCTGCCAAATTAGAGATTCACGAATGTATGTACAATTCCAATGATAATACCATCGAAACTGTTCCTCTGCTGGTATTCCTGGAAAACACTTCTCCCCAAAATGTGAATTTAATGAGTGTTAAACCTAGTGTTAAGTTGACATTTAAACATGTAGAAAAAACGAAGAGTTCTAATAGAAGAAATAATGGACCAAAATCTGAAGTAACGTAAGAAACATAACTTATTATTTCTGCAGTAGTTTCTAATTAGAGTACATGCAATTATATAACCTTTTTATGTAGAGTTGATAACCGTTTTTAAATCGTCATAACCTTGGAACAGAATGTTGCTTTTACACTGTTTTTGTCGTAGTTTCCGAACTGTAAAAACCTAACAAACACAAATGACTTTTGCAGACGGTTTAGTAACTACAGAAATATCTATTATTTCAATCTAAATAGTGTGATGATTGATGATCCTAGTTTAATCATCAAATATAAAAGCCTACTAACTGTATTGAACAAAAGTAATGAAACTCGAAAGTTTTACAAGTAATTTTTAAAAGGTAGGTAGGTGCATTTTTAATGAAGTGAAAACAAAATATGACTTTTTTGTTATGAATATAATAATAACAATTACTTTTAACACCACAACACGAACAAATTTAAATTAAACACTGGAATAATTGTCTGAGAAAAGCTTTGTAAAACTGACAAATGCAAACAAAGAGATAGAGATATTAATCTATTTCTCTCTAATTAGAATTCTCGACCATATTAACATGGCGACACAAACATTGTTTACTGTCCTCTCTTTACTACTTACTTACTCTGAGATGAAAACAAACAATTCAAACACTTTGATAAGCACAAAAACTAAAGACTATTAATTTGTTGAATCTTCTTGTAGGTTTTGCAGTTAATAATTAAAAATGGATTGAAAATGACTGACAGTATTTATTTTATTTTTGATACTTCTATAAAAACTTACTTAACAAACTTAACTCAAATATAGTACATAGTAAACATATAAAAGAAAAAGCTAATAACATTATAAGCTTCAATAAAGACAAGTATGGACAATACAATAATCAAAAAAATAATTTGCTTGCTGTATATCTAACGCTGACAAACTTATTTTAAAAGTTAGGCAACTTAGAGGTTGGTTTAATAAAATCCAGTTAGGTTCTTTATTCTTATTATTAAGAATTTTGAGCGACCTTTTCCTATTTCCTTATCTGTTTAATATTAATTAATAATTTGAATCGGTCATTTGAGAAACGACATATTAATTTGAATCGGTCATTTGAGAAACGACACATGTCACTTTTTTGGCCATTTTGTTTTTATACCAAAAATACAATATTTATAGGTAAATACATCGATCCACGCAGTAACATCACTTGCCCGATACACATTCGTATGTGTTATGCGTCACTTAATATCTGATTGCGTTTAGAAACAACACAAGTCAGTGACATGTGCTCTTTCTAAACGCAATGTGCTTATCGATGGCTCAATCAAAAACCGCTACAAGTCAAAACACAAAAAAAATGAAATTTTTGGTCCAATGGATGCAAAATATCATTAAGGTTTTACTTTAAATACCGCCGCAAATAAAAATATCCTTAAATATGCCCAAAAATCATTTAAAATCTAGTCACAGACTGTGTCTAAAACTACCTCAATTCGAGTTATTTTCTGCAAAAACACCCAAATTTTATAAAAACTATGCAATAACCCGCTTTTATAATCGTAATCGTTAATTTTAACAGCAAAATGTCGAAGATTTTAAATAAAATATAAAGATTTTATGTCAAAAACAAAATAATGATAATAGAGACTTACAAATTTCAAAATGAAATTTCTCGAAACAATAGTTTTTGAGTTGTGGCAGTATTTGATTGAGCCATCGTTATGTCAATTATTTAAAAAAATGGCATCAACTATAAAAAGTGATTCTAATAATGCTCCGACTCCTTTAATAAATAAAAAAGGAAAGAAAAAGTTATATAAGTGCCAAATAATAAAAAATGCTAGAATAAAGGGTGGAGAATAAATAAATTACAAAAAAATATTTGTAGATTTAAAAAAAACCTGTCGTCGACAGGGATCAAACCAATACAACCATGTTTTTCCGGACATGTGCCCTAACCGTTAGATCATCAACGAGAGTGACTGTCAAGATTCCTAAACGGAAAGTGCTAGTTCAGGACAGACGACATTCAGGTTGGATCTGAAATCTACAAATACCTTTCTACAGAATCGGTATATATGAGAAATGCATTAATGCATACTGCGCGAGCTAAGTTTTCCATGTACGTTTAGAGTCGTAAACCTGAGTATGAAAACTATAAATTTAATATACGAGTATTGTAGATCGCAAATCAAAATCCGAAAAGTCAGAAATATCTGAAATAACTTGTAAAATAATTGAAAAATTCGGAAACAATCGCTCTACGAATTATTAAGACCATCCCCGAACCCCAAAGTTGAAAACAATTGTTTGGAAATTAAAAAAAAAACTCGTCGCCGGGGATCGAACCCAGACATCCATGTTTTCTCGACATATACCCATACCTTTAGAGCATCAACGACTGTCGAGATTTCTAAACGTTAATTAGATGTACTAGTTCTGGAAAGACGGTGTTCAGGTTCGTACTCAAATCTACAAATACCTCTCTCTACGGTATCGGTATACACAGCACTTACTTTTTCGTGTTAAGCATACGACTAGGATATAAGTTAATACAATGGCAACAGCCAATTGTCGACTAGAATTAGAAGATATGGTGGTGGGATATTAATCAAACAGAATGTCAATCACAAACCGTAGTTGCTACATGTTGGCTGTGAAAGCATGATTATGCTAATACAAAATAATAAACACTGTATAAGAAATACATTGATGCATACTAAGCCCATATCTTCGTCTGCGTAAGTTAAGTTTTCAATGTAAACGTAAACCTGAATATGAAAATTTGTGAATTAAATTGTAACATCCAACTTATTACAGCTGCCTAATTCTGTGCTTATCCACTTGGAAAAGTTCCGATAAATTTTAAAAATCTCGCTGATATCAAGTGATTTTTTCATACGTTTTCGTAGAGCACCATAACTTTTATACCGAAATATTAAATTGGCCTACAACTGAAAATGAAAACGATGAGAACAATGAATAGTTTTGTTTTGTAACCTTCTTTAATATATTGTAGAATATAGTTTTTATGTTCATTTCAGAAACATCACATGTCGCGCATTTTTAATTAACCATGATTTGTTACCAATACTTTTTTTGTCTTAAATAGTTATTGTATTATACTCGAAATAGAGAATCTTTTAAATGTGTTTAAAAGTATTTTTTTAAACATGTTTTGAGATTTTCAGTTTTTCTTATTTTTTGAAAAATAATCTACAAATGACATGTGCTGTTTTACGGCAAAATTGGTCGTCAGGTAATTTAAACGCGCACGTTTATTTAGTCGCCTGCTATTGATGCAAAAAAAAATTTATATCAATGGATACAATATTAACCAATTCATTAAATTGACTTTTGGTAAGCCTAAAGTATTCTTTGAATTTAGTTTCGTCATCAATTAAATGTCTCATTATTAACGTACTAAAGCACCCTTCCTTTCTTCTTCAAACATTTTATGAACCTTTTTATGCATTAGTGATAATAGCAAAATGTCATCGTCTTCTGCTTCTTCTATAAGCAACTATGCTGCAATCACAAGTTCACTAGCAGTCATTTTTGTCGAACGAAATAAAAAATACTGATTGGCGACTAGTCGATTACTGTGACGACGAAACAGACCACTAGGTGCGATCAGGTGCGTCTAGACGTAAGCGATTAAGTGCCGCTTCTAAACGTCTCGACTACTCGCCCAAAAGAGACCCTACCTTAAAAACATCTAAAGTATTGCCGCGTGCGATGCCTCGCGATCAGTCGCGCGCGACATGTTGCGTGAGTGGGTTTTCCCTCTAATTGTAATAGGAAAAGGGAACGCGTAGTATTAAAGTCAGTCACAAGGCAAAGCCGCTGAAAAGAACGATAATAATTTATATAAATAAAAATTTCCTTGGTTTATTCGGTCATGTTTTTATTTTCTATTGTTCAGCACAGCACTACATATGTTTCGGAAAATTTTTTTCCCATCTTCGGGTGCAGTCAAAATTTAAAAAATAAAAAACAGTTTAAAAGTTTTTAAAATAACAGAAACCCCATCTTTCTGTTTCAGCGTGTGAAGATGTATTCGAAAAATTTTTCGAATATACATTTATTCGTTGATAAAATAAAGTTGTATCTGCGTAAAATTCTTCTCTTTATCTCTTCTCTTACTTCTCACCTTTCGTCTCCTCGCCGCGGACCTACAAATAGAGCGTATTGATTGTCGAATTAATCTTGGCATCGTGAATATTATATTTTATCAATGAATGGTTATATCTCTCTTATCTCTGCCCATATACCAATAAATTTTCTGTACTATTCGTCCTAAATTTATGGTAGCGGGCTTTCCGAACGACACCCCAATACTTAATACACATAAAATCATTGCTAGCACAGATAAAAGCACAATAAAGCAAATGCGTCATATTTCGTCAGTGTACACTTTGCGGCATATGCCACTAGTCGATATATTTACCTAAAGGAAAAACAGGTGTCCTTCAACGTGTTAGGACTGTTGGGTCATTCTTGTTGATTTCTGCAATCGACTCCAACACTCTCGTCATGGGAGGACGTTTTAGTCAAATCAAATTTCACCTTTACTTTTAACTGTATTTATTTTCACAATAAACTACCTTTTGGTTGTATATCACAATTAACAACAATTTTAACAATAACTTTTAACACTTAGAGTTGGATGAGGCAGTAAATTGAGGAAACCGAACTAAATTAGAAGAGATGAGTGGCATGGACATGGACGTCCACTCACCCGGAACGATTACATTGCAATAATTATCAATTTGACCCTTTTATTCTAACTTCCGGCTCTCACTAACAAAAGGAAGTTCCCCTCTTACCTGATTACGCGCAATATTCAAATTATTACACCTAATTAGCTATTGCACCTGGGCTATTGTAGGGGTGGTTATGCATTTCTCAATCTACCATTATGCAACCAGTATTACACATAACTACATATGGTTGAGTTTATTTACAATACATACTAATGTTTTGGATGGTTCCAGAACAAGGACTTTGACAAGCTGAGAAGACAGCTGTCTGTAGATACCCCTCAGCGTCAACCAACAGGTTTTTGATCAGTTGATAACCTGCAGGTCTTTGACAAGTTGAGAGGCAGTATGCCCCTGGAGAATGCACAATGGGCCTTATAAGACATAAGAACTGTGGAGCAACACACCTTACACATACAGATAATCTAAAATATTTTTACTTTTCACTTTCAAATGTCTCCACTTTTTGGGTAGATATTTTGATAGATATATCTGTCTTCTTTTTCAGATTATTTTTAAACAAGCTCAATCTGGAATTGGACATAACTATCGTCGACAGGATAAATGCGTTACTCGATTCTCCAACAATTTGTGTACCTGAAATTTCGCCTTATAATCCTTGGAGGACAGAAAAATTTTCAGATCATTTGTCTCCTATTAGCTCTGTAGAATCAAAAATGGATTTAAAGGTTATTTGTCCGCTAGTCAACGTGAAACTAAGGTACGTATTTTATACAAGTATTTAAATTTTTTAAATAATTGGGTACATTTTAGGTTTCCTATACCAGATTTTCGACCTTTACATGATATGAATAGAGTCCCTTGGTGGAAGAGGCACGTCAGAACGGATTATCTGTCACTAGTTTTTTCCGATTTTCTTCTCCAGTCTAGTTTCAACACGAATCAAGCTTGTCAAGAATACTCGATGCAGTCTAGGGCTCTGGAAGTGTTTTATTATGAGAATGAAAATAGCGCTGCTTTACCCATAGCTAAAACAGAATTCGACGATAGAAATATAACATCTATGCAAGATGTTATGTCACAAATAAGGTAAATTTTAATTTTGACTAAATAAGTGATCATTAATCATGGCGTACTTATTCAAAGCCTTCTGAATTTAATTAAAGAAAAAGGTAAAATGTATAAAAAAATTAATGAAAAGCCCCAATAATTTACAATTAAAACAAGCCTACAACTATTACAAAAATAAAATAACCAGATCAATTAAAAATGTAAAAAAAAACAGTTATTTTAAGAGAATTAGATAAAAGTTCAAATAAATCAAAATCATTATGGAATTGTGTAAATCACATCTGTAACAAATCCAAACCTAAAAAATAAATTAAAACAATCAATGTAGAAAATGAAGTAATAGTGAAAAAACAAATTATAGTAGATGAATTTAATAAATATTTTAGTGAGATTGGGTACAAACTAGCAAATTTAATTGAAGAGTCAACAAACTACACCTAACCACATAAAACTGTTAATACTAGTATTTTTCTACATCCAGCTAATGAAGAAGTTACAAATTTAATAAAAATTTTGAAATTAAATAAATCGCCAGGTGTTGATAATATTACCTCAGATATTTTAAAAAATATTTATAATGTTATAGTTACTCCGTTGACTTTCTTAATAAACAAAACATTTGAAACAGGTGTATTTCTAACAAATTTTAAATTAGGTTTAATAAAACCGATATATAAAAAAGGAGATACTGAAAATATCGAGAATTATCGCCCAATTTCATTGATAACTAGTGTTACTAATATTCTTGAAAAAAATTATTAAAAACCGCTTGACTCCAAAGTACTCACCTTAAATTTGCAATAGTTTTATTGTATATTACGTATGACCTTATAATTACCCCTTCCTTCATTTTTATTTCTTTTAACTTCTATTTATGTAAGGATTACTTTTTCTCTTTAATCGAGCAATAATTAATTATATATTTTTATCTACAACTGTCATTATACAGTGTCTTACCCCCCCTAACTAACTCGTTACTGGAGTCTTGTTAGGAAAATCGCCGAGACAGGTCGATTTTTGATTTATACAATGTACATTTTTGTATGATTAGTTTACCCTTAATTTCATCCCTTACTGGAGGGGAGCAACCCTTTCGAAAAATTTAAATGGCATGGGGTGGCGAGTGATAGCTCATTTGAAAGGGGGTTTTATTCTCTATTCAACCATGAAAAATTTTTGAAATTTGTTTCATTACGTGTTGATTTAGTAATGTTTAAAAATAACAAATCCTCACAAAATAGGAAAGCAACTAAACTAACAGTGACCTTCTAATGGCAAAAAGTCTTACTTCACGTCTGAACCAAAACCGAAATCATGCAGGGCCGAATTAGTCGAGAATTAACTCCAGTAACGAGTTAGATAGGGGGGTTAAGACTTATGATGCTCACCATATGGATGTATTATATGCGTATCTAAGGCAATATAAAGCAATCCATATATCACTAGTGAGAATATATTCATATTACACGATTTTTGTCAATTATACCCCACTAGAATTAAAAATCATTAGATCTAGTATGCGGTTGATAAGTTATTCGTTGTTCCCGATTCTTTTTTGAAATTAAACTTAAAATATTAAGCCCGTTTTAAGTGTTTATCAATTAAAAAAATGGAAGACGATGATTACATGGAACTAACACCTCCTGAAATCCGCGACGCTGCTAAAGTGGCTTCGTTGGAATTATTACCTGAAATATCGAGGAAAAATTATGAGATTGCATACAACAAATTTATGTCGTGGAAACAAACAAAAAATGTATCCTCTTTTTCCGAAGACACTATGCTTGTATATTTTATGAAAATTTCTAGTAAATACAAATCGTCTACTTTATGGACAAACTATTCCATGCTAAAAAGCATGTTAAACATCAAGCACAATGTCGACATTGATAAATATTCGAGATTACGTGCTTTGTTGAAAAGACAATCCGAAAGTTACGAACCTAAAAAATCTGAAGCTCTGACTGGTGAACAAATTGAGAGGTTTATAAAGGAAGCCCCAGATTTTAAATATTTTGGAACAAAGGTAAAAACTCGAATCGAAAATCAAAATTCTTTAACTTAACCTACCCCTTTTTTTAAGGTTGCCTTGATTATGGGGGGGGGGGGGTCATGGGTGCTTGCCGATCCTGTGAATTAAAGAATATGAAAATTGGGGATTTAAGATGTTTCGAGGGATGTTTTCAAGTAAACGTGCCACACACAAAAACCAAAGTCCCAAGGAATTTCACAATTGTGGATAATTTTTTCAAAATCGTTAAAAAAATATAGACCTCTGGACCGAAAATGCACCACAAGATTTTTTTCTCAATTTCCAAAAAAAGGAAAGTGTACAAAACAAGTGATAGAAATAAACAAGTTTAGCGCAAATTGCTACGTTTTTACAATTACCAAACTCTGAGAGATATACTGGCCATTGCCTCAGGCGTTCATCTGCAACATTGGTTGCTGATTCTGGAGCTTCAATGACAACATTAAAAATGGAGGCTGGAAATCCGCCTCCACAGCAGAAGGGTACATCGCCAATTCAAAAAAGAACAAAATAGAAACAGCTCAAGCAATTTTAAGTCAAATCAATAATGAAAATTGTGTTGGTCTTAATAATCCATCATCTTCTGACAGTGATCATCACTAATTTCTCTTTAAAAAACAATAATCATAATGATATTACCGGAGCTATTAATATTTCAAATTGTAATGTTACTATTAATTACATCAATAAATAACTTTAAACGAGTTCCTGTATAAATTGGCGTTTTATTTCACACGGTGGCTTAAATACTCTTCATTTGAAAGGTCTTTTAATTGTGAACAATCTTGTCAATTCTATTTATAACAACTTCAAAGAATTTTTTCGAAAAATCCCCGTTTTCGGTGAGTCTCCGTATTCAGTTGTAGATAAAGTATAGTATTCAATTCGTGTATAATGGACCATACTACACTCGAATATTTACAACACTCGCTCGCTCGTGTTCTAAACAATTCTCATGTAATATGGTCAACATTATACACTTATTGAATAATATACTATTAGTAGTTAGGATAACATAGCTAGGTATTATAATTGTAAATTATATTTTCTTTTATTATTTTTCTCGAAGTAATCAAGATACAATCAATAACAAATTGTATCTTAAATTGTATTTTAATTTGATGATATTGTCACTAAGAACGGCCTATTTAATTATTTTTTTTGTTTTACCATATTATGTGGAATGCGCGCGGGTATACGCTAGTTCAGTGATGTAATTATGGTTCCACTGACAATTAAAGTGACAGTAGATTTTTTGAGTGCGTTTTGTTCGTTTTGTTTACCTAAATTATATCGTTTTTTCACATTTTATAAATATATTCCTAAAATAAGTAGATAACATGCATCAAATATACAATCGTTTAGTTACCAATTACATACCTTTAAACTATTTTTTATAACCTGTAAACAATATTTAGAAATAAACTAAAAACAGTAAAAACGTGTATGTCAAATTTATTGATGTTTTTGTTAAAAGTTTGGTTAGAATTAAATGTCAGTGGAACCAAAATGACATCACACCGAACTAGCGTATTGTTATATACTCGTTAAGGGTATTAATACAGTTGTGACCGCTTGGGCCCGCTCTTTTCATGTTGTAGTGGTCAGTGTAGTACTTTATTTCTACACTGAGAAAAGTAACTGCAAAATTACTTGTCTGTTTAGAAAAATTTTCACACATTAAATGAAAGAGCAAAACTAAATCTAAATCTAATAAAAATATCTTAAAATATGCACTACAAAAATAATCTATCACCATTAATCAATCAACAATAATTAACATACACGATATATTAACCCTTATTTACGGACATATGCAGAAAATTATGGACTCCTAAACAAGGAACTGTCGCTACTATATTATTATTTATATTGAGATACATTTACAGATTTGTTACTGTCCATCTCTAAATTTCCGTTTAATTGCTAATTTTGATTTTCATTTTTCATTCAAGTACACCCAAGCACCTAGAATAAGTTCGCATTATAAATATGGACCTTATTTGTTTTTTAAATTAGTTTTAAATTAATTTAGGTTAAATGTAAAACTGTTTCCTACACAAACAAATGAATTGGAGAAATTATCCGAAGCTGAACCAAACGTTATGACCACTTCCTTCTATGGGGCTTTCGAAAATCAAAACAATGAAGATCCAGGACCGTTTAGTGCTAAAAAAGTCGTACACGAGAGCGATACTCCGCATTCTAAACCTCAGAACGGTAAAAATGTTTCTATATACTCCATATATAGGGTGTAACAAAAAATGAATCATAAATTATATCAAATATTCTGGAATCAAAACGTTTTAACCAATTTCAATGAAATATTCAAAGGTATATTTTTTGGACATATTAGCGTGTATCCAGATTTTCGACGGGAATGTCTATTATCGGAAATTAAGCGATTTTGGACATATTATGCTTATCAAGCAAAAAAATTTAATTTTGATGTCCCTACTACCCCTAAAAGTTTGTCGGTGTACAGAATGACAAGAAAAAAATTACAAAAACTGCATATAAGGGGGGGTTGGGATCTCCTAGACCTCCAAGCACTTTTGTATACCTCAAAAATAGGTTGTTCTTGTGCCACCATTGATTTAACACATTCATTTTGTCCTTTAGTATTTTTTAGTAAATTCAGTGTTTTTAGAATTGGGGAAATTTTTTCAATCATTTTCAAAAAATTTACACCTACATATTAAGGTAATGATTTTTTTTTACCAAAAATAAATAATTAGATGTTTTAGATGGTTTGTATTTTAAAAAATGAAATCATCTTACAAAAATATGTATTTCACAAATGTTAAAAACGGTCTCCGTTTTCTTGTATGGGCCGTTTTAACGTAAACAACCGAATATTTTGGAAAATAAAGGGATTCTAGTTTAATTTATTTACAGCTTCTGTGATTCTAGTCCTCAATTGTTGCTCGTCCATTATTTTGATCGAGTACACTTCTTTCATAAAACCCTAAAAGCTAAAGGGGTCTATTCTGTAACAATTCCTTTATATTTAACGGCCTTTAAAAATATTGGCAGCCTTTAAAAATATGTTCGTATTCGTTAATTTACTTCTGTCATTATTTAAACAGATTTCTTTAAGATAGTCCTCTAATGTATTTTAAAGATCCGTTTAAATAATGACAGAAGTAAAGAAGAAAATATTTTTAAAGGCCGTTAAATATAAAGGAATTGTTACAGAATAGACCCCATTGTCTGGGTTTCTGGTTGGACAAAAAATAGGTGTTAGACCTATTTTTGATTCCAGAGTAAATGGTATAATGCATGGGTTTTTGTTACGCCCTGTATATTGCCAATTTTTGTATTTATTACTTGTGTATCATCCTGATTTTTTTCTACTTACGCGTTTTTAAGAAAAAATTGTTTTACCTTTACAGATGATACAGCAGAATTAATTATACCCGGTGACAAACACGAAATAGAGGAGTTCATAAAGACCACTTCGGATTTCGCAAAGATTCACGTTGAAGTTTTTTTGCCTACTGTCTCTATTCAGCTCAAATCTAAGCACACATATGAACTCATATATAATAGAATAAACAACGATTTACTGTTGTGGACTCCTAGTGCTCCAAAACTGAACTCGCCTCTTAATACTACTAACTATTCCACCTACGGTACTAAGAGTGTCTTTGTTGATGGTCGAGATACATTTACAATGTGCAAAAGTGGAATTCAGTATGGTAAGTTTTTAATTAAAACTAGACTCGTAGTATAATGAACAGTACAACGAATAAATTTAATTAATTTTTTTTTCTGTTTTCTTCTGGTTTCCAAAGAGGGTATATTTAAAAACTAATCAATTCTAGTATAATGATAAAACGTTTGTTATTTAAAGGCTATGTACCTATGAACATTGTTCTGAACATGATCGATTTTTAATGTGTTTGTTACATGATGTGGGGACCTATAGAAGAGCAATAATCAAGGTGACTCCTAACTAAAGTGCAATAAAAAGTTTTAATAGCAGTTACATCAGTGAAGTCGCGAGTCGTTCTTTTAATAAATCCTAACATTTTCATAGATTTACTTATAACCGAAAGATGTGGTGGTTAAAGCTAAGAGTTGTATCAAAAATAACTTAAAGGTACCATTTGGGAACGCGTGACAGACGACAACAGGCGCGACGGCAAAGGAGACAAATGCATTTACGTTACGCTTCACACATTTGAGAAACAAGGAGACACGACGCGACAACCGCAGACGACAATTCGAGGTAACGGTCAGTTTTGCCAGACCTACTGTTTTTAAGTAGATCCACTGTTTTTGTCTCTGTTCTCCCGTTTTAGGCATGAAATCTACTGTTTTCTCCAACTTAACAAATTTTGTTCCTAATTTATTAAGTTAGCCTCATTCTTCAGCAAATGGTCAAAGAGATTATTTTCTCTAGTAAATTTGCTGAACTAAAAGCAGCGTAATAAGCATCTACTACTGTAGGTTTGCTCCATAAAAAACCTCAAGATAATCATTATGTTTTTATTTAAAATGCAACAAAAATTAATAGGGCATCATAAAAAGAACATGCATGCCAAACACAACGTATTTGAATTATCTGATTTAGACTGATCTAAAAGAAATACATATTATTTTCCAATTTGGGTACAAAAATGTTTATTTTTTGTTTCTTATATACTTGTTTTTTTTATTTACTACACTGCAAATTATAATTATTTTCCCCTGTATTATAATCTACTGTTCAGATATATGGTTTTTTTTTCACCCATAGTATTCCAGCAAATTTTTAGCTGGCAACACTGCCTAGATCGAAAGAACTTTCCAACTACCATTTCTATAAAATATCGACTAATCACCTCGAAATACAAGCGATGACTGAGGAGTGCGACAGGCAGCAAACGCTGTACCCCGAGACCGATCTACCTGTCGTTGACTTCTGTCTCTCGCACTGGTCGCGCCTTGCGAAATGTGTTTCATATAATTACATGTATTCAGACGTGAAGAGACCGTTCTTGGTCTCCTTTGCCGTCGCTTCTGCTGTCGTATGTCGCACGTTCCGAAATGGTACCTTAAGATCTTTAATTTGTTTAACACTATATAAAAGTTGACCATGATTGTGTAGTCAAATATCACTATAATTTGTTGAGAACGATGGAACCGAATAATGTGACATTTTCCCACATTTAAATCCATGCCGTTGTATTTGCACCAATCGGATAAATTATTAATATCAAACTGTAAATCAATAGCATTTCCAAAGTTGTTGTTAAAAATTTAGGCCATCTGCAAAAAGTGAGAAATTACTGTGACGAAAACAGGAAGATACATCGTTGAAAATAATTTAAAAAAGGGGTCCTAGATGGGTCCCTTGAGGAACTCTAGAAGCAACAGTATATATGAGAATAGTGACATTTTACTTTGACTAGTTGAGTTGTATTAAGAAGATAGCTTTTAATCGATTACAACAATATGAATTAACAATTCATGATTCACTCTATCGAAAGCCTTGGCAAATTCGGCATATATGGCATCTACCCGACACCCCATTCGTAGATATAGACAGTTAAATGTATATATTTATATTGAAGTTGAACTGTCATAATTTTTTGTGAAAATGGGATATTTTAATTATTTAACTGCCGATATCTAACGAAACAGGTAACGGTGGAATTTAGGCAGTAAGGTACCCTATTAAAAAGTCACTCTAGAAATTGACAGGAATCAGAAAATGATGTCATACATGGTACTGTTATATTTCTTAGTTTCTAATAACATGGTATGTTATTTATTTTAATAGTTTGGTTTCACCCTTTATATTTATGTCACTATGACAGAAATTGGATTTACAAAACGTTTCTACTATATTTTTCATAGTTCAAAATAAAGAATTAGAAAGTGCAGAGATAATTTTTAGGTAGGGTTATCCATTTAAAATTCCAACATTTCCGGATCGCCAGCTACGTTTCATAATATTCAGAAAAGATGCTTCTAGAGCTGCAATTTGTGTAAAAATGTTTTTTCATTTTCCGTTCCTAAGATATTCAGGTGTTTACTTACTTTATATTGGCTAACACTGTATAAACATGTCATATATTTATAACTAAGACGATTATAATGAAGAAAAAGCTATTTGTTCTAAATTGTTTAAAAATCAATAAATATGTCTTAAAAACAATTTATATTGGACTTTCAGACAGTAGGACATGTTGTTGTATACACATTTAAATACTATTATTAAGATCACAACCATTGAATACTAACAAACGATTTTCCTAGTGGAATATTTACAACCTTGCAACGTCACATATTAACTTAGCAATTGAAAGCTTTTAATTTTTAATACCTTCATTTCTCTCTCAAAATATAGTACCTATTTATTATGTATGAAAGAAAAATACTTTTTTTCTACTACCGTGCGTAAAGTTGTACTTTTTTCACTAGTGCGTAAAGTAAAACTCTTTACGCACTAGTTAAAAAAAGTAAAATTTAACAAAAATTGTACATAGCAACAAAATATAACGTTTTATTTTATATTACCATTTTTATGCTATCAAATAAATAAATTATTTTTGCTTATATCTATTTAGTGCCCAACAAATTATAAACATTTTTTTTATTTTAATTATAATTTTCTCTAAAAGTACTTTACGCACTAGTGAAAAAATAACTTTTATATTTCTAATATTAGTGGATAATATGTACGGAAGTAGAAAAAATATTGTATGCAACTCGTGTGTAAAGTCCCTTTTATTCCCTTTAAAAAGTAACTTTACACACTTGTGTCATAAATAACTATTTAATATATTTTCGTTATTTTCCTTTAATTGTATAGTTCGTTTTCCTATATTAAGATAATTTTCATTTTTCTTTCAAATTATAATAACGTCGATATTCGATTTTTCAGAATCTGAATCTGACAGCGAAGATTCGGAAGAGACCAACGGTAACAACGTCTTCTTCTCTACCTATGATCACAAAACCAAGCTTTCTTCAAAATCGCAGCTCAAAGTCCAAGAACCTGTTAAACAAGAACAGAGCGAATTTGTGCTCAATATTCAAATATATCAAGGAATCCTAAGCATGAATCCTCCAGTCCGAGATTCCGGCAACAATGTTATACCGGGCCAACAGGGCGAATTCGTTTTAAATTTGGACGACGCAAATATATTTGTAGTTAGCGGTTACAAAGGTGACACGAACTTGGGATTCGTTTGTGTGCAACTACACAATGCTCAACTATACCACTGCGGTAAGTATTTACAAAAAAAGTGTATGAATTGTTTTTATAATTTTGGGTTTTAGATATGATGTCGATACCTACTAAAGATCCACCGTTAAAAGAAATCGGCTGTCACTTAGGCCACCATTTAAGTCCCACGATTTTTAAATCGGAACCTGGTATGCTTGCTACATCGAAAGATAGAGGTGGCAACAGAGAAATGTTTACTGTTGCCGTCAGAATTCAAGCTAACCATGAAACCCACCATGTTAAGGTAAATCATGACGCTTATTATTATTATTCAATATATAGGAGAATGTGGGTGATTAAAGTTCGTCAGAATTAGGGACCATCCATGCACAAATGTTATTTAATGTGTATTTTCAGACTGTTCGGGTAGCTCTCGGTTTAAACAAAAGTACACTAAAACACCGAATGTGTACGGAACCAAACAGTTGGATCTCCCATCTTTTGGACTTTTTCAACGTCCAAGATTATCCTCTAGCTAACTACCATGCTAAAGACGTATTGACTGAATTGCATCTACATGTATGGGATTGTGCCATAGATTACAGGTAAATGTCGAGTAGATATACAAAGCCGCTACGGCCCCACATAGGGAATTCAATGTGTAAGAGTGAAAGGTACATATTCAATGGGTTAAGAGAAACGGGGAGTGGGGGAAATTAAATTTCTTTTTACGCCGAACGGAAAAATCATGCGATTGCCAAAAGGACCTAAGCGTGTATCTCGGCTACTATTGGTCCGATTCAAACGGGAAAAACGGAATTATGTAGAAAACTCGATATAGATTAACGTCGAACAGAAAAATATTGGTATTATTTATGTCCACTTAGTTCTATCAGGCGATAATTGTAGAAATTTCCCGTTACAGCCACGAGATGTGCATTTCCTGTAAATGTGATTTCATTGGTTTGAGAATTTTCTTTTATAATTGTGGTCTGAGATAATATTTGATCAATTTGTCTACTTTCAACAAATGTGGTTTGTTATCGGCGATATATGTATTGTTTAAAATTTTATAAATGCATGATACAGAATGTCTTAATAAAAAATCACTTATATTATTGAATATTAATTCCCATTTTGTCTATGATCTTTAGCCTTTAGGATGAATATATTTGTATCGGTTGTTGGATACTGATTAGGGTGCTCCCAAAGATTTAAATTTGTTAGTTTTTTTTTTTCACTTTCTTTTTGGCTTTGTAAAATCCTAAATCTCTTCTTAGTTCCCTAACTTTTGCTACAAACTCTTCAATTCTACGGCTATTCTGTTTGCTAGACATCTCGATATGGAGGAAAAATATTGAAGCACCTATATAATTAAAAAAAGGTCCTTTTGGCATTGCGCAGAATTTTTCTCTTCAACGTTCATCTATACTGCGTTCTCTACGTAATATTGTTTTTCCCGTTTGAATCTGACCAATAGTAGCCGAGAAACATGCTTAGGTTCTTTTGGCATTGCTACTGCGCAGGATTTTTCTCTTCAACTTTCATCTATATCACGCTCTCTACATAATGCCGTTTTTCCCGTTTGAATATGATCAATAGTGGCTGAGAAACACGCTTAGGCCCTTCTGGCTTTCGTTCTGCCCATGATTTTTCTCTTCAATGTTCATCTATATCGCGTTCTCTACATAATGTTGTTTTCCTCTTTTAAATCTGACCAACAATGACAAAGATATGTTTTAGGTCCTTTTAACCTGTCACTGCGCATGATTTTTCTATTCGACGTTAATCTATTCCGAGTTCTCTACATAATGCCGTTTTTTCTATTTAAATCTGACCAACAACAACCGAGAAACACGCTTAGTCCCATCTGGCTTTCGTTCTGCGCATGATTTTTCTCTTCAACGTTCATCTATACCGCGTTCTCTACATAATGTCGTTTTTTCCGTTTAAATCTGACCAACAATAACCGAGAAACACTCTTAGGTCCTTTTGGTAATCGCATGATTTTTCCATTCGGCGTTAAAAGAAATTTAATTCCCCGCACTCCCCCTCACTCTGTCTCACTCTTACCCATTGAATATGAATTGAAGTGGTATTATAAATGCACAATAAAAAGAACTATTTTTTTTTGAACAACAATGTCTTATTCAGGTTTGTTTTTATAATTACAGGCAACAAAAATAATCCATAGAATTAAAAAATTAAATCCAAATTTCATGAGTAAACGCCATACGTTTCTTCCTAAAAAAAATAACGCAGAATTTGACAGATATAAGATAAAATTATATAAAGCAGTGTCATTGGTTTATTTAACAAGCAACATATATTTTGATACATGAGTGGGAGTTAGATTTGAGCAAATTTTATCATTAAAGTTTGAATTCAATTATTATAAAGTCATTTGGTGAATCAATTATAGTTTAATATTAAAATACAAACCTTTTTAAGTAGAGTTTTGATGATGTCATAAATTGAAGTAATTTTTATTGGTTCCTAAACCTCAGTATGGGTAAAGGGAGGTTTGGTCCATAGCAACCCCTTGTTACGCGATAAATAAGGGACTTCTAGAAAAATCGAAGATGGAGACAGGGAAAAATACAATTAGTTTAAAAAATCAATAAATATTGATTTGGATAATTTAAACAGTAAAAAAAAGTATTAAGTAAGTCAATGACATAAAATTATAAATAATATTGCATTGTATGTATGAATTTATAAAGAAAAAATCAACTTACTGGCCACAAAGTCTTCAAAGGATTTGGAGTGTTTCATGCAAAGAAAGAATCCGATATAACGTTAAGTGCAGGCAGATCAATTCCCATATTTCACATTATTGATACATATGTGCTACAAACAAATAAAACCAGTGCACATTATAAGTTAAAAAAAAAATAAACCCTAAAGAAAGGATATTTCAATCTTTCAAAAGTTTGATATAAACCTAAAGCTTGTGAAGATAAGCGAAAATAATATAGATAGTTTAAAAAACTTTTATGCACGACCGGGCGATAAAGTCCAGATTATAAATACGTTTAGCGGGCGTAAAGTATCACTTTACCGCCCGCGGACTTTTTTTTTTTTTCTTTTAAAAATTCACATGTAGTTAGTAAAACAAACTTTATTATTATTATTTATTATCATGGAAATATTTGGTACAATTAACAAAATATGAGTTTAATAAAGAAATTATAACTTTAAAAGCCCAAACATAAGATCCTCACACTTATAATTTAATTAACATGAATGTTAATTGTTATTTATGTCAAATTATGCTTTATTTTTATCTTTTGAAATAAAGAATCTGTTATAAGTATCACTATTATCAGAGTAATTAAAGTGTTTAGAGCGCCAATAGAACCCAACCTGAGATAAGAGCCCAAAGGTAAGTGGGAAACTTACCATAAATATTAAAAGATTTTTGTTAAATCTATATAAAAACGACTGAGCATAGTTTTATAAAGGGAAGTTGTAACAAGTCATGTTGGTTTTACTTACCGTGTTTTAGCTCAATTTAATTAGGGCCGTGAGTAGCACTTAATAACCTTGACAAAACTTAACTATAGGAAAGGTATGGAGGGCGCCACCAAACTTACATAAACATATCATTTAAAGTGAATTATAATAGTTTGGCAAATATAATTAATATGAATGATGTTAAAACAGAACGTATATGTTTATGCAGGCAAGTAACAATTACAATCTACACAAGCCATGATTCGTTTAAATTACTTCTTTATTTAATGTTTCAAAGATAAAAGTGAAACTTATCTCAAAGTAGGACTGGTGTAGGTCTTCAATCTTTTCAAATAAGGACGGTCTCCTACAGCGATGCGTCTTCTTCTAAATATAAATTAACATGTTTGTAATCATAACTGCAACTATCTTCTAATCATAAATCAACATATTTGGGACCATAACTTCAACTGTATTCTAACCATTTGTTTAAAAAATATATTTTAAACTATGTTCTCAGCGGAGTTGTAATAAAACCATCCAAAGGTTGACTTATCTAAAAGATTGAGAACTTTTTGAAGTTTACGTAATAAGGAAAAATAAGGAACAAGGAGGTAAGATGTTTCTGAACACATAATGAATAAAAAATAATTTTTACAGAAATTAATGACACGTTCTAAAACATCTAACCTCACATTTTTAACAACTAAATAAATCTCGATCCATTTCGTTAATCTTTGCAGAAATCTTGTAAATATTAATCTTGTACTCACCATAAAATACTGATGGTTCTCACCACTAATAAAAATATCACATACTGTTTAAGATTACTTAAATATTAGCAGATTTAATAATCTCGACTGCCTCGTTCTGAGGTATTATTGTAAAAGGCTTTTTCAAGTAATACCTGTCGAAATTCACTTTCGATCCGAACATACAACTTATAAAAAACAAAAGATAACTATATAAAATATTGGTAGCGAAAGAATGAAACTATCGGTCCTAATAGAGATGGGACAATCATTTTAAAAATACAGTTTTAAAATATTAAAAAATAACGGTACTAGAAGAGTAACCGTTACAAAGTTTTGGTTTTCTTTTCCATAATATAAAAAATAAATATAAACTAAACAAACCAAAACAGTACCTCTCACTCTTACACATTGAATTCCCTATGTGGGGCCGTAGCGGCTTTGTATATCTACTATGTCGGATATAAAATACCAATACATTTTTAATTCAAGCAAGAAGTAGGTGTGTACACTCTGGATGATCAGAGGTTGAGGAGGAATGAAACAAATATTTAAAAAAAAAAACTTGCACACTTTAAGTACGTGTTTCATTAATACTCAACCTTTGACATTTTTAGTTGTTTCGACCTTGACATGATGAATCAATATCAATAAATTATAAAACTTTATTACAAAATTGCTGGCACAATTTTATTACGCCCATAAGGAATACAATTAATCTTTCATTTCTTATTTCAGACCTTTAAACTTACCAATTAGATCCGCCATATCCATAGGAAATTTCAGTATGTCATCGCATTTGTCGGCCCAAGCGAATTCGTCCACGCTGAGGTTCATTTTCGAGGAATGTTCTCTATTTTTGAGCGAAAAGGCTCCTCCGAAGAATGGAAAAGTTTCTCTGGCGCCTGTAGATTTAGTGAAAGATTACGTGAATGTATTGGAATTGGGATTGTTTGAGCTCAGCTTAAGAACTACAGATAAGGTAAGATCAACTTACTAACTTTGAGGTTTTGAAATGGTTTCGTTTAATTTAAACTTTCCGACATCAGTTATCATTTTTCTGGTTTTTGTCTCTTCACTTGTAATCTTGTAATACGAGGTTTAGACACAAAAATATAGGATAGAAAATATTTCTTTGGATCTTTAAATCTTAAAATATTATTTTTAAAAAATACAGGGTGCTTTGCTAGCTTCGAACGAAGTTAGCATAAAAAATACTATTTTTTTCGAAAAGTTTTATAATGTTTTAAGATCCTAAAAATAGTCTAAATATGTGACATAAGTAGATGTTCCCAGAAAAAAAATAAACCTAGCTGCTCTGCTAACTTTGTTTCAACAAAGCACTCTGTATTATTTAAAAATAGCAATTTTAGTATATTAAAATATTTCAATAGCCTAAAAATGCGAAGCTAGCAGAGAACCTTGATTTTTGCAAAAAAAACGAGGAGCATAAAATTTTTGAATAGGGTATAAAATGTCGAGGTGCACTGCTGCCTTCTTTGACATTAATTTGTAGATTGTTACGTTTATTTTCTTAATATTAACAATCGGTCTTCAGTCTCAGTCTGTTTCAGTTTACAATTCGCAACAAGTCAAAGCATGAGTCGACTGTTCGCGTCGGAGTAGTTTGGTCTCTAAAAGGATCCGAGACTAATACTGGTGATTCGAATACGAATCCTTAAGGATTTCCTCGGCGAATCCGGATCACGGTTCCTTTTTTTTTCTCTTAAGTATTCGAATACCGCTCGCGGATCCTCAAAAAGGATTCGAATCCTATGTGATTCGAATCCTCCCCAGCTCTGATTTGGACTGACTTAAGCACAACGACTGACTTACCCATACAAGGACTTTGGAAGTTTTTCTCAGAAGAATAAAACACTATTTTTAGTATTATTTTTTTATTTCAATTAGAATAAAAGGTGGTATTAAGACTTAAAATCAGTTTTTCTACTGAAAAACAACGTATTTTTAATTTTTTTCGGTTAGAAAAACAAAAAAAAACTACTTTCTCGTTTTTAACAAAATAAAATCAAACTCTTCACTCCTATGGTTCCGTGAATAAGAAAAAAGAAAAAAAACTTAAAATCAACTCCGTCTTTAACGAAAACAAAAGTTTCAGTCCTCTTCTTCGGAACCAGGTTCTGCTGAAGAAGTGGGCAGATTTCTGTAATACTCATGGAATAATGGATCGATTAGGTGTAAAATCCTCAATAAGTTTATTTTTCTCTTCAAAAATTGGAAGTGTAGCTGAATACTGGCGCACAGCTTGAAGTATAGGATTTTCTTGACGCCTTCGTAAAAATGATATTGTTTTGAAAGTCGACAGAGGTTTTGTATTGAATAATACCAATCTGGCAACTTGAAAAATGCATCCATTGCACGTCATGCCAGACAAACTTTTCATTCTTGCAATTTTTAGTTTTGATTTGCAACTTTTTATTATAAAATTATTTAAAATCTAGAAAATTGTAACAACCCGGACGCCTAAAGACCACGGCTTGTCACCAAATATAACAACCGACTTGCCTAAAGACCATTTGTAACTACTGATAGGTCTTAAGCTACTGTTTTTAATATACTATTAAGGGATAGAGGCAGCACTGTCACCAGCCAAGGGTCCTGGAATCCAAAAGGAACATCCATTCACCAGTGGCAAATAAAAATAATAAAAAATTAAATTAAAAGAACAAAAATTATCCCTTAATAGCATAGTCGAGCGGTTCTTGGCAACTAATTTAAGACTCTTTTAGTCCTAAAGGAATAGAAACGCCGAGGCTTCTCAAATGCTCGGAATATTTTCCTGGTTTTGAAAGGGGGGGGGGGGGGGGAGATATTAATATATTAAGTATTCAAAAATTAACAAATTTATATTTAAAATAAGTACATAAGTGACTAGTATTCTACAGAATAAATTACTCAAATTATAATTAGGGATTAAACTGGCACTATTTGATAATATATCCAAACTTTAAAGATTTATGACACTAGATAAACACTTAATTGAACTATACAGTTTGGACTTAACAAATATAAATTGGAAAAGCACTGGAAAACTTTAACTCCATAATAATAAATAATAATAATAAAAGCACTTTATTGGTTATGAATATTACAACCAAATGGCAATCGACCTAGGTCCTTCAGCCAGTACAATTTGTGTAGTATGTATGAGGATTTACAAGCTTTATGTGTAAGATGAATACGAATATTAAGATTCCTAAAAAAAACGCAATATGTGTAACTAATTATTGTTCATCGGCAAATTCGTTTAAGATTTCTGTTATTGATCTCACTGGGTATTTAAACTTTGCTAGACCATCGAAAAAATGTTTATTAGCATGTGATTGTTTCGTTTCTTCAAGAAATATTTTGACAGTTTTTTAATTATTACCATGATATGCTGAATCTTAGTTTTTTCGTAAAGATATTCATTCGCTGGATGGTGAGTGGGGTTTTCAGGATGTCGCATCTTGGTAATGATTCTTAGTGTAGAAGTTTCGGCCACCTGAATGTTTTTTAATGCAGGTTTTCGGCAGTGTAACCATAATAATATTAAAATATGTATAAGATAATCGGGACGAAAATGTAAAATTGGCATTTATCTGTAAATCAATTAATTACTATCAAACAAAACACTTTAAAAATAAGTTAAAGATATTTACCCATAATTCATAAATCGCTGCACAAAAACTTTACTCTACACATTACTTTGTTTTGGGACTTAAAGAGTCCCAAAAAAACGAGAGCTTTTGCCCTCGGCGAAAGTTCTGGACCTTAGTCCGCACTCGAGAGTTTTTTTTTTCTGTCTCGTCTCTATATATACCAAAATTTACGTGATAGTTATATTTTTAAAAATGTCACGCTCTACCTTGAATTTTCTAGTTCAATGTAAATGATTAACTAGAGTGATAACATGATTATTTGTTTTATTTCCATACGTGTGTTTTCTTTTGAATTTTTAATTTAAAACATTATTAATACTTTTTATAGCATTTTTAGTAAATTTTTTATATGTTCCAATAATAATGCCAATTATTACAAAATCATCTTGTTGCATTTCAGATACTAAAAATTTAATTCTTCTTTTTCGATCATAGCATGTGCAATGTCACACTCCATATGAGAGTGGCCACTCACCATAAATTGGTCAATAGATTTTAGAGCAAGGTTATGTTGTAGAGCTGAAAAGCACATAGCTGCTATATGGGAGTTTTTATTTTGTCCTGTACATGTATCTAAGTACATAACCACATTAGTTACATGAGCAGACAGAGTAGTTAAATATTTGAATAAACAAGAACCAATCTGGTTTCCTCCCCGGCCACCTGTTGTTTCGTACCATAAAAAGTAGTGTGCTATGCCTTCTGCCCCATCAAAAATAATTAAATTATAGACAGATAGCTGTCTTTTGTAAAACATAATATTGTTTGGATATGTGGTGTGGCTATTTTTTTTATTTATCAATTTTAGCATCTTCCTTGTCTTTGGACTTAGCTTGATAATGCTTGTCAGCCATATGTTTACGTTTGTCCCATTCAATTTGAATTGCCTCCTGATCCGTCTTACTTGCAAGCTTAAATTGAAGAGAAAAAGTATCACAGGTATTACACGTGTCGTTGTGTACTTAAGAAATCCGTCAGTAACGTCAAAGGTTTTTTTGAAACAATTTTGGCAAATCTGCAGTTCCCCATTGATTTTAAGATGATATACATAACTTAATGCTCGATATCTTCGCTTTTTACCTCCATTGCGATGTCACGAGCCCGTTAAGGTAATCTACTCTTCTATTCCTATCATTCATTGCCCAAAATAATTCAAACAAGTCTTTCCCCGAATTATAATTAAATCGATCGCTGTATTTTATTTGGCAATCGGGTAGATTTACAAGGCACTTCTTTTCATTTATTGTTTAACCATTTTCTGTGACGTAAGATTTTCCCGAGTTTCTTTTTTCTTTTCTTTCTTTTCGAAGTTTTCTTTTGCTTGGTACATTATATTTCTGATTTTTATCGCTCTTGTTATCGCCGAAACATTATCCTGAAATTTTAACTTTTTTCTGAGGAATAATGGGCTCTTCATCCTGATCAGAGGAGCTTCTATTATCTGAATCAGATTCCAATCACGGTACAAAGTCGGGGTCAATAATTTCATCATCACCATCACCGGCAAAAAGTTTTTCATTCTTTTTGTTTTGCTCCCGTGGAGGATTATCGAGTTGGTATAAAAATTCTTAATTAGCACCGACATTAGCTTCTGGAAATATAATATATTATCAAGAAAAACTATGTGAGAAGTTTGAAGAAACTTACCAGAAGTATATTCAGTGGCTGGCACTATTTCAACATTACTTGAATCACAATAATAATAATAAATGGCAAGTGAATTCCCAATTTCTTTTACTGCTACTGGAAGGACATTCGCGTTGTTTTCTTCAGTGCTATTGAGACTAGCTCCTTCTGTGAAAAAAAGAATCGCGTTGAACTTAGGGATAAAAACTACAACAAATTTTTTAAGCAAAGTAATGTTTGCTGTAACTTACCACAAGTAAATTTAGGGGCCGGTTCAATATCAACATTACCAAAATCAACATTGACAGTAGATTGATTCCCAAATTCTTGTACATCTACTGGAAGTACATTAAGATTGATTTCTTCACTATTGTCAAAATTGGCTTCTCCTATAAAAAGAAAGAATAGCCTTAGACTCGTACATTAAAACAACAATGGATTTTTCAGACAAAAATAAAGTTTGTAGTATTTACCACGAGTAAATTCAGTGACCGGTACAAATTCAACATTACCAAGACCAACATCGCCGGTAAATTGATTTCCAAATTCTTGTACTTTAACCACTTCAACTGTAAGTTCATTAAGGTTTTCTCTATGTATGTTATTAGCTTCTGTGGAAAAAAAATTAAACGTAGAGATATATATTTAACGTTGAATCAATAGTATCAAATAAAGATAAATAAACAACATAACCTCAAAATTTGTATTCATGTTATTAAGTTACTTCCTTACCTTCTGTAGAGTCATTCTTCGCAGGTAATATCATGAAAAGAATTATTTTGCTTCTTGAACACATTTTTGACGTAGTAATTACTCAAAAGTCATAAATTCTTAACAAATACTAACAATAACAATCAGCTTATGTTACCGTTCGCAACAACTCACATTTCATGTCGCGTAAACAAGACTATCTGTAGATAAGTTATTATTACCGATACCTTAGACTGCTTATGTCGACTTATGCCAATACTACGCGCTTCATATTTAGGTTAAACTGAGTACATCAACATAAGAACATTACCCGCGTCCTTTTCTTTTTAAATATTTTTTTAAGTATTGTTAGGATGTCCTACCCGACATAATATGACTTAGGCAGTTGTACCCTGGGTAAAATATATTTAATTTAGTAAACAAACGACTTAGGAAGTTTGATCCATCAAAAAAGTGTACAATTTAAAATGGAATGGTGACATTAGCTCATTTTTTCAAAAAATTGACTCCAGCACTTTTTCCCCAGGAACAGATTTTTCATGAAATTTTACACAAAAAATGTTATATGTACTGTAACCTCCCACCTCTCAATTTTGTTTTACTTTAAATTCTATATTAAATTCTGTAAATTATGTATTTGGCCTATTTCCTCTAGTTGGTGTTTGTGTGAGGTGAATGTATGCTGCAGTAGCAAGTTAGTTTTAAGTTATATTCTGTTGTGACCTGCTGTTAATCATTTATGACAGTTAATAAAATTTAATTATCTAAAAGATTTTTCGTAAACATGAAGGAATTTGAATTTAATAAGAATGCAACTTTTCTTTATTAAATTAATTAATAAATTAAATTAATAAATTGGGAAGGTACCTGGGTCAGGTAGGTCACAGTACATATAAACCTTTCAGTTATTTCCTGCCAAGCACCTTCAAAAATAGTGTGTAGTATAGCTTAGACAGAATTAAACAGTACTTTGGTAATTGAAGAAGGTGGTAAACGTTTGACGAGATCATTATTAGCAGCGTAACCGGGCAATCGTATATATACGCGAAAAAGTTATAAACAGCTATATTAAATCTGGTCTATGGAGTGAGAGAACTGCGAAAGTACTGTTCAACTTCTATCTACCTTCTAGGAAGGTTTCTAACTTATAAAACCAATCACTTATTAGTGTAAAGTATATTTTTAAAATTTCAGAGAAGTGGCCGTAACCCTCACATAGATCTCCGAGCATCCAATAACATTCTAAACATCCACACGTGTTCTGACAGTGGAAGGATGTTGATGCAACTAATTGTTTATTTCGCCAACGATGGGGACCTCATTCAAGCCGTACCTGTTAACAACGCGAGTCCCTATTCCAGTCCCAGGCATCAAGCCGATCAAGAATTGGTACCCGTGGAACCTCAAATCAGCAATTTGTCAAAAAGTCAGCACGAACATGTCAATACGCTTTTAGGGGAAGCTATGAAGGAAAATGAAGTTGCTGAAGGTAAGATGTATAATTTATTCTTAGCTTATTTAGTTTGGCATGAGAACGCGAGACAAGAATTTTGGAATATGTGAATACTGAAACTAAATGGTCTAATTAAGAATATGCCTTCTTCTTTTATATTTTCCCTTGAATAATTTTCAATGTCTATCAGGGGAGGTTCTTGGGATACCTATGGTGCTTCCGGGTCTAAGGTTTGATATTTTTTTGTCTTCTCCTCTAAATCTGTTGAATTTGTTCCATACTTCCTTTATAGGGATATTATGACTACGGGAACTGCAGTATTTTTTCCAGGACTTTTTTGCTTTTTTCGTTGTCATTTTAACATAGGCATCTTTTTGTTTAAATTGGATTAAATTTTCTAGATTAGGATTTTGTTTATATTGAGAGTATGCTTGTTTTCTCTCATTTACAGCTACCTCTAATTTTTCATCCCACTAGGGTTTGCCTTTTGATTTAAAGTATCTTGTATTGTTTAGAGGGATGGCTGATGATGCTGCAGTGGCGAATGTTGTTGAACTTTCATCGTGGTATTTTCTCCAATTGACTTTACTTATTTTCCATTTCTTGATGTTACTGCTAGGAAATGTTATTGGTTTAATGGAAGTTCCTCCTTTGTATCCTAGAAACAGCATTTTATGATATCACCTTTAGTTCATGATATAGCCATTGTAAGTTTTTAAATTACGATTTACAGATTACCACTATCTTACTTGGGTTTTTATATCAATCTTGCGATCTGGCCATAGATGACCTCACATTAGGCGTCAACATTTGTAACTTGATTAAATTTTTAGAAATTCCTAAACTGTTAGTATGTGGCTGGATGTTGCCAACGTTTACAGCAATAGTGTTGCCCATAATTTGACGATGGGAAGTCTATTTTTTAAATTCCAAACTGCTTCGAAAGAAACTCCTCACACAGGGTGATTCAAAATTGAGTGCAAAGATTTTAAGAACGTATTAACCAGCCAAAAATAAGATATTTTTTTCATATAATCGTATGTCCTAACTTGCTTCGTTTTCTAGATACAGGGTGTCAAAGTTTTTTTAAAAAAAATCGGTTTTTTTAACAATTATTAATTAAATAAAATCACACTTTGAGACGCCACTGCAATAAATAATGAATAAAATTTTATAACACAAATAAAAATTAAAACAGACCTATTTGGCGACAATCTCCATCATTTAGTAATTCATTTTTTACTTGTTTTAATAGAACCTGGCACAGATTTTGATTTTTTATCTTGGAAACAAAGCTAGATACGAGTAAATCTCAAGAGGCAAGAAAGTTACATTATTGATCGCTTAATCTAAAAAGAATTTTTAATTGTCAAGAAAGCAGTGCCGTACCATAATTTTACTTAAGTATCAAGTAGATAGCTCCCTGAGACGCCACTGGAATTAATAAATTTATTTTATACTCATTAAAATTTTATTTAAATCGGCTAAAAGGTTTTTGAGTAATTGTTAAAAAAACGATTTTTTTAAAACTTTGACATCCTGTATCTAGAAAACGAAGCAAGTTAAGACATGGTTATATGAAAAAATTTTCTTATTTTTGGCAGGTACATACGCCCTTAAAATCTTTGCACTCAATTTTGAATCACCCTGTATAACTGATATAAGGCCAATTAGATCTAGGTTAGGTTAATTTGAAGATGCGATGATTACATAGCCTTTTATTGCGACCCATATGGATCTATTGTGGCTCAGGCATAAATTATATTTCACAGTACAAACTACACCTTTCGATGAAAGCCATAGTTGAGTTAGATGAGGCTTTCTGGAACATAGTTCTCTCCAAGGCGGAGCAGGTACATAAAATGTGCTCTACAAATTGGTCTTCCACATTGCATAATCAGTGCAGATCTATCCTTCTTATGTGATTGCCTAGACGACAATGTCCTGTCATCAGTCTAGAAAGCATGGGTTGATTGTTCTTAGTCCTACATGGCTATGAGTAGAGTTGTGCTCTCCAGAACGTTAATTTTACAACCTCTGTCCAGTTTGTGATAATTCATTTGGCAGTGCTCTTTTCAATACCAAGGAATGGTCCAGGTCCTATGAACTTAACTATAATTCATTTGTAGATAGTATTTTCAAATATCACACCAATTTTGGTTTTGAGAAGATGTGTAATATAATTAATATATTTTTTTTTTCAGGGGATTCAATGCATTCTTCTAATTTAGGCGCTAAGTTATTCTATTTTCCGGACGAGAAACAACTTTTACAAGAAACATTGACAAAACCATTACCTCAAGTTACCTACGAATTAGGTGATATTGCATATCATTCGAACAAAAGCAGTGATACAGATGACGATTTCTGCATCATAAGTAAAGAACCCGGTTTAGGTCTTTATCCAGCCAATGGCATACCTGAGATCAGGTGGCTGTCTAGTGATCCAGTGAGAGTGATAGACAATCACTTTGGAATACCGGTCGGAAAAACGGATATCTTGAAGCCTCCGAAATCGTTTCCAACACCAGTAACGCGATATACGTTGTGCGATATGACTGTCACGTGGCATATGTACGGAGGAAACGATTTTAAAATACCCGATAGTGAAAGTAAGAAGAAAAACGTTCAGTTTTCTGAAACTCAACTTAGTACTACGGTTAGTTTCTCAAAGTCAAATAAGAATGAAGTTACTATTACTTCAAATTTTGATAAAAAGAAGACTAATATGAATTGGATACTAAAAGGGGGAGTAAATCGGGATCACGATGTTCATATGGAATTGCATTTGAATAAGGCAAGTGAATATTTTTTTAATATGTAATGGTAATGATGTAAATCTATTATGTATCTCGAATATTTCTATATAACAATATACATTATCTGATCTGATATAGTGTCCATTATGCTTTCAGGTCCGTTTTCAACATGAAGTATATCCAGAAACTACTACTCAAGCCTCCAGGCAAATCCTAATAATATCTGATGTAGAAATAGTAGATAAATTAGAATCTAGTCAATTCAACAAATTTCTTTATCAATATACAAGTCAAACAAGACCAAAACAGTCTCACGCGCATATGGTAAGTTCATGCTATTAGCTATTATTATTGAACATAAAATAAATTACCATAATACGTTCTGCCAGTGAATCTAATGTAAAATTTGTATCCGAGAGCTGCTCTGTATGCAGCACCAATCTAAATAAAGTTAAATTCCATAAATGTATCCATCGAGTCGATTCATAATAACTTTGTTTGCAGAACTGTAAAGTTTTGCTCTAATTTTCGCAGCGTTCAAATTTCCAATGCACGTCATAAACTCATGAAAGTAGACGTTGCCACTTAGCTACAAAATTCGAGGATCTCAAGAAACGTTTTATAAAAAACTAATGTTTAATTTGAAACTTTAAATAATTAATTCATTAAACCTATATATGCAATTTTAGAAGCTTTCCGAAGCAGCACTTAGGGACGAGCTGTCACTGCAATCCGGCATAAATAAAGCTGTATTATGCAACATATGCGTAATTAAATTTTATGGACTCGTCTTTTTTATTAGTTTCGCTATCTAAGCTTGTTTGATCATAAACTATAGCTTGAGTGGTGATGAAACATTCTCGAGAATAAAAAAATGGAGAATATTCTCGAGAATATTACCGAGAATATTCTCGATTATGAGAATTTTCTGAGAACGATCTACTAAAACCAACTCAAATTTAGTGACAGTGACATCTAAACTCGAGCGGTATATTGAATACATCTTTTAACAACACTCACCGGCAACAACAAAAATACTATGATTTACATTGTTTTTATCGTGTAACGATTTAAGTCAAAAACGACAGTGTTCACCAGTGAGCGCTCTTAATTGTAAACGATTACTGATGAAAATCAATTTTGAAACTCATAGGTTTAAATAAACTTTAAAGATTTATTTATGATGAAGCATAAACAATAACAAAATATAATTCCCAAAAGCATAAAAAATGTAAAATAAAATCTTAAACAGACTAACAAAACAAAATTAAGTTTAAAAAAAATAATAATCAATTTGAGTCAGAAAAATTGTCCAAATCACCATCACTATTTTCATCCTCTGACGAGTCCGACTCCGACCCATCAGTCCCGTTAGACTCCAATATAATTTCCACTGCCTCTGTTTCTCCAAGACCACCCTGTGACTGGAAGTGCGAAGTAGACGGGTACGGGTTCTCTTTATGTTCTTTATAGTTCGAGGCTTTGCTTATCGCTGATACCTGGTCCAATACTTTTAAATTATGAACTATAAAAGTAACTTTATCGGCTCGCTCAGCAGTCGGTCGGTTTCTTTTTGAGGAGTGAAACCATATGTGCTAAAGCTCCTTTCTGTAGCAGCTGATTCTAGAAGTTTATTATACAAAGAATGTCGTGAAGGCATTTTAAAAGTTGGCCTTAATTTTTGAAAGAATAACTAATAATGTTTATTTTCCGAGATTTTAAATGGTGTTCTAGAAGCATAAATTGCCCTTGCAAACAGTTGTTCCAACTGTGTTTGCTCTTCTCTATTTGAGAAATCCATAAACTTATGTAAACTAGAAGTTGATGCGCTACCTGTTTTGCTAACAGTCCTCGTCCACTTCACCCTGATCTGAAAATAAAATTACAGAATACCTAGACCAGATACGAATGTACACAGCGGCATCTTTACCGGTTCCCTCACAAAGGCGATGCCGGTTTCGCGTTTGTTGGACCATGATAATAATTTATTTATTGTGATTACGAAAAGACGTTAGTTGGACCATTGGAATAGTTAAGAAATAAAACTACAAAGAAAAATAACTTTTTTTTATAAAGCAGTCAAAAATATGATTAAAAAAATCAATAATATTTATAAATGGAACAAAATTTTAATTTTTCTTTTGGTTTTGTCTGACTTTTTCGAGGATTTCAAATATCTGTTTGCATATTTAAGAGTATCAAAAATTCTGAGTCATAAATAATTTAATGGTGTACATTTTCGCAAATTGTTGGCAAGGATGACCAAATTCTATTTTGCTCATCTCAAAAAGGTATGCGTTGGAAATTCCAGGCTTAGTTGACAAACTATCAAATAGAGATATAAATATTTTTTCTAATTTGAAAATATAAAAGAGAAATTTTTCGCTGGGAGATTTTAAATTGCCAAACACCTTTTCTTCAGAGTCGTATGTTTTAAAATGCGTTAACAAGTTAGAATTGTTAAGTAAATTGCATTCTTCTGAGAAATTTACGCAAATTTCGCAAGAGTGGATATGTAATGATTTTTTGATTAAATAGTCACATTCAGAAATCGTTATTGCCCCAACTGATTGTTTTGAAATATATTTAATTTTCATTAAGCGGAGAACTTGTTTTCCTAAGGAAAAACGAATCCCGGGATTCCTTTCCAGTGTGTGCCCCACTGCCGCTAATGCCGACGAGCCGCCACTGCCGTTGAATATCCCCCAACTCGGTTCCCTGTAAAAACGCGAGAAATAACGGTCAAGTATTATCTGCTCCTGGCGATACAGGACGGATGTGTCTCGAACGGCGTCAATAATAAAGTAATTTTACCCTAAAAGTTTTTACATAATCACGTGTGTGTTTTAGTGTATGTACCACTAAAGACACCCTTTTATTTTGGCGATACCCTATATCCCAATAAACCCAAAGTAACTCTTTTTAAAAACACTTTGATTCGGTGGTGACGAGAAGCCGGCAAAATTTCAGAATTGCATCTCATAGGTATATCAGTAAAAGTACTATTAAAAAGTATGAAGGGCAGTGTTCAAAGGATTACATGTAAGCTTGGCACTGATAATACAAAGTCTGGAAGTACCCTAAAACTTTCATGTATACACTTAATTTTCCTTGGGACTAATACCACCATTTTATTAGTTAAGTCAATCAAGCATTGTTGCCAGATTGTGTGCTGAGTCGCTTGGCTCTTATGTTAATATTATTAACTGTTTTTCCAATACGGAATATAGTCGATAGTTATGAACAGTCATTTTCTATTCATATCCCCCTTCTTTCCCCCTCCTTTCAGTCACCTTATTTTAAAAAAGTAGTTTAAAAATCGAAGCATCATGTGCAGCCACGAGTCGTTGTCCACCGCTTTTTACAGTCCACTAATTAATTAAGCTACGTATTTTAGGCTTTGTCCTGCACAACACTAATATGACGTATAATGGTCTTTTTACATAAATAGCTATTTTTAGGTTGTGATAAAAGCTTTACACATAAGGCCTGATGCAAAACTACCCACTCAAGAATGTTGTCTGAAAGTATCACTATTGCCTCTTAGACTAAACATAGACCAAGATTCTTTATTATTCCTTATCAACTTCTTTACCGAACTTGGTGGAGACAATTCTGTGAAAAGTGGTAAGCTGTATAATACTTAAGTCAATGAATGGTGAAGAAAAAAATTATATGAAAAATAAGACCCGTGGTCACACATATTGTGATTATCTCTCCTAAATAGACCCGTATTCAAAAATGTGTATTTAAATAATTTATGTGTTGTACGCATCAATATATTTTATTGCTATTTTATATTTTAATACAATTTAAAAAACGAACAAATGGCTTATCTTGGAAGCATAGGAACTATAGAAATTTAGGAAATATATGCACTTCATAAAATAAATGATATTTCATTTGATTCATTTCATACATAAGAACTAAATCTTGGTTTTTTATTTTTCTTAGTTTATTCATTTTCGCTTATTCTATTCTTCACTTTCCTCCTCATGTATATGGTTTCTCTAATAGGCATCGTAACTCGAAAGATTTTCGCCATATTTTTATGTCTCTTATTTATATATTTATATTTATTCTTTCAGCTATACCAGTAAAAAATAATTTTTTCACTAGCTCCCCTTTTATCTTGTTTTTATAATATTTTCTCTAATTTATAATGGTTAAATATATCGCCCTTCTCGACCTCTCTGGGTTTCACTTTTGGTATTATCCGTTACTTTATTCATGTTTTTTTTTAATGCTTTCTTCGCCAATTATTGACTAAAAATTCTATAACAACTAAAAATAATCAATTTTATTTTTGTAGATGAACAGGTAAATATTTCGAAACACAATACACCGACTCATCAACCCCCTGTCATGACAATTAGCGAAGAAAATGAGGAAATAATTAAGAAACAAGCGTTAAAAGTGGTTGACGAAAATCTAATAATGCTGATGGAAGAAAGTAAAAGTCATTTTGAATCTGAGAACTCTTCAAGTAATTTGACATCCAGTGTCCAAGATGGATCGCCTGTCTTCTTTAGGTAAATATCCAGCCAGTGTAATTCAGTATTTTTCTCTATTAAACTCCATTTATATTTAGTTTTATTTAATTGTTAATTTTTAGGAATCTTATATTCGGTCCTGATGTGCCAATACGATTAGATTATCACGGTAAACGCGTTGACATGACACACGGTTCCCTTTCGGGTCTCCTGATGGGTCTTGGACAACTAAATTGTTCCGAATTAAGACTGAAAAGGGTCAGCTATCGTCACGGACTCTTAGGATTTGACAAATTGATGAAGCATTTAGTTGCGGAGTGGTTGAGCGATATCAAAAAGAACCAACTTCCTAGTCTACTCGGGGGCGTCGGTCCCATGCACACTCTTGTTCAACTATGTAAGCTTTTTAATACAATTTTGGCTTGAATAAATTTATTGAAAATGTTTATTTTTTTGGCTTACAGTCCAAGGTGTTCGTGATCTGTTCTGGTTACCAATTGAGCAGTATCAAAAGGACGGTAGGATTGTTAGGGGCCTTCAAAGAGGAGCTAATAGTTTTACTACTTCTACAGCGATGGCTGCGTTAGAACTAACTTCCCGTATCATACATTTGATACAAGTAAGTTTTCTTAAATAAATATAGTGGATTTAAGAAAATGTCTTTAATGCCTTTACTTTAGATTACAGCTGAAACGGCTTATGATATGCTATCACCCGGTCCTAGTGTTAGAATGATGGCGAGAACAAAGGGAAAGAGAAAGAGGTACAATCAGCCACAGGATATTAGAGAAGGGATGGCAAATGCCTATTCACTTGTCAAAGAGGTTTGTATATTTTACATAAATAACAAAATATAATTCACTCTTCTACTCAGAAAACTAAATACCATAAATTTTTGAAGTTTTACCTGCTAAACCGTACGAAGTTTAATATGTGAGGTAGTGGTTTACAAAAAATCTGGTGTATCCCAAGGATTACATTTTGGTCACTTAATGTTCTCTCTATTTTTAATGATATTATTGATTCCTTTAATCATTCACAGTATTTAATATATGCGTACTATCTAAAAAAAATTTCTGTTTCAAACTCAAATAATTCCGATAATCTACAGCTCGATGTTAACTCTCTAGTTGTGCTGTAATATAAATTTTATGAAACTCGATGTTTATAAATGTGCAAGTATGACTTTTCACAAGTGCTTTAATCCCATAAATAGTTTATATCATGTCAGATAGTTAATACTGGAATTGGTTTCTTCTTTTAACGATTTGGCAGTATTATTTTCATATATAATCTCACATTTAATGATCATATTGACAATATCTCTTTAAAGTGCTTCAGACGTCTAAGTTTTCTAAAAAGACATGCTAGAATTAATGACACTAAATCTATATTAACTCTTTTTAATGCTATGATTAGAAGCATTCTGGAATACTGTAGCACAATATGGGAACCTAGTTATGCAGTCCACATTAACAGAGCGTAGAACAGACATAATAGGAGATATTTATTTATCAAATATAATATTTGTGACGCTGACATCGATAACACAATCGATACGGTCCAGTTGTAGATCAGGAGTTAAGAGACATGTGGTGTGAGGTATGGGAAGGGATAAACTGGAGGATTTTACGGCGGTACAAAACAATTTAACCAATGAATAATTAAATATATGTGTAAGCCGTTGTACGCCCATAATAAAAAACGTACAAAATGCAAGCCCTGTTGCCACATCTAGTACAAAATACTTGATATTCAACTGAACATTAACTATAGTCTGAATAAAATAGGAGTGCAATAGAAGTAAAGATATAACATCACATTCCATAGGCGTACAAAATAAGTTTCTATAATATAAATAAGGTCACGGCATATAAAATGGTATAATACGCACTTCGTAGATTAAATTTTGAATGAAATAAGTTATATTATTTACAAAAAAAATAGAAATAAACCTTATGCTTCTGACAAAAATGTTGCACTAATATTAATAGTATATTACGTAACAAGAGTTGTAAGTAACCCATTACACACGAAGTGAAAAAGTTTACGTACGAAGCCGCGCAGCGTATTATACTTTTCTACGCCCACTTATTTTCTTCTATTAATTAAAGGACATCGAAATTGAAGACACAAGTGGATGAAGGGCCTAAGTAAAATTTTTTTATAAATGGTGTTTTTCTGTAAATGAAGGGCGTATGTACCTAAAATTCGTTTAAAATGTCTTCCGTGATAATACATCATCAAATATAGAAGTTGCCAGTGTATAAAGGACCCATGTACTAGGGAATAACTGCCAAACAATAAACTTTAACACGAAATATCTCGTAAAAATTATTTTGCTACATAGGCCCTTCATCCACTTGTGTTCTCAATTATTTAAACTTTATTATAATAGTTGTTAATAACAAATGAACAATTATTGTAAGTCGATTGTGCCTTGTTACTTAACGGTGATGCGCTAGTTCAGTGTGATGTCATTTTGGTTCCACTGACATTTAATTCTAACCAAACTTTTAACAAAAACATCAATAAATTTGACATATACGTTTTTACTGTTTTAAGTTTATTTTTAATTATTGTTTACAAGTTATAAAAAATAGTTTAAAGGTATGTAATTTGTAACCAAACGATTGTATATTTGATGCATGTTATCTACTTAATTTAGGAATATATTTATAAAAGTGAAAAACCGATATAATTTAGGTAAACAAAACGAACAAAACGCACTCAAAAAATCTACTGTCACTTTAATTGTCAGTGGAACCATAATTACATCATCACAGAACCAGCGCATTGAACGGTTATCTATAATTGTAGTACTGTACGGTACATCAGAAGACGAAGATTGATAATTGGTAATCGCTTCCGATATTCGTAATGCGTTGTCATTTTTATTTTTAAGAGAGTGATTCACATAGCCTTCCGCCACTATAGAAGATTACCAGCCACCAAGTCGCTTTAATGATAGCATATCACCTCCTGCATTAACTAATATAGTTGCTGACGATCTCCTAAAACAATGACCACTATATTGCTTTGGTTCCGTCAGTTGAAGATATTCAGCATTTTACGTGGTGTACTACCGATTGTGTGTATCCCCACAACCTGTCTCACACATTTTCCATTTCTAACAAATAAAGGAAGTTCCATTTCAGGAGGACGCAAATTCATGTACTTTTGACGTGATATAAAACGTTTTTTGGTACTACAAATGAACGTCTCGTTTTAGTTTAAGAATCTGGAATATCAATTATCAAGGATTTTCCCGTGTCCTGAATGTGTTCCATTTTTATATTTCTAAGTTCTTGTTTACGGCAATCCCGCTTAAACTAATAATGAAGATAACCTACAAAATATTTTAATTCTTTACCTTTGACAACAAATGTTTATCGTCTGAGGCCTCTTTCAGAAACTTATTAATTTGGTCTGGAGAAAGGATTTTCGCTTTTTTACTTCTAAATTCATCTGATTTGCGCTTCAGTAGGGCGATTAGTTTTGGATAATCTGCTATGTTAATGTTATTATTGTTTAGTGTAGTTCTTAGCATCGAATAAATGGCCCATAATAGCCCATAATTTTTAATATTTCTCCAAAATACGCACGTAAAACATTCTTCGAAAATGATTTAAGGACAGCGTCTCCTAGGAATTTCTGAACAAAATTATGTCAATTTAGATACAATCAAGGAGGTGCTGTTACCTACCGACTAGAGATTGAATTAGTGCAAATTATTACAGAAATCTTTAAGTAACTATAAATATCGACCGACTAGCTATTAGGGGATATTGTATTATAAACCGGTTTTTAGTAGACTGAGTTCGAAGGATCATAATAATAGTCCTGAACATAAAATCTATTTTTCAATAATTGCCGGGATTTTACCAAATAAAAAAAAATATTTCGCGATTGTGAAATCGGTCCAATCGTTTTATGTGCCATTTATAATATTATAAAAATGTTAACTCTAGGACTCATTTTGGAGTATGAGCATACTTTATTTCAATACTTTTATTCATAAAGTATTACCTACCTATTACATTTTATTTTTAACGAAAATCGACTTTGTTTCCTGGACCAAAGTAAAGAATGTAGGTAGGTAGGTAGGTATGCAGATGGTAACAACAAAAACGATATCTTGCCTCACATTAAATATAAATATTTCCTAAAACAAATAATTTGGTTTATATACGAGTAGTAATACGAGGGATGTTTATAATTTCAAGTCACGAATATAGAGTCGTTTCAAAATATATTACCACAATAATTGCGTCACATTGAGTCGGAGTGGGACGCTTGACGTGTCGCAATTCGCAATATATTTTAAAACTATTTTACCTAATTAATAAATTGTGATTTTGAAGTATCGAATGAAAACTATATTCTCATTGGTAAAAGAGGGAAGTTTTTGTCATTTGAATGTTCAAGAATATTAATTGTGATTAATTGGTTAAATACCGAAATTATCTGTTATCTGATGTTGGTACTAACCTAATGTTTTTGGGTAATTTTGACGGTCATTTCCTGGAATTTCCAGGCCCGCATAAATATTTATCCTATTAAAGTACAAAAACCCTACAATAGATATTATGAGTAGGTATTTAACATTCTTATCTTCTTATCTTAGGTAGTTATTACCTAGAAACATTTCCCTGATTGTCAATAACACATTACCGTATATCTGTGCCAATATGACGTCACGACTTTTAATATACTTAATGAAGGCTGGGGGAAGGAGTTAAGAGTCTATAAATTTATAAACAAGCTTACGGGTATTTAGTTTTCAAAATTACATCACACGTTTCTGAAGTGTTTTATTATGCTGTTTGTTTTTAATAAGTGTTATTTTCTTTAATAGAAAATTGATTTATTTGTGCCAAGTGTCCTAGTGAGTTTCATTGTACATTTTAATCAGTTTTATATTTGGATAAATTGACATCGACTTCCTGCATTAAAGGTAGGTAGTATTTTTTTTCTATCACTCTCGAGTTCGTCATTGAATAAAAAAATTAAACGCTATAATTTTAACATTCAAATATTTGCAATTAAAAAATAATATTACGTATTAAATTTGACAATAAAAAAACTTGTTATTTAATAATAATATTTCATTATTCTGAATATATTTTTTCTACGATCAATATCCAAAGTAGGTAGGCTTTTGCACATTAAAATCTAAATAAAAAGTTGACGTTTTCTGCGAATTGTCATAATTTGACATTATTGGCGCACATTACCTAATATTCAAACCCATTTCCATGCTTAAAAATAGAAGATGGCGACATTCATTTAAAAGAAAACCATAACTACTTTTACCAGGTGAAAAATTTCAATATGTTAAAATAATTCATGATTTTTAAGAAATGTGCTAGAAATGATACTACAATATTAATATTCTTTTTATGTTTGATTTTCTAATAATGATTTTATATACTTTTAGATTCAAGGATAGCTAGGTATAGCTCAAAGAAAATTGTGCTACTTTGTAGTATATACTGGAGATGAAAATCCACTATTTGTTGAAAAAATTCATTTTCAACCCATTTTTTTTTTAAATATGGTTGAAAAATTAGAAAAATTTTACTCGGAATATATGGCACCTGAGATAATTTTAAATAGAAGAGGACGAGGATTAAAATGTCTGGATACCCCATATAATGAAACTTAAAGTGCAAAGATTAGCAAATTTATAAAAATAATAATTTAATGGACTTTAATGATACAAGTACTTGAAATAATGGTTTTTTTTGCGCAGAAGCATGTTCATACGTAATTTGCAATTGGTAATCACTAAACACAGATGGAAAAGTATATACGTCAACGAAATGTTCTCTTATTTTTGATTTATTTTAACATATGTTACTTATAGTATAGATTTTTTTATTTCTCGACCCAATTTATTTGTTACGTCTTCAGCAATTGTCGCTTTCAGTTGACATAAACGAAATTGATAAAAAGTGTTTTTCGCATTTTATTTTGACTGTTTCTCTTACTTTCGAATAGAAACTGAGCTTTGTAAACATAAAATGACGGATATGTCAAACTAAAACTGACAATAAAATGAAACATTGAGTATCGTTAAATGCAACTTTTGAACTAGTTTCAAAAATAGCATTAAAATGATATTATCATTCACAATGTACTAATTTCCTATACTTTTAGTTGATAAATAACCGATAATCATACATCATATAACAAATAGGCGCGTGTCAAAAGGTCAGAAAAAAGAGTGCCGATAAAAAAAGGTCGTTTCCAATTGTATCATATAAACAGTATCAGAGGCAGTATTATCATCTCGTATATCCCCCGTAAACACACATAATATAAACGGAAATAATCAAATACTATTCAAAATATTATCGATCGGAGCACCATCTTTATTACATTACATGAAGTAATTATTGATTTTTCTGGGTTTATTTAGAGTTAAATTAGACGCCATTTTTGGTCCAAATTTGTTTTGACATGTTTTTTCAAAGAAAGTGACTTATAAATTTCAAATCTACACGTTTTGAAAAATATACAATATTTAAATATTCTGAGTGTACCAAATTCCAAGTAAAGGTTGAACTTAGGTCGTATTACATTTTTTTTTATTATTTGTTTGACATCGAGGTTAAAATAATTCTAGACGGCACCTTTGAGATGAAATAAAAGGGGGTTATTTTACATGATTGGTTTTTATTGAAAATAATAAATTTATTAATTTTCAATAGTAAGGTGACCTAAGTTAGACCTTTATTTTTAATTTGGCCAAAAATTAGATTTTTAAACACTACATATACTATATGCTTGTATCGCCAATCCATAAATTTTCGAGAGGTAATTTCGTACCCTCCTTTGGATTTTAGCGGTAACAAATTATGTAAGCTTTTTCTAAAATCTCCGGTGGAGTGCTAATAAGTTCATCACTTTCACAGACATATTCGTAGGTAAAGTTGAGAAAATGTTCGGATACAATAAAATTTTGTTACAAAAATTGACAATATAAATGACATGACATTTATTTCCATAGCATGCTAAAAAACGCGACATATTTTTTTGAAAAATTGTATAATGTATTGCCGACATTTAGAGGCATCTTTGTTATGAATCTCATTACGTGCATGTCATTTACAAGGAATGTTGACTGTGCGATTTTTAACGTTTACTGACATGGGCGTAGAAAAACAAATTAAATATATGTTAATGGGATTAAACTTTTTTTAATCTCTTGGCATTAAAAGTACCTATAATCAAAGATAACCGAAACTAAAATGCCCTGCAAAACGACTATTTGGTAAATGTGTGTGTGTTTTGTTTGATGGCCTTGATCTCAGATCAATTGGCCCAAACTAATGTTATTAAAACGAATCTAATCCTACTTACAATTTTCACAAATTACAACAATACAATAATTAATAATGAAGAAACTTAAAGTCTAAAAGTACAAAATTTACATCTTATTTACAATTAAACAAGAGTTAAAACAATTGTGTTACAATTAATTATACATAATTATATTTTATAAATATATAATCCTTTTTTTTGTGTTTTGTTTATTGTTTTTGTTTTGTTGTTTTTTTGGGTTTATTATACCTGTATTTTTTGTTAATATCTTGATTCATTTTTTTAAATGTACATATATAACATAGTAAATAAAATTAATAAAAATAATAGAAAGTTCAAGAACTATCTTTAAAATCACTGTCTTCATTATAACTATTGGCATGATTATCATTCTCTTTTCTGGGGTTTATTGTTATAGGGTATATTAAGTTTTCCATTGCTACATCAACTTTCCAAAATGACTTTTCCACCTTTTTAACATGATCAATTTTCTTCAATGTTCTCCATTTACATCTGAAACTGCCTTCAAAAACAAATTTGGTACATCAGGTAACTTAAATGTTGTATTGTTTTGAGAAACATAATCATTAATTGTGACCAGATCAGTTCAATGGAATTTAACTATATTTTTTGAATTTGTTTTTATGTTGCCTTGCTATTACGAGTAATTCTGCCTTCAAGGATTTAGGAGGACTGATAATAATATTTTTAGAATGAAGCCATTTTAAAATGTCTTCTTTTTTCCCTCTTGTTGTAAGATTTTTTTTATAATGTTCTGAAACCAATTTTCAAACATAGGGTCATCCATTTCTTCATGGTAGTCTTTTGTTTCCTTTGACTCAGCCATTAATAAACCATCTAGCAAAAATCCATCAGTGCTTCCAATGTGGGTTATTATTGAACGATTTCGTTTTCCTGTTGCATTTTAAATCCACAAGAGACCCCTTCCATAAAGGCTTGTTTTTTAGTTTTGATGAAGAGGTATCTCCAAATTTTTGTTACTGTATTTCCAGCATTACCAATGTTTCATCTAAATAAAATACCTGTTTTTACTGATTCATTGAGACCGCTAATAAGTGTAATTTCATTTCGAAAGAAAAAAGAATGTACCATTTGCCTTATTACATATTTACCCAAGTTTCAATAAAGTTCTTGTTCCTTCCTGGGTAGCTTTTCAGATGTGATACTTCTCCAATAACTATATCTTTAATAATGTTATACATTGTCCGCTTAGATACTCCAGTATAATAGGTCTCGCATTTAGTGGATATTACATCCACAAAAAGTGAAACAAAGTCTTTTCGAAGATTACTAAATACGTCATATAGGATATTTCTTCTAAAGATAATGCATGCTTTATGTCTACTAGGTTGTTTACGCGTACTTGTGCTTGAAATATTTTCTTATACACTCGCCATTCTTATATAACTACAAAATTATATATAGGGACTAATACAAAATTCCGAATCAATTAAAATACATAGGATACAGCTATAAATAAATAAAGTCTGACTTATCTGTCAAAACAAAAGGTTTATTACAGTAAAAACCATGGAATCATGATTAAATCTAAGCGAAAACTTTTATTAGGCCAATCAGATGTATTCAAATTTTAATTTTTACTACAAATAAGCATTGAAGGATGAGGTATAAATAAAATGTGCACCTTTTGAACCTGTACTACGTTCTGCAAATTAAAATATTGCACTTCTTTCTTCTCTAGACTATAGGTTTTGAAATTTATTGAAAATTATTACATCTAATTTAGTGAAATTACATCTAATTTAGTTAAATTTGATATAACTAATGATTAAATTTTTTTTTGGTCTTGGGGTCGAATCATTTTAGTTTCTTTAAGATATGTAAGTAATTTTGTAAACAAATAAAATAGGCATGACAACAGCGGATATTACGCCTTATTCACGACAGCATGCTATTTGTTCGTAGTTACATCTCCTATTATCTCTGCCATGCTGCTCTTTTTGTATAAAATTCTATATTCTATACCTAAATTCAATATAATAGCAATTTCTGTGATACAGATAATTTTCAACTTGGTGTAACAGACCTCAAACGGGCAGTATCAATATCAAAAAGATGTTTGGTTTATTTGCTCAGTGCGCTTAGGGCGATATTTTGTAATTTTGACGTATTAAATACACGTATGTAGTTACCATTTTTTTTTTTTTCAAAAATAGGTTAAAATAATAGAATGAGCAACCGGAGTTGCTGTGTTTTAAATTGAAAAAATACTAGCAAAAAGAAACAGTGTATATTATATAAATGTTCAGTAGCAAAATGGAAATTAACTCGTAGAAATAAATGGATAACTGTACCTACAATATGAAGAAAAAAGTACCTTTACTTTAGTAATAATACCAGTATTACTGGAAATAGTAGATATCAAAAAGTAGAAAAGTTTTAAATAAACAATTTTACGATGTTCTTTAATATCCCTTAAATGTTAAATGTCTGCAAGGACTAGATTTCTGTCTTTGATTATGGTATGTGGCTGAAATGCAATTTTGTGACTTATTGATAGGAAACCAGTTTTAATAATTCTACTTTTTTTTCAAACTAAAAATGAAGAAAATAAAAATTACAATCGCAAATATACCAGTTATTTATTCTTGATTCCACGTTATTATTTAATGTACTTTTTTTATTTTAACATTATTTAACCTATTCTTCAATGACAACTTATTAGGCTTAGGCAACTTCTCATACATTTTCTCGTAAATACTGTTGCTTGGCTATGTTTTATTATTGATTTTTATTGATTATACTTTCTTTTAAGCTAAAGCTATAAAAATATATAATAATAATTAAATATTTTTTTACGTGTTATACAAATTCATTTACTTTTATTGTAACCAACATATATATATTTTTTAATTACGAATTTTATTATACATTTTATTTTCAGTATACGAAAAATCGTTAATTGGCGCTGCTGTCACGCACGGTGCCAATATTTATATATTGTTAATTTTAGCCCTGTGTTACAGACAACGGTATTAGTTTTATTATTTTTGTAATTTTTATAAATAACTTGAGTTATTTGAAATTAATTTTCCGTATAGCTTCAATTATTAAAATAATAAAATTTCTTGCAGGGTATTGGCGAGACGGCCGACCAAATAGTCCAAGTGGCCGCGCACGAGAAGGAACAAAAAGGATACAGCGGCGCCGTAGGCGGTGTCCTTCGACAAATCCCCCCCACTTTCCTCACGCCCATTATCATAGCCTCGGCGGCTACCAGCAACGTACTGGGAGGCATGCGTAGCCAACTGGTGCCGGACGCCAGACGAGAGGCTAATCAAAAATGGCGAAACGTCGACGAGTTAAATTGTGATAAAAAATAAAGACTGTAATTGTGATGAAACTATACAATTAGATATTAGTCTAACTAATAATAATTATCGGTCTTTAACATTGTACAGGGTGTTTCGTCATAAAATAATGGTTCATTCCGATTTTTTATTCTTGCACTTTGAAATATCGCCGTCTACGTTGATTAAAAAAATAATTTTTACAGCTCCAAGTAATTTAATAAGAATGACAATTATGTAATGAGTAAATAATAAAGAACTTGACTGGACGAGGCGCATTTTAGGCCGAGGGAGCATAGCGAATACAAGTTGTATATAAAGTTTTACAAAAATTGTCTCAATATTAAAAAAGTTCAATTTATTTTTAACCTTTTCAAGCATTTATAGTTCCATAGAACATACAAATATATTATCAACAGCATAGCAGTTATTTTGCTTTGAGGTGATTGAAATTATAATACAACGAAAATAGCAGCTAGAAAAATCGGTTAAGAAATGATTTCCAAAGCAGATCTTGAATTACCAAAGCGTCTGTAGATTAAAAAACTGTGGCTCTCGAGGTTTTGTAAGGTCACAATTGACAAACAGTATGTGACAATTGACAAATGTGAAGAATGAACTGATTAAAACAAAATTGTTTTGATTTAATACCTCTCAAAAGTTTTCCCCTTAGTTTGCCACGAACTTGTTCTAATACTAATATTTCTTGAGACGTTGAGGTCCATGACTTGTATCATCATTTTGGAGGTTGAAGAACAAGTACTCAATGTCGTTGAAAATAGTCCTGAAATAAGGAGAGGCTAGCCATGAGCTTAGTGTGTATCCATGTTCTCACAACAGTTAAGCTGTGAGGTCTCCAGTCACGTTGTGGATGAATGACGGGTGAGACCATTCCATCATCGGCCTTAGCCGACTGACATTTAACCATCGGCAAAAGGAATTAATGAGAGTGAATGGGAAAGTAGTAGGACCTTCAGCTGGTGGCACAATAAGCCGAAAGCTGCATTACCACCAAGCTACAAATAGGGTGATAACACGGGTGGAAAAAAATAAAAGCCATATAAGACTCGCTACTTAAGTTACAGTATTTCATTCTTATTGTACATGCATACATGCTTGTCTTAGTAAAAACGGACGCCAATTTGAACAATTACTATAGTGTAAACCTTAAATTTGCTTTCTATATAAATCAATATGTTGTGCCAAAAGCCACTTAGGCCAATAGTCTCTCTTGGGGCTTGATTAGCTTGTACTCATATGATCTCTGGATCATTGTCCTTGTCCTTTGTTTGGTTCTGTGATTTTTACTTTAAGCAATATTTGAAAGTCACATATGGTGATGAAAATAAGCATTTACCCACTTTTGGCTCTTTTTTGAGCAAACTTTCACTCTAAAAAAATCAATGGTATATCGCTGAGCGTATATTTTCCAGGTACGACGCCTCTAAATAAGAATTAGGTTCGTATTAAAACCTTAGTTGCCATAGAATTACAAGAGGCGAGATTAATCTTTACTTTGCATTAAAACTGCCGCAAAAATTAAGGTTATATAGTTTACTAAAACCAAAAGTAATTATGCATGTATAAAGGAAGATATGTAGTGTTGTCATTCTCTAATTATTATGTCTTGTTCCTTTGTTCTTTAAATTTTTCGTGTTCTATTAATTGTAAAATCCATAATATTGGTTTAGAATCGTACTTTTTTATTATTAAAGGTTTAAAAATTTAAAGGATACTTCCTTAAAGAGCTTAGAATAATTATAAATTCTTTTTATCTGCAACACTTGCAAATTCTTCTCTAGTTTGTTTATTTTAGACTGACCATTTTCTTATATATTTTCAATTTATCAAATCTGATACCTTCCAGGTACATGTTTTGGCTCAATTTTGCAATTTATATGAAAATATTGAAGATTTGTGCTTGCCAAATATTTTAAATATACCATTCTTATAAAAAAAAATGGAGTTGTTTTTTAAGTTATTTCATATGAGATACCCTGTATGTTCTTAATTAAAAGTACCAAACATGATTTTATAGGTGATAATATTACTGATTTAAATTTTTGCACTAGCTAAAGCGAAAGTTCGATTTTAATTAGTTTTTATGTGTTTTGAATCTATTAGTTTATTTATTTGTACTATATTATATTTTGTAAATAATAAATATATTACAAGATTATTATTTTTTATTGGATTCTATTCGAACCAATTTTAGGCACTCGCTCTCTACAAGAATATCGGCAATGGGCAAAGTCACTAAGGTATAGTAAAATCATTTTGTGTATTGCACCTACGGCAAGAATATGAAACTATATATTTCTTGATTTTTTTTAAATATAAATTAATTCTAGGTGCTGACAGCCCTTCGATTTTACGGAAGTGGTAGTTACCAAACTGACATTGGACTCAACTTATACTCAGCAGTTTCTTAACACAGTGTCAGTAATTGTCTGAAAGAGGTAACTGATCTTGCATCTTTAATGAATATATACACTTCCCGAGAAATAAACATGAATTAGCTGTTAAACGTAGAGAGTAAGAAATTTGTCTTCTCGTTTTTTCTTATAATTTAACAAACTGATATTTTTTTTAAGGTTTTTGACAAGTATAGAATCCCATGTGTGGGCGTCATCGATTGCACTCATATCGCGATTGTACCTCCAAGTGCTAGAGACAGAGAGCACTTATATATAAATAGAAAAAATTATCACTTAATTAATACCCAGTTGGTAAAATTTTATTTTGAAATAATACTTAAGCGATACTAAATACATGACTATTTTTGTTGCAGATTTGTGATGTCCATCTGAAAATATTAAACGTTAATGCCAGTTTTCCAGGGCGAACACATGATGCCCATATTTGGAGACAGAGCAATATAAAAAATTTATTAGAGCACCTACATGATGGCGGGAATAGAGATACATCATATTTTGTAATAGGTTTGTATTTGAGACAAATCAGATAGATCTGGTATTTTGAAACTTCAAATATTTTTAAAAATTTTCTTTTTAACCGACTTCAAAAAAGGAGGAGGATCTCAATTCGTTGCGATATTTTTTTTTATGTATGTTCAGCGATAATTCTTTAACAGGGTGTCCGATTTCAATTATTCTTTGTTAGAAAGAGGCTACTTCAGGGATGGTCCCATATAAATTTGGTCAAAATCTAATAATTGGGTACATGAGAAAATCCTCAAACTTTTCATTTTTTATGTATGTTTAGCGATAATGCTTTACCACTTTGTCCGATTTATATGATTCTTATTTTGTTAGTAAGGGGGTACCTCAGGGGTGGTCCCATATAAATTTAAGATGTGGTGATGGCATCTGAACGTTTTTGAAGTCGGTTTTTTTAAAAATTTTAATTTTCTTTTTATTTTAGCGGATTCAGGATACCCATTAAGGACATATTTGCAGGTTCCTTTTTTAAATCCCATGCCCAACTCTCCGGAAGCACGATATAATGCAGCATTTAAAAGGGCTAGAAGCACCATTGAGTGTTAAAGGCACAATTTCGGTGTTTATTGAAACACAGGGTACTCCATTACAAACCCTCAAAAGCTTCAAAGATAATTAATGCTTGTGCAGTTATGCACAATTTTTGTGTGGAACATAATATTGATTTGCCACCACCTGAAGAAGAAATTGTTAATGCAAATTTTGGGATGTATCATATAGATCCTGTTGTTGATCTAAGAGCAAGACGAAACCTAGATTTAATAAAAGGTGAGAGGATGAGAAATCAACTAGTAGCAAATTATATAAGACAACTTTATTTAGGTCTGAAGAAATGTTTTTCTTTTTACCTTTCGGTATTCCACCCAATCTATCACATGATTCCTAGGAGGATAGTGTTGCAACTATTATAGACTTGTTTACTACCAAAGACACTATGAAATAAGTTAGTCCAAGCGGTGGGTAGTTTCTATTCGCAAAAGGTCGGAAAGAAATGAAATTTGCTGGGATGGTAGACATGGGTCCCCTGATACTTCACCTACGTTTGCGACCTCGGGGGGTTGCCGCTCGAGGGGTGGAGGGATGAAAACTCTGCGTCGCAACGCTTTTCGGGAAATAGCGACATTGTGGTAAGTGCTATCGAAAAAAGGTTCAAATGAATTATGTACAGGACAAAATCGTGCATAACTTTGACCTCTACAATTTTTTGTCTGCGACTAATAGTTCCTGCTCTACGACGCGCCAAAATAGGAGGTTGATTTGCAATGTTCAACAAAATGAGAATTACAGCGCGGATTAAGACGAAGATCGCTATGAAACAATTATGTAATTTTTTTTTTTTTTTCTAAAAGAGTAATGATTTCTGAGTCTGCAGATGCCCGATTTGATACACTTGGTCGTATATAATAAATAATATGATGTTTTGAAGCGCGCCCCTACATATTCCGATGAAAATATTTTGTAATTATCAGTATCTCCGGTCAATATTTCCTTATTATTGTTGACCTAGGCTCCAAATTTATTCTTTTTGTGCACACATAATACAAGAAAGTATCATTTTCAACTCGTTTCCACACCATCCTTGAGGTAGAGCTGATCGGCGCGCTTTTTTTTAACGTGGTATCCCCAAAAGGCTTAATCCACAGTCGATATTTGGGTTTGTTCGTCAAACTCGGCGTTGTATGTTTGGTCTTCATCGTCATGTAACTGATCGTGAACGTTTTCGGCATCTTCTGCATTGCCATCGTCTAAGCAATCAGGTTCGGAATGTTTTCGCAAGACATCCCAGTACAGTGTAAACACAGAATCGAACATTTCAATCCTATTTTACGGCAATCACAAGCAGATCCACAACCTTTCTTTCATTTGCACGAGATGCTCTTAAGTAAAACATCTGGAGCTGGATCCTTTGCTATCCGTACTGCGTCCAGTCATGTGGTTGTTCTTTGCCAACCATGATCTTCTGGAGGTTTATGAACTCCCCGCCAGCTCTGTACTTGACAATAAGTACGCAATGAATGATGATGGCAAACCGAACACCTTAAAAAAATTTTAAAAGCATTTTACGACTTTATTTTTAGTCCGATTTTTGTGAAATTTTCAAGAAATACTAATAATTACCAAACTAAGGGTGGAGAAACCTTGAATTTTTTAAACCTTCGAATAAATATATATTTTGTTAATTTTTAAACGGAAAATTAAATTTAGAACTATTATTAAACAACTGATAAATAGTTCAAAAACGTGTTTTTGAAGATCTGTAGTATCCAAAGTATTTATTTCAGATCATATAAGTAGTGCAAAATATAAAAACACTTATCTTTTTAAATATAATCTATATATGTAATAAAATATAGGACATTCCATAGGAATGTTTTTTTTTATGTAAAAAGAATTTTTAAAAAGTAGCATTATAACATTATGGAGATATGCATACGAAATTTGAAAATACCTATTTACTTTTTGTCATTAGGTGACGTTCTGAGTGACTCTCTCTATATAAACCACTTATAAATATGATGGTTTCAAAAATATTATTATGTAGATCGCAAATGTTTAATTAATGTAATAGATTACAATATGGTTTGATATCATTCTTGATATGTACGCAAAATTTTATCCTGTGGGTTATTGTGAATTTTCAATCCTCTGGGAAACCTCGGATCTACTAACTCCGGAAGTAAGCTATTAAAAAAAATATTTCCAATTTTTCAATCATCTAGTTAGCCCAAAATGTTCTATCTCGTGGAATCAAAATCATTAAACATGAATTAAATAAATTTGACTAGATATTTAAATCGTTCATTACCTAATGTTTTAAGTTTACATAATTTTCCAAAATTGGATGTAGTTATGAGTAATTTTCTTTCCTTCATTCAAATAGATGTTGATTTTTGTAGCCGTGTCTTTTTCTATAATTTGTTCATCTGTTAATTTTAGTTTTGCTAATATATTTTCCGCTTCGTCGTATTCTTTTTATTCATAATCGGAATCAATCTGAGCGATTATCTTTTAGTTTTTTTTCTAAATTCATGACGCCTTTGTTTTTTATATGCAGATATTTTAGCAAATGCTATTTTTTTTTCTTTATTTTTTCAGTGTACTTTTTGTGTAATAGCCTAGTTTATTTCTACATGGAGTATTAAAGTAATCTGTACCTACATTACATCAAAGCGCTGCAGTTTCACAACGCAGCTGGTAAGACCCTCGACGAGAATAATTAATTCTTTTGCCTCTAACAAATTTGCATATGATAGAGTTAAAATTGCTATGCTAAATTATTATACATATTGAAAGCAAACTGATAATATTAAAAACAAACCTCGAAAATTTATAATTCATTCCAAGCCTTTATTTTCAAGTCGATCTTTGTTAAATTTTCAGGAAATACCAATAATAACAAAACTTAGGGTGGAGAAACCCATCGGCTTTTAAGACTTAATCAACAACGCGTAAGATATGCATTACGAACAACAATCTCATAGAAATAATATTCAGGCAATATAGTTGAAGAATATTATAGGTTGAATATATTACGTCGCTTACATCACGCTTTTCCGAAGACTCCAGTGTTAATTTTTCCTTAAGCCTGTTACATCCAAAAACAAAAAATAATACTTTTTCACTGCCGATCAGAAAATGAAAATAGTGGAAAAATTTGGAATTGACAAGCTGAATACCAAACGTGGATAGCTAACTGGAGTACGAAAGAATATTGTGAATTTTATCCAGACATACAAAGAGCTTTAAAAATATGTATGGCTCTTCCACCAACCAGTAGTGATATGATCATTCGAATGGTAAATCATTCGAATATTCGATTATTACCATCATCCGAATTATTTAGATTATACCAATATCATTCGAATCATTTGAAATGTCTGAAATTGTAATAAACGAACGAGAGTCATATTTTAAAACTATGGCAATACTCATTTCTCTCTAAATTTTCATAAGAAGTGTCATACGTCAATGTGGAAATAGTATTTTTAAAACCAGTGAAAATTAATTGTTTTTCTCAGTTTTTTCGGGAGAATTAATATACTTCTAAGAATTTTAATTCTTACTTGCTTTCAAAATACTGTTTTCTCGCTGACATATGACATTTCTTATGAG